TCACCTCATTTTCATCTCAAACATACATAATGAAGTTTTCTACATTAAACCACACTTATACAAGTTCATTATCTTTCATTTACATAATTTTTTCACAATAATATTACAAAATCCAAAAATTACACAAAATGTATTATATAAGTCATAAGTCGGCTCCCTTCATCTCTAAGGCTCCGTGTAAGGGCCCTCCATCGGTGTATATCTCGCACCTGAAATATTTTTCCGTATAGGGTGAGTTACGCCCAGTAGAGTATTTCTTACAGAGGCTACTCCCCAACCTAAGTGCATATGCAATGTTCGCATGCAACATTTCACAAACAACAACCATTCCAATCAAAACTAATCAATCTATGTTAGAATCTAACATGTCGTGCCATGATATAAGATGATGCCCAATTATGCAACTCAACCCGACCTCTCACCGGCTCTTTTTCCCCATGCAATGTCATGAGTACTAAGACCGGGCTCCCCAACTCCCACCATTGGTTTCACACATCCAATGACCATTTTAAAATTTTTCGGGTCTTTCTTGGGGTGGGTATTTATAGACTTATACCAACAGTCACTCAACCGACATGGAATTCATGGACTTCCACCAATGGTTCTGCGTACACTGACACACTTTATGGGCTCTTATACTAACGGAAGTGTGTATCCAAATACCGGGTCTCTCACCTGAGAGATAGTCTAACCCTTTTTGTTATCCCGACCCAATTCTTTTCATGCAATCTTGCGCCTCAATCGGATATTTAATCCAACTTTTTCGAGCCCACCCATCATCCACCTACATGGTGTTTGATGCCAACCATGCACTTACACCCATAAAATGTAATGTCTCCTTGCAGATACAATGTAATGCACCATTGCTATTTCAATATCATACCCACATGTAATGAATATCATATGAGCAACTTTAACATATATTTTCATATTTCATGGTCACTCATATCATATGCATATAATAGTCAAATTTCATCTCAATGTTAATATATCAAAGAACATATATTTCATAAATGTCATAAGCATGTTATTTCATATATGTCAATAACATACTTAATTTTCAAAGTATAAATTAAATACATAGCATGCCCACATAATACAAAATTTTCATGAATCACATTAGGGCAAATTCACATAAACCCAAGGTACCAAATTTCATAGAATTACACACACAATCACCACATATATCAATTCTAAGCTAGGAATTCATTTGTTATACCTTTTCCATACTCATTTTCATCAATTTCACATTCATAGGCAAGTGATATATATCTTTATCAACATACCCATTATTTACAACACCCTAGGTTGTAAAATAAACTGAAGTAGGAAGGAACCTTACCTCTTGAAGCGTAAGGAACGACCGTAGGAAGTCTCAAGAACCCGTTTCTAGCCCAAATTCTAAACTTTCAAAAATCTCGTACCTTGATTTTCGGTAAAATCCGTCGTTTTTGGAGTGGTCGCGTAGTCCTTGGCGAGAAAAGCAACCTTTGTTCTTGACTGGAGTGAATCCGAACACTCGATTTTCATAGATCGTAGAGAGAAGGTGGAATATTCAAGCTCTCTCTCTCTCTCTCTCTCTCTCTCTTCTTCTATCGGATAACGGCTGAGTGTGTGTGAGGGAGAAATTCAGATTTTTCCCCCTATTTATATTTCTCAATACTTGGCCTACAACGCACCACACGACCCTATTTTCTCCGGGTTCATTTTTGTTCCGAAACGATTAAATTTTGTTCCGGTTCAAGTTCAAAATATTTTTTTTTAATTACATTTATTTAATTTCCAACTTTTAATTTTTTTTCAAAAATCTCGTTTTTGGGTCACCTGAGACTCGATCGTCTTGTAAAACGCGAAAAATCCGACTATTTCAGAATTTAATGAAATTTGACAGGATAACTAGATTTCGTGAGACGAATCCAACGGTGAGGTCCGTTTCATCATCCGAGATCTAGAAAAATTCAGGTTTCAACCCGTACTGTAATGACAAATTACCGTTTTGTCCTTTTTGTAAAAAATTTAAATTTACTAGATTTTACAACTTGATGATGACAATGCACCCTGAGAAACAAAGTCGTTGCGAAAAAATAAGATATCTATGGACGGGGGCCTACTATTGATCTGGTTGGCACTATAGTTGAAAGGATTGTAAAATCCCCTAATGTTTTTTTAAAAAATATGAAAATCGATTGAACTAATTAATTGAATATTATTGTCTGCATGTTTTGAACCATTCTACCACATAAAAAACTGGTGCACCATGACCATGTCAAGTCTTTAAAACTTTAGTACTGATCAATTACACTACAGCTAAACACTGAAAATAACATATATATATATATATAGAGAGAGAGAGAGAGAGAGAGAGTTATGCATTCAGATAGCATGAGACCACCCACCCAAAGTCTATTCGGAGTGTGTTTAATACAAAATTGTTTCCAAGGCATTCAAAGACCAATTGTTTCTTCTTTTTTTTCTTTTTTTCAATATCATCTTATGCTTTCACCAACTTAAAAAAAATCTCGACCCCTCCACCTTAGTTGCTGCTTTTAGGATTTTTCTATGCTAATAAGTTTCAGTTAATAGTCCGCAGAATGATTTTCGATTCCCTTTTTGATATCAAACTATCGTTTTACGAACGAGATAAGAACTCTCCACTGGTGTCACTGCTTTGGGGTGCTCCCATTTTTAAAAATAGAAGTTGAACTAATAGCTCACCAAAAACTTGGTGACATCGAGTATAATTTCCCAGAAAAAAGAAGAAGAATAACTCGTTTGACTATCTCCTTTAACAGTTTTTTTTATCTCCAATACATGCCACCTATTAGACTTTGTTATCTAGTTCCGCTCCGCTCCTTTGACCTGCTCGTGCTACATACCAATATATGTTTAAAATTGTGTCTTGTATCCTTCAAAAAGTAAGGATTTACTTCATAAACTCCACTGAAATCAACTTAATCTTTAGTCAGTTTTTCCTTCAGCTGCACTTTGAAGAAATTCAAGCTTCTCAACTTAAATCTTCACCAACATATCACCTCCTGCAAACCACTTCCCCCACCACTCGAAGCTCCAACCACAAAAACCCCATAGCCACTCTCAAAATCCCCACCACTCCAAACAACATCAGTACAAATAGGATACCACCTCAATGACCACCCATGAAGCCAAATGAAAGCAAATTTCTCTTTTATTTTTCTTATGCATTTTGACAAACACATGTCTGCCTGGTAAAGTGCTTCACCAGGTCTCAAAAATTGGGTCATTTATGAACCATGATTTGCCAATTACAAGTTGGAGTGGTTTCATTTGCATAAAGGGCCAGTTCCATATCTCGAATTAGAGAGGAAAAAACAAATTTGAAAAATTGAAGCAAATTATTTTCAACAGACACGCTCATATTTGATAAGGCAACAAAAAACCCAAAAACTAAAAATTCAAGGTTGAATATGAGAATAACAAACTAAATTTAGTAAGAAATTACCTCACATTGGTCGAATCTGAGCTGATATAAGCTAGTACTGGCCACTTACGTGATCCATTGCTTGCTTCAGAGGGGGATAAGGGAGAGGCAAAAAGTGATTGTGAGGGAAGGAGGAAAGGGGTGGAGTGCTATCGACAAATATAAAAATATCATTTTGAAATTGTCGAAATATTCGAAATATTTTTTATTTTAAAAAAAATCGAAATGAATCAGTGATGAAATCAAAATTTTAATATTTTGATGGATGGTTGCCACAATTCAATAAATCCTTAACGACCCACAATCTGAATACATCGATCCCAAACAAGGTGAATTCGCGATTCAAATCACAAAAATGGACAACCCTAAATTGTAATATTAACCTTAAATCAATCCACTTTAAAACATGTAGCACAAATATAAAATACATATTAATTGATTATATGTATATAAATTTATAATTATATATTATTTTAAATAATAGAAAATTAAGCACAACTATAAGATAAATTGTAACTAACTTAGTATTTATGAATGTTCTATAATATATAATGGTGTATAGTAATGAAAACGATCTGCATAAGAGTTCCGAAACGAATTGTAATCCAAAATGTCGTATCAATTAAACCTACGTCCATCATACCACATAAATAAAAAAATGTCGTACCATAGCGTTCCACGATCCAGGTAACATTCGAGGTGTTCCATATTGTTTCGAAATATTTTGTTATATTTCAATGTATTTGCACAATTATTTCAAAATGTTTCAAAGTATTTTAAAATAATTTGGTATATTTCGACCGATATTTTGAAAAAAATAATTTTTAAATTTTTTTTATTTTGTTTTCGAAACGTTTCTGTTTCATTGATAATCAAAACAATGTATCGAAACGAAATTTTTATTATTGGCCATAGATGTCTTGAGGAAGAAAAGAGATGTGTGGAAAGAATGAGAGAAGACACATCCGATCTGAGCACTGAGAGACCCATGATAGGGAAATGAAATGAGATATCGGGTTTTTTTTTCTAGCGAACGGATTTGGGGTAATCTGAATGGGAATGAAATGGAAAATACCATGATTTATTTAGTAATGTCTAATCCCGTTCTTGAAATGAATTTTAATTCCTCCCAACCAAACATGGGAATGACTATTACCAAGAAAAACATATTCCATTCTCTAAACTTAATCCCAGAGATTAAAGTGGAATTAATCTCTCCCTTCCCTAGAAAAGCGGAACCCGACACATGAACATGTAAGCTTTGTATTCTCCAAGTGTTTAGCAGGTTGCATTTTCGTGTTTTATATTTGACGGTCCTCTACATTAATGGATCTGATAGTGTTCAATATCTTAATTGCTAAGGCTATCAATGGGCTGAGCTGTGTCAATGTTTTCTGAATATCTAAGCTTCTATTCTTCTACTTTGGACTTGAGCAGTTCTGCAAAACAACCTCACCCATCATTCTTCTAGCAGTTCTGTATACAAGCACGCTCACCATTATTTCTGTTAGAAGCTTAACAATAAAACAGGAGAAAAGTGAGTAATAGATTTCGGGTGTAATTTGAGGAAAGCTTTGCAAATGAAATCAGTAAAATTTTAAACACCTCAAAAGCAGTCTTATAAAGCAAACAAAAAGACGTGTAAAAATATTTGCACTCAGAACCGGACTTTCTAGTGTAACCAACTAATGCAGAGCTCCTATATATACAATCCTAGGTCAATCACAACAAAAGCCTACTTATGTAGAAGTGACAGTGTGTCACAAGAAAGGGTAGATTGAGAAATAAATAATCAAATCCTCATCTCATAATCACAGCCCCGCCTCAAGTGCTATGATGATCCAACACATCATAAATTCTTAGTAACGGATCCCTGATGTGGTTCTTGTTTGCTTTTACTTCTCTTCACTTTCGCTTTGACTCGAGACTTTGTTCCAAGTGTCTGCACCGTGTTTGCAAAGTTCCCAAGCGCCATAATTATCAGAAGGATTCCACAAGTAACTACCTGCCAGAAGCATATTATACGTTACATTAATTGAAACATCCACTACTGCAGGAAGGTAAGTTCCTTGGCAAATGCAGAAATGGAGGAAAGAAATCAATCTAGGACTCATTAACATGCTTGGGCTTCAAATTAGAGGGCAGCCACTCATTGTTTCGAATGCCAAAGGTTTAGGCGAACACAAGCCCACTCTCCCAGCATCCTCTCTTAAAGGGGGGATCAAACTAGGTACTGGCCTTGCAAAACAATGAGTCAAATTACCAAGTTTCCCTCACCTGCCACTCCGAAACCACACCAGCTAGTGCAGTTTTAAGCAACAACACTCCAACATATGCTTCAAAACCCTGAAACCAAGAACACAAACACAAAGATAACTTCAGTCTAGCTCATGCCTTTGAAGCAACATGACTGTGTCTCTCGTGATAGTGTCTGCAACAGATGGAAAAGAGCAATTGACAGATGTGGAATATCGAGGCCCTGAGAAGCTATGAACTCTGTCAATCTTTTAAGCATGTTCTTACTAATCCTGTGATGAAGTAGCTCCATTTTCAAATTTTATTTTTTCAAATCGTCCTCTGAATGAACTCAACTACATCAGAAATGTGTGAAATATGAAAAAAAACTTGTGTACCTACAAACCAAAAACATATTCCTCCACCAATATGTCTTTTTTTGGGGGGGTTGCTGTATTGCATCAAGATGTCATTGCAGTCTAATCCGATTTCATGTTTTTGTTGCTATTTGCCGGCAGTGAGAAATCAATACTTATCAATATACTTACTTCCATGCAGCAAGTGACAAATATTTACTGCAACTCACCCAGAATGCTTAATTTTTAGTGAGAACACTTTCTTTCTAATATCTGTACATGCTCCATAAGGATAAAATGTTGCAGAAAATAACTAATTAAAGAAGAATAAGAAAATAATTGCAACTTCTAAGACAAGCAGTACAAATCATAAGCACTTACTGCTCATAATTCCTAAACATGCTGACCATGACACATCGTACATTATACCAAATATTTTGTGAACACTAGAAACCTTAAGCAACTATATGCATATGGTCTAAGACACAGATAGCGCAGCTTGAATCACCTGCAAGATGAACAGTATGGGGCACAATAACCATAGTTGACCTTCTACACCCGCAGTTTCTCCCCACACAACATCCATTCTCCTAGCCTACAAACACAAACAACAGTTGATGAAATGTTTGCATTCGAAATAAAAGCATTGCCAGATCTTACAAAGAGAACTCTTGGTGACGCAAGCATTTCTAACAAAGGGCATCAATAGAGAAACAAGAAAATGCATAAATAAAGAGACATTGTACAAAACATTTAAGTCATTAACATGGATCAAATAGCAAAGTTATTTACAAGGAAACTTCGTAAAGTTCCCAAAAATGTGCATGACAGAAGTTTCTAAAGAAGAAGAAGAGACGGCAGAAAATCAAGAGACTAATTATAGCATGCTTAAATTTGATGGTGATGCGAGCAATTCCATAACTGCACCTTGCCCAGCGCAATACGTGTATAGAGTCTCTGCCGTTGATATCTATTTTGTAGAAGCATAGCAACTCCTTGCATGGTCGCCCATTGCAGAAATAGTTGTACTCCTCTCTTCAAAGAACACAATTAGTTTCAATTGTTTGATAAATACATGCCTAATATAAAAATTTTATATATACAATTACCTGCTTCTGGGCACAATCAGGTTCCCTTTCAACCTCCCAAGTGAGACTGATGACTGCCATACCCATAGCACAATAGTGATGGTATATCCACCTGCAAAGCATAATTATTAATGTTCTTGGTTAGGTGTACTTATAACAGGGGTATAAAGATGATGATCCAAAAAAGGTGTTGAACTGACTTTTTTACATTTTTAAATAAGGCTTGTACATTTTTGAAATTCAAAACAATCTGCCTGCCACTTACCAAAGATCTAGTTTAATTAAGGAAATCTGGTTATGGCTAACAACTAAATCCTTTTTCACCATTTTCTTTTCATAGATAATGCCTTTTTTTCACCATTTAGCTCCATCCAGCGCCATATAAACCATTTTTTCAATCCTCGGCATGCATAATTTTACCCACAGGTATGACAACTATTGTTCCAATTTGCAGAAAAGAGTATTTCGATACAATAAAATAAACAGTTCATACATAGAACACATGCATCTCCAGCTACAATGACAATAATTTTCTGATTTCACATATTAGTAACAATAACAAAAAAAGAAGAAGCTGTTTCCAGAGCACTGCACTTGAATAAACTAATTACCATGGCCGAATGTCACTTCCGTTCACTCTCAAAATGTTCTCTCGCAGAGCCAAACTTGTGTAGAGAATTAGCAACCAAGCCTGAAAACAAGTATACTCAGTAAGCTTCCAGACAAGAATATAACAATTTAGAGTAAAATAAATAGATAAATAAAAGATCTAGTATGGGATACAACATATATCATACAAGGGCTAGTAATAAAATCATAATACCTGGTAAAGCTGAACTGGCAATGCTGGTAAACATCCATCCCAAATCCATGACCTTAACACAAGCAACAGTGATGGGAAAAAAAGAAAGAGAAATGCGGTTCTATCCTGTCAGTGAAAGTAATTAATTACTAACAGGTAATGTGGTAATATTCAGTACTACCTTCCCGACAAGTAAATGAAAGATGCACTTAAGAATCACAAAGAACACATGCAGTGCACCTAGAAGTAAATTCTGCACAACATGAAGATTAAAGGATTAGATCCCTAGCTGGAATTGAAACCAAACTTAATATAGAGGCCTCCTTTAGCCACATGTTAAGCAAACAAGGAAGTGCTAGAAAACTACCAAGGCAAGGAAGAAAATAAGTTTAAATGTTAGCACTGGGGTTTGAATGGCCCATCAAAAAATCTTTACATTATCCTTCAAAGTGGAATAAAGATTATTCCTGGCTGAACCATCCAAAATGCAGTAGTCATGGTGGCCGTGCTCCTGTCCTTCCTTGATCCAGCACATCAGCTCTCTCCACAATCTACTGCCGAGGGCTGGTCAGAGACAATACCCTCCAACTCATCAACTTTAGTCCTAAATATTTTACAGATCCAAGGAGGACTTTGTCACACGGTTCTAAATGAACACTACTTAAATTCACAACCAGGGTGGTTTACTCAGCCCTATAGCAGTATGTATGAACATGCCATGAGCCACTGAGACTCATCTGGAGCTCTTAAATACACTTCAGACGCCCACTTCACTTTCAACTGAACATCTACCGGTATCTTTGGTAATAAAATTTATGAAAAAAATTAATGATAGGCGTAAAAGCAAAACAGGGGGTGAGGTGAAATTGTAAAAAAGATAGCATGGGCAGTGAGCGAAGCAAAAGAACATACTCTAAAGCTATTGTATTCCTCTTTCACTTTCAGCTGAACATCCTTCCTAGTGGCACGAACGTTAATTGGACCAAGAAACGTCCTCAAGAACCGCCCTGTGATAAATGAACATAAATAAACCTCTTCATTCACAATTAAATCACACAAACATAAACCACAACGCAATCAAAGCACCATGAGATTTGCTTGGAAGAAATGCGGCCGCTTCTCCTTCACCCAATAAATACCCAGCTCTGCATAACTCCTCTTCCAACTAGACAAAAACAAACAATTCTGAGCAAACATAAGATCATTACAAACATATCTATCAAAGTATGTTTGATTAGGTTGTTACCTTTTCGGCCTGATTGGGATCGAAATTGGCTTTCTTGATCGACGAGCGAAGTCTTTGGATATTGGAATCAAGAGATTGGGCTCGCTGACGGAGAGAGTCTTCTTCATTCGAGTTCCGTGAAATTATGGAGGCAGCTGAGTCCTGCAACTCCTTGGCTAGCTCCACCGCTCTAGATACTTCTTCCGCCATGGCTCGTTCCGAGTTCTCATCAACCCTAGAGTCACCCATCTGAAATCGAAGGATTAACAAAACTGAAACGTAATTCCCCCTTATAACTACGAATACAATGATAAAAAAACAGGTAAAAGAATTTTGGTGATGCAGGTATTTCGACGCAACTGGGGGACTGGAATAGGGGCAAAGAGAGAGAGAGAGAGAGAGAGGAATCCAAATCTCGCGAAGTTGGGAAAACTAATTGAGAAATTTCTTGGAGAATGGTTTTTCGTTGGGGAATGGACTTCACAGTTCTCTTTCGTCCATGGCCCTGTAAGGTCCCACTTCGAGCGTGTCTTTCAGGCAGGCTGGTGACTTACTTTGCCAAGTAGGTGAGTTAGCAACAAAATTTAATGTTGTTATAAAAAGGTGTAACAGTAGTTTTTATTCTTAAAGTAAGATTTTTGGTCAGTTTGATACTAATTATATTATTTTAATTTTTAATCAAATAATTTATTATTTTTTTTTACAGAAATGGGCCTATGTCATTTTTTTCAAACATAATGATATAAATCCAACGTGTAATCATTCAATCAAAAGTTAAACGGTCAATTTATGTAAGAATTGTTTAAATAGGTTTTAAATTGAAAAAATTAATATTTTAGAAATTAAACTAATAAAATATATACATTTTATGGATCAAAAATACTAATAAATTTATAAAAATGATTAAAAAATGTTATTATAATATTTGCTTTAACTATCCCACCATTGATTAATATTTGATAAATATCATAATTGCTCTCTAAATTTTGTTTTGGATTCAATTTAATTTCTCAACCATCAATTTTGTTTCAATTAAATTTTTCTTTCTATTTTCTACCATTAGATCCAATATAATTCATTCAATGGTTAAATCATATATTTCATTTTCATTTAACGGTAGAAATGGACTAAAGAATTTAATTGAGATAAAATTAATAATTGATGAACTAAATTGTGACAATTAAAAGTTTATGAAACAGATTAAAATCAAAGATAAAATTTAGAAACCAACTATAATGTTTATCCTTAATATTGAAATATGAAGGGTAAATATTATTGATAACATCTCTCAACTCCCACCAAACAGCCGTTGATAACTCTTAAGAAAAAGGACTGGTCATAGATTAATCATTAATGTCCCAACACCCACCAGACAGCCGTTGCTAACCCTTAAGAAAAAGGCCTAGTCATTGATTGGGAATAAATTAGAAATCAATATATCGTGTGGAATAAAGTTATAAAAGAACTTTTTTTTTTAAAAAGGTTGTATTTTTTTTTAAAATTAATATAACATATTCAAAAAAAATAGTGGATTAAAATAATATATTATATTAGAGTCTATATAAATTATTTTAATATTTGCATAGGGGATGAATGTCAACATAGATTTTTGACCAAAAATAACGTCATATTTTTTTGACAAATGTTATAGATGGATAAAAAAAATTAATTAAAATTAAGAATTAAATGATGTGATATTATAATAATTTTTTTATTTTAATTATTATTTATTTAATATTTTAAAAAAAATTATCATGTCAATTTTAACATTATTTAGACTACATTTTTTGTCCTATTTTTTTAGTTATTTTAGTGGTATGATATATTTGTAAAATAGATCGAATGCCATTTTTTTTTTGTTACATAATATCTATATTTATATCGACTATTTCCTTAAGTTTATTTTATCTTGTATGTTTACCGGAAAAGGGAAGAGTCATGTTCATTTGGGGAAAGTAGAAAACTAATTTTGAGAAATTAGGTCAAACACAAAACGTTATAGGGGCGTCATAACAAAATGAAGAGAACTTATGTGGTACTAAGAAATTTCTAAATAGATATGTGGGTGAAGATAGAATTTGTGTAAACTATTGTGGAAGAGAATGCTCCTACACCTTCTTCAACCTTCCGCTCAATAGACAAAATAATAAAATATCTGTGTGTGCCTGACTCTTCGTGGTCATGGCTACCAACCTGCCTATCCACAAACCCCCAACGTATTTACTTCACCACGTGGCCACCGTACAAGCCTTCCGGCGTAGCGCATCGACCGGAGATACGCCCTTTCCCGGCGAGTATCTGCGGTGGGCCAATCTGCAGGCGATATAATGCTACTTTTACGCTCGATTTCAGCAGGAATTGGCCAAGGGTTTGTTCTTTCTGCGCGTAAATGCGTAAGTGGCCCTCTTCTTTTTTCTATTTCATGATGTAGCACTCACTTTACTGGAAATTTTTGACTTGCTGTGAAGAAAAATTTATGTGATAATTGTCAGCCAGGCAAGAAAACAATGGTAATCACTGGCTATCGTATTTTTTGATTTGTTACTTAGTGTAGGTCATATTGCTTTGTCGAACATTGATCCTACAAGATAAGTTTATGGTTTCATATTATTTCGAAATCTGTTTTGTTAGATATGTTTTGGGTTTGTCTTGTTGTCCTCGCAGTGCAGGAGGCAGCTGAATGACTTTTTGAATACTCCTTTGGGAAGAAGTATTGGTTTAAGTATCACTTGCTAAATTGCTGGTTGTCTTCTTGTACTTGATATGAAGCAATACATTGGTTTATATGTTTAGACAATGTTTTTCTAATGTATTTGCTCTATCTGGTTGGCTGTTTCGCTTTATGATATTTGCAGCATGGATAGCACTATGATACCACAAAAAAAAAATTTGATATCATATTGAAAGTTGTTACTTTTAAATGTCAAGTTATACTTATATCTATTGAATGTGAGGTTATAACTAATTGAAGTAATTCATTATCGATCATGAAATATTGTGATTGATCATGAATTACTTCAATCACTTATAACTTTTTCTTTGCGAGTTTTTACTTGATTTTTATGACTACTAACTTGACTTTTAAAAGTTTTAACTTTCAAGATTGATCACAACATTTGATCATGTCTAGGAGTTGTAACTTAATCTTAAAAAATTATATCTTCCGTTTGCTGGTCCTCTTCTTATCAGAGTTGTTGCCGGTAATTTGCTGCCTTTATTTTATTTTTTCTTCTTTGACAGAATATTGTTGCTATATATATATATTTTTTCATGTAATTGCCTGATAACTTGTCGGATTATCCACATGCCAAAAGTCATTGGGACTAATTACTCTTTGCCGTTTTATTAGGTTTTCAATTACCTCTTATCATTCGAATGGTCATCGTTCTTGCTGGTTCTTCTTCTACTTCTCTTCCCCCTAATTATATATTAGGCTACACAATTGCCTTCAATCAGGTAAAAACATATACCTCCAAGGAGGGAGTTCAAACGATGACCTATGTTTATATGTTGTGCAGAGCTAATCACAAGATTGTTCATTACCAATTTCTTCACAGCAAAAGATAAATCATTGTTGGGCCAAGTTTGTTCATTTTATTTGCATAAATTACGACCTATCAAGGGCCTAGCACTCTGCGCAGCTCCCTCTCTCTAAGGGAGAGTCTTCACTTGCCTTTAGGCTACTAGGTTTAACGAGTTATCTCACTTTTATCCATTGATACCTCAGATGGGGATATACCTACCCAAACAACAGCTAGCCAATTGAGAACTAACTGGAATGAAGGAGGGAAGCTATAAAATAGTTTTGGATAAGATTTAGTGGGAGTAGAGGAAATTAGAACAACAGGGATCATCAGCTAACCAAAGTCTTTTGACGGCACTAATTTTGTTTGCTGGTAAAAGTAAATCAGGATCTCCCTACACAGGTAAGAACCTTGTGGTATTCTCATGATCTTCATTCTTCCATCCCTTCTTCTCTTTACCCCAATGACCTCGTGTTGGCCACGTTTCAAAATGCTTTGCAGGATTCCTACTCAAAAATTAAGAGATGACGCCTACTACAACATAAGTTGCATTCTATGCAAGAAGACGACTTAGAAAGAATAAAGAGGCTTGGATCTGAAAAAGTATGTTTAGGCAGTTTTGGCCCATCACCTATTTGAGTTAAGGCTGGAAAGAAAGAAAAATCCTTGCTTTATGAAACTTTGGCCTCTTCCTTCAATTGGACAATTTTGCGGTCCAACTTTGTGACAACATTTTCAGTCAAACAGTTGTCTTTGTCTCTTTCTGTGTAGTAAACTTTGAAAGAAATCATAGAAACTGCCGGTATTATAACTAAGTCAGAAATAGAAAGATAGGTATTGTCTTTCAGAAATCAAGATAAGTTGGATTTGTACTTAATTTGAGGAGAGGGCAATTTTCAAAAAGAGTATATAGTTGATGAGGGATTGATGTGTGGGTGAGTGTGTTCTCTCTTTCTGTGTGATGGAGGGAGGGACAGCAAGAGAAAGAAAAAAGGAAGTGCGTGTGTGTGTGTGGGGGGGGGGGGGGGAGGGGACTTTTGCATAGAAAGTTCTGTGGAAAAGTGGGGCCCACCACGTAACATGTATTACATCGAGTCCACCAGGTCACATGCCACATCTACTTAGAGCAGTAGCCTTTCTGGTGCACTTAGCATCATCCTTATAATTTATATATGTCTTGCCATTCCGCTGTTAAAGCTGATTGGTGAACCCTGAGGGCCTTGGAAATTTAATTGAATGATTTAGTTTGGCTGATTGACTAAGGTGTTGACATTTGCTACTCTGGATCGCACTTAGGCCTCAGCTTTTAGCCTCTCTAGATTCCACAGTGTAGAGGATGCAGCTGATTTGGCCTCATGCCACCACCTTTTATCAACACCAATGACCAAGTTAGTTATAATCACCCCAAATATCTTAAAATATTGTTTCATGTTTGTCTTAATTAACTTTTTGAGCAAGGAACTTGTCCGGCTTGTGGGAGGCAGTTTTCTGGATACAAAAACCAAGTAATTTGCCGTGCAAGTTGTTGAAACATTGTGTGGCAGCCACAAGTGGACTTCTTTTCAAGAGGTAGCATCGTAGCAGAGGATCCCCTCCCTCTTCAAAATCTGAATCAGAGATCATAGATGTTGAGTTTGAGGAGAAATAAATAGATCCTCCCCAGAGTGGCCGTAGCTTCCTGACTCAACTTGCAGACCAATGAAAACAAAAGTGGATGCAAGAAATCTCACTGTACATAACTTGTAATATTTCACTCTTCGTATTTTTTTCTAGCTGTTATTGCTTTTCTCTTGTATTTGGTTAGTTCTAGTTGCAGTTTGTTACTCGATTGTGTTTAAAATCTGGATGATATTTTTACTTTACCAATAAAATAGAGAAACAAAGAGTATTTTGTCCGCATACACAAATTTTGGCTATTTGTAGGCGATCCTTTCAGTGGACGAATAAGAAAGAACGTGTGCATGAATTTGATGAGGATATAAAAGTGAGATATTATGTTTAATTGTTTCATGACAGGCTCTGTTTTCTTTATGAAATAGTTCTGCATCAGCATCGGAGTGATGAAATTCTCTACGCAGATTGTGATTGAAAAAAAGAAACAGACTCAGCTGCAGGGGATTGTGCTTCTGTCCTCAATTTTTGTTGCAGGAGCAACTGGGAAGTAACAAGTAAGAGCTAGAGATACGTCTTTTGTGATGTGTTACATGTCAATATATCTGGCTGTAGTATCATTATATTCATTTCTCTCCTTTTGGAGTTTTTAAATGGATATAATTTGCTACTTTGATGATAGGTTTCCGATTGGATTTCGACCCCTTTCAATGATTTTTTTTTTCTCAATTGTCTTTAGTGGTAGATTATCCATCAATTTCACTTGGGATCTGTTATAGTCTCTGGTCAGTACACCGGGTGATCTACCATTAGAGGAATGGATTTTGTAGTGGATTTGTATCCGTTTAGATCTATTTGCATACAGATACTGCACCTAATTTCAAGCATCACATTATTCCTTTACTTACATTTACTATATGTTCATACAGTAGGAGAAAATGAACACTGAAATTAAACTTCTGTGAGTCGTTTTTTCACCGAGGGTTGCAGATCTTTAAGAGATTGGAAATGGTTGTTTTCCAAATAGTAGATTGCTTTTCATCTTCAAACAGCAGCCTGATAATACCTTTATCAGTTTTCAAGCTGAGAAGGAAGCTGCCTTGGCCCGCCTTGGGTTCCTCTGTAATGTTGATTACTTTATCTGGAAAAGGAAAAACATTAGGATCCGAAGTGTGGTGATTTCCTATACTTGGACTATTTTGAGTTTTGAGGGGGACATTATATAAGTAGGGGCGTTAATCAAGATGAGCTACTCGGCTCAGTTTGGATAAGACTCGGTTCGAGCTTGACTCGTAAACGAGTTTAAAAGGCTCGGCTCGTTTATATGTAAAATAGTTGGGCTATTCGGGCTCGGTTCGGGTTCAGTCCGAGCTCGATTTATTTTCTAAATAAGCCGACAATTTTTTAGATTCGTTTAAAAAAATGTGTTTGACAGGTTCAGGCAGAAGTTCGCAAAATTCAGTTCAATTAACACTACGAATTTTACCCCCAAAAAAAGGGAGAGAGAGAGAGAGAGAGAGAGACTTAGTAAAGGAGAAGGGCAAAATAAGCTATTTTTTAAGTTAATAGTCATCAGTTTCTGGGAAGTATATCATACATTGCTTTGAAGTTGTTAGGGCACCTCCCAAATACTTCTTTCTGAAGCTCAATGTGAGCTGATCGTACTTGAGATAAATGTTGACCAATTTGTATTCTTTTTGACCTGCATGCATAGTTATGCTATGGTCATATAATCTTAGTATACATATGTACTGGTACTGGATGCATAAGTCCCGCATAAAAGTATTTCCAGTGCAGAAGATTCTGGCCACAAACGGGATTTGCTGAAGATCAGATATACCTTGCATACCCCCACGTGAAACAAGGGCTGTTTATGTGACCCGAACCACCAGAAACATGAAAAATATACTCAGGCATATATCCATTCAAGTAAACATGATCTAGGTGTCTCACTCACCAGAGGGCATGATTATGCATATTTGAGCACCTACTTTCAGTATGTCTTGGCTCCTTGGAGAGTAGGAGTCTGCCAAGGCTCTTGATTTGAGTGCTGCAGCTCCTCTTAAACCTGGAAAGAAATATCTCTTCAAGCTTTAATATATTCTTAAAAGAACTTAGAAGTCCTCAAATCTGTAAACTAAAATTATAAGAAGACATCAGGGAAGGTATGTGAAGTTAGCGGTGGCCTAATGGCATCACAGTCTGCCGTTGGACCGACAGTGGCCCCTCCCCTGTAAACTTTGCAATAGTGACAAAAAAAAAAAAGGAAGGTATGTCAAACATTACATGTTGCGGCAGTAGCTGTCACTGTGATCATGTCTGTTGGAGTTTGGATGGCCAGGCCTGAGTTTACAGCACAGGCAACTTGGGATCTCTGTGCTCCCAGAGATTCTGCAGCCTCAGCACATACCGTGGTCATCAATGCTGCAGCCGAGGCAACTACAACACCTTTGTCCTGGTTCCAATCTCCAGTTCCTCCACAATCAAAGTGATTAGTGTCTTGGATATCTATGCTTACATTGGTAGAAAAGCCAGCAATTGCTGCAGCAAGCCGGGTGAGAGAAAGGGCGGCGTGTAACTTGGCTGTTTGGAATCGCATTTCCTCTTTTTTCTTTTCTCTATGTGATCTTAATAAGCTAGTTAGTGATTTGCCTTTTAGCCATTCCATCATATGATTCAAGTCCATCTAGGCAAGCAAATAGAAATAACTTAAAAGTTGTGGCAAAATCTCAAAAATAAATGAAACGTGACTTGAAAGAGGGAGGAGATTACTCTATAGTTTTTTCCCTTTCTGGCTATGATTCTGTTCCTTTGTGCAGTGTTCTTCAGTGTTTCCTCTGTTCTTTCTTTCTCATACTCCTCCTTCAGTTTTTCCCCTACCCCTTCTTCTTCACGCTCCTCTGTCTCATCTTTGACACTTTCCGGCAACAAGAAGTTCTATGAAAAAAGAATGAGTTAAATGCAAAATGCTCATCAGAGAAGGCAAAACTAGTGCATCAATGACTTGAGCCACTTCACACATCCCAATATTCAATCATTTCAAGATAATTTGATAATCCCAAATGCCTAAAAAGGCAAAATTAGACAAAGTTTCATGGGGTTGGTTTATATTATGCTGCCAGCATAATTAGGAGGAAAAAAAAAAAGTAACAACAGTAAATGTAAAAACATAAGATATTCATAATCCAGTGATGCAAGCCACTTAACCAAGGCACCATCTGATCTAGTAAGGACCACAATGTGCAGTCGACATGATCCTGATTGGTGGTGTTTCTTACTCAAACTCAGGGCAGAGAGTTTTTCAGCCACTGAAATTAAGGAACTCATGTTTTTAACTGTTTATGCAGTACTGAAAACGGCAATTTAGTATAATGTTAGTTTCTCACACTTGATGGAAATAGGTCTAGGAAGTCAGAGGCAGAAGGGCTCCACGATCTACACAAAAACTCCATAGTCTGGTTAGGGCTTTCTGGCATCTTCAATGATTGTTTGTAAGAACTGAAAGGTCTATTGCTTGACCCCAAATTCTTCTGAACTCTGTTCCAACATATATTACCTCTGTTTCCACCCTAACAAATATTTTTTGACAGGAAAATAATTAGTAATTCGCCGATGTATATATGGTGTCTTAACTCAGAAAAATATAACTTTCTTGCTGCGGAATCTGGCTTTTGTTGATAACTCACGTAGTAAGGTAACGATGATTTAGTCTGAGCTCTAAAAGAAACTCCATCAAATTTCATTTCTTCTTGTAGTTCCTCCATGTAATTTCCCAACACTATTACCTGTGAATGCAAGACTAGTTGTGAACCATCAAGCTTTGTCATTTAAGACATCAAGTAGATTATTCTACATATATGAATCAATACTTGTACATGATGAACAACATTCACAAGCTAGTTGCACAGTCTAATTTTCTTTTGCTGTACCAAGAATTGTTGAAAATAGAGAACACTGAAGCTTCTGATAGTATTAAAACCTACAGCTTAAAGGAAAGTATGGACAAGAAGATAAGAGAGATAAAATATTGATAGCCTCATGTAAAGTATAGCCTTTTTTCTAGTGGGTCATCTTTTTTTTATCCTAACAGACTTTCTGATGTACCAAAAAAGAAAGTGGGGGAAGGTGGGCACAATATACCAATAGTTAGTGATCCCGGGCCCCTTATTTCCAAACATAGTAAAGTGGAGGAGGAGACCCAAAGATTTTCTTAAGAAGGGAAGTGCATGCTAGTGGAAAATGATTAAAATGAAAGTGGAAAGGAATCAGTGAAGCTTACCCCAAGTAGAAGGTCCTTGTACTTGTACGCCCAAGTGCCTCTCTTTCAGTCTCTTATAACTAAGCAAAAAATTCTAAAAGTGGAAGGCACCTGCGAAAATATATTATTTCAATTATAAACAATCATATTCTATTCCCATATAAACAGCAATATTCTCGATGATATTCTTGTGGTCCTTCTATAAGTGGGAACAATATATTTGGAGAGATGTAGAGAGCGAAGTGAAGATTATGGAGATCTTTAGGACCACATTTGACCAGAGGAGATAGAGATATCATGTATAAGTACTTGTCGCTCACCCTTGTCAATTATGCACAAACCCTGTTGAGATTGCTCACTCCTCTTCAGTTTGTTTTTCCAATCTTCTGCACCATACATGCCCAACAAGGCCACTTGCAAACTCACTGGGATCTATGCATCCAAAATGGAGTTGTATATTAACAAATTTGATGCCTTGGAGGCTGTTAGCACGTGGCTCACAAGTCGTATTTAAACTCTTCAAGGCTCTAACTGGGCAACACTAAAGTCCATTATAAAGCACAATCTACACACAGATGTGCACTTCACCACTTGATGATTCACCACCAAATACTAAATCAACATGGGAAACCAGTTCTCTTAACTCGAGTACTTCACGTGAACAGAATCAGAAAACCAGAGAGAAAAATTGCAACAACCATTTCAACCTACTTGAAAACCTGAACAATGAAATTGTTCCAGCAACCAAAGGATTCTTGAAACTGCAACGTATATCTAACATGTGGAACGTACTTCTCATTTAACATAGCATCTCCCAAGTAAAAGAGCAAAAATTCAATTCCATGAATTCATTATCCTGAAAGCGTCATCCTGATCTTCCACTAATGGCATCAGCAGTATGGCTCTGATGGCATGTCTCCTTTGTTATAAACATTGCTCTCGCAGCACTCCCGGAGGCAGCGGCCCCGGATTGCTGTTTGCTCCATGGATTGTTTTGCCCATAATCTCCCCCAGGTCTACTTTAATTGGCAACTTATTCCAGTTTAGTAACTTGTCCCCCCTCCCACTTTCTTGAAATGAGCCAACGAATCTCTATTCCCTCAAGTCAAGACAGATTGTCTTATCTGTCCCTTTCATTCCTGATACAAAAATTAATTTAGTTGCAAACACCATTCAATAAATTTTTTAGTTCTGTATGATAAGCTTGTGTCATGTACTTGAGAAAAGAGATCTTCTGCTGTGAGGCTGCAAAGTTTCCTGGTGAATTATGTTAGGTGATCATGTCTTGCGAAGCCAATAAGACCCCTAAAATGTGGCTGCACCATTGTGCTTTGTAGCATGGTTGTTTCTTTGTTGCAGTTCCATGTTAAGAAGCCATGTAATACAGCTCAAAGCAACTCCTATGTCAATCATTACGGGCTCTAGAACAAACCTAAGTTAGTGATCTTTCTTTATGTATTAAGCTTTTTTATAACCCATTGCAGTACCAGATTATCAGTTTTCTCTCTGTTTGACTTAACTGTTATGTAATCCGTAGCTCTTCTTTGTTTTCTGTTAGAACTGCAGTATGCACATTCCCCATCCATGTAACCAAATAGGTACAACCTTACAAAACCATTGTCCCATATGTAGAATGTCACCTCTCTTTTCTCCCATAAACCCAACCAAACAGAAAAACAAAAAATGCATCTTTCCAATGAAAAATGCCTGTAGGAATGCATTTCAGTTTGAGTGGCCAGAAGAATGATACGAGATTGCCTCGTTGGTTATTCTCTTCTGGATTGTCCCCTCCCTAAGTTCATTGGAGTATAGTGATGCAATCATTAAAGTTCGCGCCACAACAAAGAAGCAGATTAAAAGCAACAACTCAATTTTCCTATTGAGTTACCATTCTGCTCAAAAAAAATTTCAGTATGTCTGGAATTTTCTGGCATTTTAATGGCACTCACTTTCTTTCCTCTATACCTCCCCCCCCCCCTCCTCTTTCTAATATACATATGTTGGCATGAGAAGTAGGCCATTGTTGGATGCATTTTTTGTTTCTTTTCTATTTTGTTAGAAGGGAGGGGTGGATCAGTTGTTGGAGAACTTCTCTCAAGTAATTTTTTTTGTTGACTATTATTTCTCAAGGTGATTGACCCGCTAGCCAAATCTAGTTCATTTAAGAAGACAAACAAGAGCCAAAATAGATTGAAATAGCATTACCTGCATCATCATATACATAAAATATGGAAACAAATTATATCTGGTTACCAAAAAAAAAAAAAAACAAAGAAAGCAAACTGTATGTACTGAGTTTCAGTTTTCTAGCTGCATAAAACTCAGAGTTTAACTGCTACGGATTAATGCATGCATCCGAGTTTGTGTTGAGTCCGTAAGTACGAGCGGACCACATGGTTGGGAAGAAAACATATTACCGAAAACATAAAACAAGAAATATATGCCTTGGTACACAGGTGTCTTCACTACCGGACTGTTCTTGCAACCCCTTCCCATTGCTTGTGGTTCCCCATTTATAGCAAAGAGACTCAGCATCTTGTAAGCATATGCCTTGCTGTTTCACATGCCAGTAATAGTGAAACCCCTTCCACATTCCTTCTCTATAAAATCGCCCGAGGCAGTCCCAAGTTCCCATTGAAGGTAGCAGTAGAATCGAGTAGTTCCCCAAACGTTGACTCGAAAATCCCATTCAAAGTAGTTCAGATAAGGGAGTATATGAATGCCAAGATCATTGTTCTTTGATTTACAATGAAGGGTCAAGTTCAATCCTTCTCCCAACTCATTGGTAATTTGTACATGCGAACGGCCAGGAGCAGCTTCACAGAGGGTAAGGAGCAACAGGAACACCATCCCTATATGGCTTATGAATGAGCTCATTTGTCTTGTGATTTTGGTTGAACATTGAGGTTCTTTGGATTTATACATGACTGAACTCACACATCTTAACTTCGAGTTCTATTACATAAATATTACTCTGAATTAACAGGTACACGTTCTTTGTAGGTAATTACATGCACAAAAAAATTTGTAACCAAAAGATAGATGATTAGACGATGTCCCATGTAAAAAAGAAAACGTGCAGCAAATTTAATAAGCACCTTAGCATGTTATAATCTTCATGTTACTTTATGGTTACCTAATCAATTATTCCCAGTCTAAAAGATTTTCATTTATGAGGCACAGATTCTCTTTGATCCTATATATCATTATCATATCCCAGCTAATTTAAGGAAAACTAATGTAGATATAAACTTCATATTTTTTTTAAAAATATTGTAAGTATTTTGTTGCACGTAAGCTAACTCGGACAACCTTGACCGTCAAACTAAAAAAAGAAAATCAAAAATAGTTTTCCCTTGATAGGTGTGTATGAAAAAAAAGAAATACATTTTGTGAAACGACGTTACTTGAACTTAATATGTTGACCTAAACAATCATTTGTTGGATTGCGAGGTAGATTCTAATGTTATTGAGACCCGCTCTCAATTTAATGATTATGATGAATTAGGTCAATAAGTTGATTAAGTTAGTGCAAATTATATTTAAAAAGGATTATATTTAGCAGCTTTGGAGTTGAAATTCCCAGTAAGCAAATAAACAAGTTAAAACATCAAGCATGTCCAGAGAACACCACAGACATTAAAACATCTCTATGAAATCTTATATTTTCATAACGAATCACTCCAACTTCAGACCTAGTACTGCTATCTACGTTATATTCATTTGAAACTCGAGGTTTTTAACGATTCATCAATTCATTGAAAGAAACGAAAGGCACTTTCATCATGGGAAATGGCTGTTTCTGATGTCTTGGACAATCGTCTCCTCAACCATATCTCCACCACTATCTAATTCTCCAAATCTCTTTGCCTCGCTTCCCTGCCATGGCGAGCAAAACTGTCTGTCAGGCTCATCGCTTTGTAAACATGGACCCTCAGGTTTCACATACCAGTAACAGTGCACGGGACACAGCTGCACATAATCGTTCTTGTAAACAGTGTAAGTGCCTGATCCATGTTCCCACTGAAGGTCGCACTTGAACTTTGTTGACCCCCAAACGTTGGGTCGAAAGTGCCAATCAAAGTACATATCGTTCACGAGTACATGGATGCCCAGATCATCTTCTGAGGAGCTACAATGGATGGTAAGGTTCGGACCACCCAGTTGATTTTGAACTCGCAAGAATGTTTTCACAGGAATAGCTTCGTTCATGGTACAGAACACCCCAAACAGTACTGTAAGAATGATGAAAAACTTCATCTTTGTAAGTTCTGGTAATTTGGTTGCGGAGAAGATGAGGTCTTTCTTTGCATGGCCTCTTGGCTCTTGGTATATGGGTTTTATAAAGGAGTTGGGTATTAACTGAATCACCATATTATTTTTCTTGCATCTCTTGGGATCATACTTAAAACCAATTAATTGTTCTCATGCAATGGTAATGATAATACTGAAAATAGAGCATGCCATAGTGTTGATTATTACATTTTCAGTCCCCATGGGGTGAGGAGTCGGCTATATTTCTTGTATTATGAAGAAGTTTTAGGTAGAATATGGTACTAATCTGGTTCATTATATCCGAGTTATGTTGCATTCAATTGTATCAAAACCAGGGAAATAGTCTTTCCGCACTTTTCGAATGAATGAATAGATTACCGCATATTCCATAATGACGAAAATCTTGTATACAGAACTATCTTTTTTCCTCTTATAATTTCAGAAAAACATGACATTTCTATCTATAAATCAAACCTAACAGGAGTACATCAAGGTAGATTTTACTTTACACCACCTTTCCATTGAGAATGGTTTCAAAAGAAATTAAGTTTGAAAATACGCATTTTCGGCATATCATATAGAAAGATGAAAAGAAGGGCAATGGTTGATATTAATTACCAAAATTCTGACCTGCACTAAACATGAAGATCACAATTACTAGCAAATATCCAGCCAACGCTTATAGTTCAGCAATTCCCAGGGAACGCAATCTTGGGAAATCCAAATGCTTATTTTTTTTTTTTGGTACATATCCAAATGCTTATTGGCCAAAGCTTATTGCCAAAAGAAATGGAGCAAAGCTAGGCCATAGAGAAATCGTAAGGTGCCATTCAAAGATATGTAGCCAGCAAAGGAATGCTCAGAATGAGGGTTTAAAAAGAACACAAAACCAACCACATGATATAACCAAGAAATCTTGAGATTCATACAGCTTAACTGTCATTATGAACGCTACTGCTAATGGTTCAAAGGAAATGCAGTAACAAGACTCGAACCAAATTCCACAAAACATGCAGCCATTAACATTAGCTAGAATTCACTATTTCTTCTCTTCCTTCTCAGCTTCAGCAGCCTTCTTCATCCTGGCACCAACATGTCGCTTGTTTGTCCGCTCCACACGTAGCTTGTCATAAGCCTTAAATGACTTCATCTCATCTGTGACCTTAACAAGCTCCACAGTTGGCTTCTCACGTACAATGGGCATGTAAGGGCCTTGGACTTGTGTAGCTGTTGCCAATTCCTCGGGAGCAGAATCACCAGTCTGCAGCAAAAAGAAATGTTGAGCAAGATCATAAAGAAGTGAACATATAGTCATTTTCTCGCTAAATTGGTAACTGCTATGTATACCTTGAACTTGCGAGCACGCCTTGGGAAGACAACTAATTTAGCCTTGAATGTCTTTAACCTCTGCACATTTGTCTGTAGACCCTCTAGGGAACGGTTTCTGCGGCGATGATCAACTGCAATACCAATGGTCGGGGCAAGTTTCTTTGGAATCCCTGCTGCCTAGTTGGATCAGAGTAGACAGTGGTTAGCCATCAAAGAAAAAAAATCAGGGATTATAGATTAATAAACCTTCACAGTTCAAAGGGACAAAAATGATGAGCCAGTTTCAACCATTACAATCCAACAAGAAGAGTAGAATGGGGTAATGTCTAACTGTCTATGTTTAATTGACAAGCAAAGAAAAAACCTGTGACACGTAGAACATGCTCTCCTTGATACTAGTATGATTCTTGAACCTTTTGCAGAAATAATACATCCATTCAGCTGTGACATATAGTTCTATTTCTATTTACGAACATCAATTGGGTCTCAAAAATCAAACATGCTGGTTTAGTTGCACACAGCCCCCACAATGAATAGAATGTGGATTTATATAAAAAAAAACAGTTGATTAACAATCTAAAGGTCAAGAAGCAAATGCCTTGCGGCTTATTAAGCCACAAGAAGGAACCATCAGGGATACAAAATTTCAGCAAACAGAGTTCCAAAACATAGGTTTCATTTTGAACACTGGGAAGAGCAGCAGCAATAAATATAGAGAGAAAAACCTCAAACTAAATCATCTTGTATATTTCAAATATCTAAACTTTCTTTCGCATTCTCACTGAGATACAAATCTGGGCTTCAAATTTAAACATGGAATGCAACATACACATATTAAAGCTAGCAATGATTTAAAGCAACCTACCTTCAGCTCCTCGAGAGAAAACCCCCTACCAGCCCTGACTTTCATATTGTACTTCAATGTCTGCCCGTGGACAATGGGACGAAGTGGCCCAGAAGTTGGCCGAGGGAAAATCTTCACAGCCTTCTTTTGTCGAGCTGGAAATATTCAAAGAACATATATTCTCAGAGGTTGGTCTTTTTTAAAAGGGCATTATAATGCAGCAAAAAAGAAAACATAAGTAGAAGATAACGATTGACCATGTTTGCAGGACTTATAAGTGGACACAAACACAAGGAAAAATGCTTACCAATTCTTCTCCTTGTTTTACGGGCAGGTTGGTTAAACCAGGTCTTCACATAGTTCTGCCAGTGCTTCCTGAAGTGCCCACTGGGCACAACATTGTTATGCTTAACCATGACTTACCTGTAGAATCATGGCATAAGTGCAAACGCAAAGAATAAAGTAAAACTGACTAGAATAAAACTAAGAAACACGGACACGACGACACGAATTTTTTCAAAAAAGTAGGATATAGACACGTTAGCGATACGTTAAAGTTAAATAATATGTATTTTATATATATATTTATATAAAATCATGTGATAAAATAAAAATATTATCATAATAATCTTTTAATTCATCATTTCCCTAATTCTAAAAATTCACATCATGATATCACTGCATAAAAAATACAATATAAGATATACTAATACACATTCAATATTAACATTCATGATTCAATGATTAATGACTTCTACAACTTTTACTTTCAAAAATATTTCATTTCATAATACTAATTTTCATCAAATTTCAAGAGCCCCAATTTTATAATCCCATTTTTTCTCATTAATTTCATATTAAAAGGCTATTCCATTTGTATATAAGTTCGTGTTTGTATTCGTATTCAAAATTATGTCAAATTCATGCTCTATGTTTAATGTAATGATTATAACTTCTTTTATATTATAATTGTAAATCATGTCCCTTTAAAATTATAAAAATAACTCTTAATTATAAAATTATCTGAAAAATTCTAAAAAAATTGAAAATAAATCTCAAAACATGTCCCCAGCATGTCCCAATGTGTCCAAAACGTGTCCTAAAAAAATTTAACAATAAAAAAATCGGACTCTCACTTTATCGGGTCGGACACATGTTCATGTCCCAGACGTGTCCTCCATTCTGCCCAAAATAAAAGTGTCTGTGCTTCCTAGGTATAAAATAAAACTGACTAGTATAAAGTAAAACCAAACCATTCACATTATTCACTCCATGTAGATCATAAGCATACTGTAGTAGCATATAACGGTGCACTTACACACTTTATATGCGTCTATTGTTGGTGAATTATGTATATTGCACAAATAATAGAACGTAACATCGCATACCGATCATAGGCATTTTTGCAGCCGACCCAGTAAAGCTAAGCCAAAAAATTTACAAGGCAGCCCATGGATGCAGAACCAAACAGAGTCTTCCGAAAGACTAAGGCAAAGTATTTATATCCAACAACAGCATAGATACTACCACCTTTCACAAGAGTCAAATCGGCCCCAAATAATTGGCAGTCCATTGTACTGAAGACAGCCATTAGTGCATTGGGAAATAGTAGTTGTCAAGGTTACACAAGGAAAAACAATTGGAAAGCGTAACCTATGCCATTATGTTTGAATCATGAATAATTTAGAAGACACCACATGAAATGCTCTGGAGAAAACATAAATAAAACCTATCATAAAAGCAAAAAGAAATGGAATCATTTGAATTAAGTGAAACAACCAAAAAATCAGTATCAATTTTCAAATGAAATCAGACATTTATAGATTCAATTCCAAATGAAATAATCAGCGACATGAAAACCCCAACAAAAAATAGAGCATTTGCGATATTTAAAACAATAAACAACATAATTTCCAGCCTGAAGGTCCATTTGTCCCGGTGAAAATGAATATGGAGAAATTAGAGAAAATGAAACATAAAAGGACACCTATATTGTCTAAATCATTAGTCACTGAAATATTATGAAAGGAACCGTAAGATGTTACACCTAAAAAAAGCTGACTGAGATGAAAGAAAAAGCAAGGCGGCCAATACATAATGTTTACAGATGTAAAACCTTAAACAAAGACATTGCAATCTAAGTATACACAATCCAACTAAAGAGCTCAAAATGAACGAAAATAAAGGGTTTTATAAAATTCAGTAAGGGAGGAGATTATCTGTATATGCAGAATAAACGAAAATCCTAGGATTCAGAATGCTAATTTCTTTCAGTTTCCTACGTTTTTATAGTGAAAAATATATATAAGTCCGATGAACAACCCCAATTCTTAGGTGACTTCAAATGAACACAGATCTACAAGTTCACTTACAGCGCCGCAGAATAACCGATGGTCTCCTCTCTCTGTCTCGCTCGCTGCTGCAACTTTCAAGAGAGGGCTGCGCCTATATACATATATATATCTCGATATAAATCCGCCTAGGGTTTTTGTAATTCTTTTGGGACGGGCCTACTGGACCTGAATGGGCCTTATAATTAGTAAGCCTTTGAGTCACAAAAAGCCCGTGTTATAGGGGATTAATTTTACAGGAGGTACTCAAAGTATAAAAAGTAAATTGTAAATGGTATATCAAATTAGACTTATTTGTTAAAAAATATACACTAAAAAAATAGAATTATTAAGTACTTAATTTTGATACTTATTTGTATCCAAATACATAATTTAAATTTATCTATTTTTATTGTGATATTTTTGTCCTCCATTAATCCATGTGTATTTAATGCACCACTTTTTTTTTGAAAGTGGTGCATTAAATATCTCTTAGCTTTATGAGAAAACTTTAATACATACATACACACACACACACACACACACACACACATATATATATATATATAAATACATATTTGTATATATGTATGTATGTATTTATATACTTGTTGTTAAATCTCTTATCTTAATTTTGAATTATCTTTTAATGCACTTTGATTCATGAATTTTTTTTTTTTTAGAAAGTGGTTTTATTTTTAAATTAATTTAATATTCGAATAGTGTAATAGTATAACAATAACAATGTAACAATAAAAGTGTAACAATGTAACAATAAAAGTGTAACACTAACAATATAACAATAAAAGTGTAACACTAACAATATAATAGTATAACAATAATAGTGTAACAAACTATTTACACAAAATATTGTACTATTTCATATTGTCAAATATATAGTTTTATATAATTTCATTCAAAATAATTCCTCTCTGTTTTGAATTTGTTATCTTATACACAAACTACTAAACACTATTTTTGTTACAGTGTATTTGTTACACTGTCTCTGTTACAGTGTTTTTGTTATACTATTATATTATTCAGATATTAAATTAATTTGAAAATAAAAGCTATTTTTCAAAAAAAAAAAAATGTTTGAATCAAAGGTGCATTAAAATATAATTTAAAAATAAAATCACTTTTAAAAAAAAATACGCATGAATCAAGGTGTATTAAAGATAATTCATAATTTAAATAAGATATTTAATAACAAATATATATATATACGTGTGTGTGTGTGTGTATAAATAAGTATATATATTCGTATATACATACATATATATACATGTATTAACAGATATATATGAATCAATGTGCATTAAATACGTATTTATACGTATTAACAAACTCACATGAATCAAGGTGCATTAAAGATAAAAGATTTTGAATTAAATAACCCTAAAATAGACATTTATGTCTTTTTAACTCACATTTTGTTTTATGTATTTTTTGTCAAATAAGTTTAATTAGGTATACCCACTTTCAAAGAATCCAAGTATAAAAATCGTCTTATTCCAATCCTCAATATATTTTAATTATATCATTTAGTTATTGAAGTATTGAATATATTTTTATATGATCTTTCAAGCAAATACTGTATAAATTACTAATAATTTTTTACCATAAACTTATCATATAATACCCAAATATGGGCAAAAAAATAATTTAACTAATTCTTGACCAAATTTTTAGCCAAAATTTGGTCAAAGAGCGACCAAAATTACATGATTTTGATCATGAGTTATCTAAATTTTGATTCATAAATACCAATTTTTTGTCAAAAACTATCTAAATTATTTTTTACGCATATTTAGACATTACGTGATAAATTTATGATAAAAAAAATTATTAAAAATTCAGATTTTTTTTATTTTAGGAATCACATAAAAATATATTCAATACTTTAAAAATTAAAATAATATAATTAAAATATTTGAGACTAAAATGATACAATAACCCAAAAATAAATAACGTGATCCATTATAAACAAAACCGACCCGTGTGACCCATTGTGAACCAACCCACACGCCTGATGAGAACTCACGGCCACAGCCTCCAGGACTCCTTCCCCCCTCTCTCTCTCTCACATCTCTACTCTCTCAATGTACCCCCGACTTCCCCCAGCCATTGCCGTTTTCGTCTGTGACCATTGCGGCAAAGAGAGCGCCGATTCCAGTGCCGTCTTCACCAGAGGTGATTAACTCCGCAAGTTTACATTCCATCGTTGTTTCGTTTCCCATTTTTTATTTTCTGTTTTGCTTTATCTTTAATTTTTTTTATTTTCATTCGATTTTCAACTTGCTTTTCTTCTGGATTCTTATTTTCAGTTTGCTGTTCGAGTGGGTTCTGATTTTCAATTTGGTTTCCCATTTTAAATTGATTTTTGAGTTCGAGTGAATGAAATTAGAATTGAGATGGTGGGATGGAAAAATTAAGTGATGAAGTAGAATTTCTCTGAATTTTGGCGAATTACTGTGAGGACTCCGCAGAGTTGGGGAACTTTTCTTTTTCTTTTTTTGTTGGTGGTGCACGTTGATGTTGGGTCATTGGGGTTTGGTTTTTTCGGGCCATGGGTTGTGATGGTGCGGTGGATGAGCTGCCGTGGGTCTTGATGTTGCAGTGAGTGCCGGAATTGGAAACGATGGGCATTAGGGTGATTATCTTTGCAGTTAACAGAGTTAACTCTCCTGCGTCTTCTCCTGCAAAACAGGGGAGAATTAAGCGTCATTTTGAAATTCCTGGGGTGGTGTACGGAATAGGTAAACCACAGGGGGTAAATTGAAGTTTCCCCTACTTTTTAATTGCTATCTGATTCCAAATTTACCTTCTTTATTGCAGCAAATTAAGAGCTACACCAAATCTGTGAAGATGCAAGTCATGGTGTCTGGTAGTGCGCTTTCAGTTTCATTTGTTCATGGTGTCTCACAACGTTTCCCTGTTAGTCTCAAATCCATCAATGGGGATGTAAAACGCCAGAAAGCAAGTTCTTTGTGTTATCCAATTCAGCATAATGGAGTCGAAGGAATTGGTTTGAGTATGGTTGACAGCTTTTCAAATAACACTGTCAACTCAATGTCTGAGCAGTCAAAAGATTTTGTAGATGGAAAGGAACTTTCCTGTGAGTTATACAATGATTCTATAAGGAAGTTCTGCAAAGGTGGGGATATTGATAAAGCAATGACATTTCTTTCTCAGATGGAGGCTCTAGGCTTTCGTCCCAATTCCTTATCTTACTCCTGCTTGATAACTACCCTTGGAAGTGCCAGCAGGACTTTGGAAGCTGAGGCAATCTTCGAAGAAATGGTACTCTCTGGGATTAAGCCAAGGCTAAAAGTGTGCAATGACTTGCTCAAAGGTTTCTTGAGAAAAGGCCTCTTGAAGCATGCGGATAAGGTTCTTGCAGCAATGGATCAATTGTGTATACGGAAGAATCGAGAATCCTATGAGATCCTTCTTGATTACCATGTCCATGCTGGGCGCTTGAAAGATACTTGGTCGGTCATTGCTAAGATGAGGCGGGAGGGTTTTCAACCAAATTCATTTGTTTACAGCAAGATTATTGGAATTTACCGGGACAATGGGATGTGGAAGAAAGCAATAGGTATTGTGGAAGAGATAAGGGAGATGGGGGTTTCACTAGACAAGCAGATTTATAACAGTGTCATCGATACACTTGGGAAATATGGTGAATTAGAAGCAGCCTTAGAAGTGTTTGAGAAAATGCAACAAGAAGGCATACGACCAGATATAATGACATGGAATTCGTTGATCCGGTGCACTTGCAAGTTTGGGGATCTTTCTTATGCTCTTGAGTTGTTTACTAAGATGCAAGAAGAAGGGCTATATCCAGATCCAAAGATATTTCTCACCATTATTAGCCGTTTGGGGGAGCAGGGGAAATGGAATATGATAAAGGAAGTATTTGAGAATATGAAATGCAGAGGACTTAGAAAAAGTGGGGTCATTTATGCAGTTTTGGTTGATATTTATGGACAATACGGGAGATTTCAGAATGCAGAAGAATGCATAAATGGTTTAAAGTCAGAAGGTGTTGAGCTTTCAGCCAGCATGTTTTGTGTGCTGGCAAATACCTATGCTCAACAGGTGATTCCACTCTTGTGTTTGCAGTACTGAATTTCTTCCTTTTGGGAAAAGAAGTATTGAATTCTGTTGCATGTTATATTTCTCAGTCTAGCTTGGGTTGATCCTATAAGGTTATGTTTAACATTGCATGTGGAGATAATCTTTCCAAACATATGTTACTCATGGTAGAGCAGTCCTAAATAATCTTTCGCAATACTGCCTCCACTTGGTATATCAAGTATGGTATTTTGTAGTATCCCTGCGTGTTGTGAGTCATATGATCTACTTTATTGGGGATAGTGTTGACATAATTCCTGACTTCTCGTCTCTTGTTGAAGAGTGAATAATGGCTGGGTTAGCATGAAGAGAAAGAAACTAAAAGTATATCATTATTTGATTTATCACATTGTCAATGAAACCGCATGGATGTTATTTCAATCTTGTATATTGTTCTATGTGCATAACATGTTTCACTTTGTGTGTGATCTGTGATGCCAAACAGCAAGAAATGATTAAAAATAACAAAATGTTGGACAAGTAATTTCTGTAGCTATTCGCCATTTAACCAGTGAAGGAACTGTAGATTTGATTAAAAAATGAAAATTTTATTGTTCATGCTCTATAATTTAATTTGATATGCAGGGATTATGTGAACAGACAGTTAAGGTTCTTCAGCTAATGGAAGCAGATGGAGTCGAACCAAACCTCATAATGCTGAATGTGTTGATCAATGCATTTGGCATTGCTGGAAGGCATTTGGAGGCGCTATCAGTTTATCAACATATTAAAGAAAGTGTAGGGCACTGGAATTCTTCATTTAACTCCTTCTCAAGATACTCCTTAAGCCTGTTATCTACTAATGATAGTTGTATTTTTCCTGAAGGGTATTGCTCCTGACGTCGTCACCTACAGTACACTTATGAAGGCATTTGTAAGAGCAAGGAAGTTTGATCAGGTGTGCTGTATTGTAGTTTCACACATTTAATCGTCAATGCACAAAGACATTCTTACAGAGTTACGGTTAAAAGCATCATTTCTGTTTCCTCTTCTTCTCAAAGAATTGGTAAGACCCACCTGTAATGCAATGAAAACTTGGAATTTGGAACTTTTTACATGTCAGATTGGAGTGGCCAATTTTATGTAATTTATATGGACCTCTTGACATTGGATTATAAGTTTGCTTCCCAGGGGTCGGTATGCTAGACCCCTGAATTAACATGGATAGTAATTGAATCATTAAATTTTTTGTTTTTCAGATGCTTTGGCAAAATGAATTGTTGATGTAACATTGCCTGTCTAACATGGACAATCACGCATACAAGAATATTTACACAACTAAATAGAACATGCCAGAGAACTAATAGTGGAGAAGGGCTATGCTCCTTTTTCTTTGCTGGCGTGCCTTTTGATTATATATTTGAAAGTCAAAGTGCTAGACACCGTTTTCATACGCAAACCTTACTGTGTGTTGCCAAAATATGCTTATTTTTGTCATTTTGAATTGCCAACTGGGTTTCTGGCCAGGTTCCTAAAATATATAGTGAAATGGAATCTGCTGGGTGTACACCTGATAGAAAGGCCAGAGAGATGCTGCAAACTGCAATGATGGTCCTTGAACAGAGACGTTATTAATACTAAGTGATCTTTGGGGCTGTGATTATTGGCTTTTGTTTCTACATCAACTCATGATTCATAAGCCATCTCATGATCATTCTGAAGCTCACTTGAGGAATTTTCTTTGACTTTCTCATCATAGCGGGTGTCTCATGTATGTCCTTTACTTGTGTAATTAGTTTTCTAATTTATTTTACTCCTCTTGTATTCTTACTGGTTATAATGGGACTAGATGTGGATATTCACTGTTTTTATATGTTTGAGGGCTTTGCCTGCAGTACTTCTCAACGTGACTCCTGTTCAATTTTTCAGATTCCGAAGGAGATTCTTTGGTCCTTGATATGATTTACATCCCCAACTTGGAGGTCAAGCAGTGTATGCTGCATGGGACGTGTTAATTTTTTTTCCCCAAACGTAGGGTAAATATGATACTGGAACTATGCAGGCTTTGCATCACACATAATGGAAGAGAATCCCATGACATTAAACATACTTACATGTGATCCTGACTCATGTGATTTTGAGGGAGAAGGTAAACCTTCAGTTATAAGTAGCGCCTTCGAAGTATCACATGTTGTGCATTATATTGCATATTGAGTTCTTAATCTTTCATGAACTTGCATTGATTAAGAACTCAATATGCATAATCGTAGCTTCTGTTGAATTTCCATGTGTATTATTTTCTCTTAGCTTCTGTTGAATTTGCATAATCTTGCACAGTTTACAGATAATCTTGTTTAGGTGAATTTTAGAACATGGTATTTTGTTTCCCTTCCATGGACTTTAAAGCATATGGGACCTTCAATAACATTTAATTTTTATGCACCAGGCACTCATTTTGAAATTCCTGTGTTTTATTTCCATATGTACCTACAATGCCTATACTATACCTATATTTTTTGTAGCTGAAAATGGTCACTGACAAGGCCGATTTATCTTTTCTCTCAGCTAAGCTGGATTGACTCTGCCATCTACTGGATTTTCAGGTATCCTTATATGTCTGTAAGAATTCAAATCCTGCTGCCCTTGCGCTTATGTACTGGTTCATATATCAGAAGCTGGTTGTGTCCCCATCAATTCAATTCTGCTTATGGTATATCTGTTGAAAGAAGTGCTTGAAGTGAAGTTGGAAAGAAAAGTTAAAACTGTATACTTGCAAGTAGGGTAACAATAAAAAAAGAAGGACCTTAAGTTGAGGTTGTTTGAAGTGTAGCATCATCGTCGACAGCATGTGTGATAAAAGAAATCATGTCTCCAATCGAATCTGGTTTTCAAGCACTGGTAACAAGAAAAAATTGAACATTGTTGCCACAATTGCATCACATTATGATGTTAACTTAATGACTTTCACAAGAAATCTTATTTGAATGCGAAGCATCAGTTTCCTGTTTGTTGATGTTCTCAGTTATTCATAGTAGTAGAGCTCCTTTCAGTTTATCAATCAACATTTTTTGTGCTTGTATGAGGTTTGGTTTTATGGTACTTAATCAGTTTATAGATTTGAGTTCTCCATAAATAAAGATAATTTATGATCGAGTGAAATTAAAGAAATGTATTAGAGGAAATTCAAATCGAATTTAGTCATCAATTCTTCCTGCTTTTGGACAGCTTTAACATTGTTTATATCGAATGTTTCTCACCTAATAATTTTCCAAGCCTAAACCCACAAAACTTCGTGAGTCTAAAACTGCAAGCAACCAACCGGCATTCTGCTGCGACAACAGAGGTGGTCTCGGGGAAGATATGCCTGTTGAGGACTACGTCGATATCAAAAGTTAGGGAGCTCAATTGACATTTTTTTTTTTAATTCAACAGTCGAGGATGTCCAAATTATTCAATTGACTTTATTGAGCTAGTAAATGATCATGATTGGAAGTGGAGGTGGGCATCTTTTAAGTTTTTTTTTTCTCCCTTTACATAGGCAGAGATAGCCATTCTTCAAGCCCAGGGCAGAGCAAAATTGTATTTGCTAGTGGAATTTAAAACAAGTTATAAGTAGTGATGGTGAGTGTTGCACAATTGAGCAAAGTGATGATTTCTAAGGGTTAAGGAACTATTGAATGACCCAATTAAAGCTTCTAGGCTCTTGGGGATTGAACAAATGGTATTACAGACAAATGGTTTATAATGGTTCACGAGTTTTAGAGTTTGATTAATTCACTCTTCAAAAAGTCTCTTGTTTATGGGGAAGAATTTATTAATGAGGGGGAGGATTATATCAAGTATTTATTCTAGTTAGTTGCTTATGTTACATTGTGAAAGATCTACCTCTTATTTATAGTCTTCTTGTGTCTTGCTTGATTTTTTGGCGTAATTCTGTCTCTTCTTTGTAATGGATGCACCAATTGTGCAATCACCCTGGATATTGCCGAGGCAATTGCGGCTTTCTTACCTGAATGAATGTAGGATTGTTGCAATTGATGTGCAGCACTTCGGTGGGCACCTGTTGTCATCTAGCTTTTCCCACAATGGTGCTATTACTTGGGGGACCCGGTCCAAGCACATCTAGTTGATCATCAAGAATTTGCATGATTCAAACTTTGATTTGCCGAACTAAACGACTATGTTCAACCTTAACCGAATTTTAGTACCGACGGTAAAATCAATAACTGTAATTACCAAGTTTTGTTTTTTAAATTCACGTAACATTGCTCATGAAAAAATAGGGGCACAAGATAAAAGTAACAGTATTTTTCATAGCAAAGCACCATATTATCTCATATGTACACACCCAGATAGCATCAGTTTTCATTGCATAAAGTTCGTTCATGATGGCCTTACTAGTTATTAACACACGCACACATATATCTATTTATATATACACGCGTCAAGGAGGAGGTGGCTTTTCCAAATCCTCCATAGGGCGGAAGAAGGCCTGCTGCTCCAACGCCGAATCGTCATTGGCACTCGCAGGCGAGCTGGGGAAGGAACGTTCCCCGCCCTCAGTCACAGGGCCAAATATACCAGTTTTGGGGTGCGGAGCCCAGTACTTGTCAGATTGGGGCTGGATTACTTCATCTGGAACCACCGTTGGGTGGACCTGATCACCATCGGGGTTCTTGTCGTACACCGACACATGCACAGCCCTCCTGCACAAATTTATATAGTTACCAATGAAGCTGATAATACTTGACTCTCAGTGCAGTGGCAAGCACCGAGAGTCAGAGATATATGTGATTAACTAGGGACAAAAAGGCAATTTAGTGATAAACAAGGATATGGTACTATGGCAGTAATTTGGTAATTTATCGCCAATTCCAAAAATGTCTTCTGCACCTTCTTCAGAAAGATAGTGGAACCCACTCCCACCTTGTTCAACCTGTTACCTTCACTTTCCAAGTAGGTAATAAAATGAAAATGAAAAGCTACCCAAATGTAATTATCAACCCAGGTTGAGACCGGTTGACAAGGGTGTGCTCTGTGAAAGTCATCGGATAGTTTTTCAATATAGATTCACTGATAAATTTATATTTTGAAGAATGTCACAAAAGCTGTTGATTCGCATGAGTAACACCAAAAGTTCAAGAACAAAGAGTTAATACTGGTTCAATAACTCTCCTATGTAGTCAAATCGGGTTACCGATGTTTACGAAAGGACATTAATGCTGGCCCTTTTGTAATACCCTATTAGTTTATTTTAATTAGAAACATTCGAACCCCAACTCTTGATCCGCTCCAACTCTCACTCCCATCCCAACAGGCCTTCCACCCCCACCTCAACCCCGGCAAGACCCCCACACCACCCTATCCCTGACAGACCACCACCACAACTCCCAATCACGATAGATCCTCCACCCCCTTTCCCCTCTCCCTCTCCCTCTCCCCCTTCCCCTGCCCCCTTTCTCTTTCCCACAGTTTGAGAACCACATCCCTAAACCCACAATCCCATACCCTAAACAGTCCCCCCGAACACAAAATCATACCGCAATCACAAATCAGTTGTGGATTTGGTGTATGTGTAAACGAGAAGAAGCTCAATAGCCATGATGACAAATTAGGGTGGGGGTGGATTTGTTTTAAGATTGGGTAGGATTGTTCATGTCTAAGGTTCATAAGAGCATTTTTCGTCCCTTGATCATGTCAATTTTGAGCATTAAACATTTAACGCATTGACCATCAATTTGTACAGACTTCTTAACTGTGCACAGAGAGACTAAACTACAACTAGACATAATCAGGAAAATTTCCACACGAGGGCACCACCGATGTTATATAGATGAACTTAGTAAAGAAGAAATTAAATATTAAATATATCATAACTGACCGCACCATGGGCTAACCCATACACCCATTGCATGAGTTGAATACTACTTAGTCAAGTAGAACTAGGAATGGGCTAAGACTTATCAGAGACTACTGGACGTCTCACAGAATGACTCTCATCGAGAACATTGAGACTCATTAAAAAAAAATCCGTTGAGCCTGTTCGGGAGAAAAAAAAAACTTTATTTTTTGATGTGGTAAGTAAGAACGAATTCAATCCGATCATTAGCAATTTTGTTTGTTCCTAAAGCCAAAATCACTACAACTCGACATGTCTAGTCCTACGAACTTTCTTTTCTTTTGCTTTCATGTGGGTCAAACGTCACCCAATAATAATATCCACTCACATAGGCCAAATCTTATCTACAGCCGGATTTCCCGATATCCAATTTTGCAGAATCACGAAAATACCCCTCAACTGGTGACCGATCGCCTCGTCGACGGTACATCTGATGCACTATACAAACTCAAACCGAAGACGAAACGAAAGAACAAGGATATCTCTATTTGCACAATTATATCTCATAAAATATCCGATAATGCAAAATTATTCACAAATAGTGCTCAAATAAGCATAGATTTGCACAAACTTTACAAGGATCAGCAACTAAAATGATAACGAATCAGACAAGCTACAATATAGTTGTCCCTTGTCCAAAATAGTATCGGAAATGAACTTCGATCCGCTCTATATACATAAATATCTCAAAATTAAAGAGCAAATTAATCTGCCCAATATTTTCCAATATCAGAAGATTCAGAACCTTAAATCATCCGAAATCAAGAACTCCCCTCAAGTTAATTTCAGTTCATTTTAACACTATAATCGTCTAAAATTCTCTACAAAATCACCTTTTCTCTATAGACATAAGCAATAATATACCTCATCCTTAGGGAAGGAGACTGAGCTGCATCGCGAGAGCTTCTGGCGCGGATCTGGATCTGGATCTGGTTGACGAATCCCTTACCGAAGCTCGCAACTCTGCGACTTTGCAAACTGGCCGCCATACAGTATAAGTTTTTATATACGTAGAGCGAGAAAGTAGATATGGTAGACAACACAGACACTGAATAATAAAGAAGAGGGGTTAATTTATCTCTCTACACTGTCTGAAGCACCTCCTTTTTATATAGTTGGTCTATGACTCTTCCCTCAACCCAACTGTCTGTCGTCTTACTACGGAAAACGATTACAATTTTCTTTTTTTTTTTTGGTTACAAGATTTTGAGTCCTGTGCAGGCCCAATTACTTCCGCTGCGTTTGATACGCGGTAATTCATTTATATAAAAATAGAATGAACATAAAAATAAAATAAACTTGAGAATGAAATAAAATATGCATTACTATTTTAATGTTTGACAATTAATTAAAATTAAGTCTTGAAATAAAATGCTCATTCCATTCCAAAGTTTGGATAAAATAATTTCTATTGAATTGGAATGAAATTTAACCAAAATAATTTTTTATCATAAAATTTTCAACTTATTGCATACATTATAATGAGTATTTATGTGAATTTTAAATTTGACAAATTAGATTAAATATGTCGTAAATAAAGTCACAAAAAATCACATAATGAAAATTTTCACTAAAAAATAATAAAAAACAATCATAAACAACAAATAAAAATAATAATAATGTGATACGTTCATCAATGTCCTACATAATCCTTCATGAATAACTTTTTTCATGAAAACCATAATTTTATTTTTTTGAGGAAAAAAGAAATTTTATTCCATGAAACAAATTTACAAGAAGCAAAGAGGACCAAACCAATTTGGCTTAATCCTTCAATACACCCTATAATCCAAAAAATTACATCAATGAAATTTCAAAAATCTCAAAATTGCAAAAGGAAAATCAGATAAATTTCCTTTTCTTCCTCAGCAGCTGAAACACTTGCTAGTCATGCAATAACAGCAGCCTTGCCTGCACAGGGATAGATTGATCTTGGAGAAAACCAGATCAGACTCCAACCAGAGCTCCAATCATCCCCAGCACAGCAGCACCATAGCTCAGCAACTTAACAAATAGCAAACAGCAGTGCAAACGACACAAATAATGCAATCAATTTCTTTCTCATATAGTAAAGGATGGCAGTAGACATCACATGGAAAAAAACAATTGACTAAATGCATGATTTTGGTTCACAACACAAATAATCCAAATCCACTTGTATGAATCCCGTTAAGCATGTCATGAAAAATGCAAAAATCCCTCTAAATGCATGATTTTATCTTTCATTCTACTTTGTGATGGAATTTCTGTGAGGATAGACTTCTTCAAATATCAGCCTCAACATCCATTATGAGGTACATAAAAGAATGTCAGTCTCATCATTTGTCTTGGTTCCTATCAAATTATTGCAAGAGCTCATGGTGCTCATTTTCTCCAGTATACTGTGCAATAGTAGGATAAGAATAATCACACCGCCATAGTCATAGATTAAATTGAGTGTTTCTAACTCAAACTATATATTAGGTAAAAGGCCTAATGTTATTTATTGGGAAGAAAAGGTGTGCTACTGCAAAACAACATCAAAATGAACTACAATATGACAACGGATTGCATAACCATAGCCGAGCTGTGAAAGTGATCGATTTATGTTCCCTGCTTCCTTCAATCGTTCTCCAGCTGCACCTGTCAGCTTCTGTCTTTCTGACCCAACAAGATTTATTCTGCTTGATTTAAAGCAGCTTAACCCATCTGACATGCTCTGTCAAATTAAATTAGACCACATTTAGCATTTCATAATACATAGAGCAAAAAGGAACCAATATACCATTGAAAGAGTGACAAGTGTGCATATACAGAGAGAGTGATCCACAAAGCACTAACTAGGCTGTGTACTTTTATAAGCCTGCTTGTAAACCTCTATCAAACATACAGGGTAAAAAGCATCCCTTTTTATAGGGATAAAATAGAATGAAATCATCCTCCACATCTGAAATAAGAATAATTAATTCAGTAATTGTCCTCAATAATATGACTGTATTACCTTGCATCGTGATTCCACAACACAAGTGACTGTTAGGTAATATGATGCAGGGATTGTCAAATAGAGGACTGGTGCATATACACAGAGAGTGATATGCACAACCCACAAACCTGTCTCTTCATATCCCCTTTCCTGGTCATTAGAGCAGCCGAGAGAAGCCTCGGCAAGATATATGTCTCAACTCTTCTAAAGATGATAATTTCTATTTCATCTTGGACAACACACAGACAACGCTAGAAACTGGTCGTGTTATTGGTTGAGTGAGACAGAATACATGGCCAGCGCATGTCCAAGCAGCTGTGGAAATCACCAAAGATACCCAACAATTTGTGTGGTTGGTCTGCCAGAAGGAACACATCTCTAAATCTATCAAAGGTTCTTTTTCCTATAAATTTTTAGGCAATAAATTGACAACTACATGATACAAATCTTTTCTGTAAACCATGTTACCTAACACTCAAATATGTTTAGCACAAAATGGGAATGAAATTTTGTCTCATTTCTAAGGGTACTTTTATCATATAGTTGGCAGGCATGTTATTCAAAATGGGAAATAGAGAAACTAAATTCTTAAATTGGATTTGAGATTGTTGACTAAACAAAGTGAAGAGTTACCTGAGATTAGTGGCGATGTCAAATCTTGTCTGTTCATCAATCTAGCCCCTTGCATTACAAAGAGACGAGGAAGAAGCATACAATGGCTACTGAGGGATGGACTGCCATGCTTCCCGCTGATGAAGGAAAAGTTCATATACCGGAGGAGAAGAGAGAAGAGGAGAGGAGAGAAGAAGGATTGGGCCAAAGAACTGAAGAACGATGGGCAGTGACGAGGGAATAGGAATGACTAATACTTGGTTTATTTGGGAATGGTTAATTCTATTATTTATGGGATTAGTTATTTCTCGTGGGAATGAAATTTTATTCCCACAAGCCAAATAAAAGAATGATATTACTGAGGAGTGACCATTCCATTCTAGATGTTTAATCCCATGTACAAAACACAGTGATAGGGGCTGTTTGGTACGTAAGTTTATTTTTTTTTTTTGGGGGGGGGGGGGGGGGGCGCGTTTGGAACATGAGTTAGGGACTAAACCCTGTTAAACTCATGTTTGATAATTATAAATTTAGTCTAGGGTTTGAAATCTAGTCCGATCATGAAATCATTGTTCATGGGTTTTATGAAACCCATGGGGGGTGGGTTTCACATGTAGATTTAGGAGTTTCACATTTAAATGATATTTATATACCCTATATATCCATACCCATGTTTGGATTAAATTAATTAAGGGACACAATAGTTATTTAAATACAAATATATTATCATAATAATTATATATCTCAGCGCATACCAAACATGAGTATTGACAATATTAAATATTAAATCTCATTTTTAATTAAACCTGGATTTGGACAAGCCAATTTAAACTCCTCCCAAAAAATATACCAAACAAGCCCTTGGCTATTGCCTAGATTCCCAAATTAAAAGAAGAATTTGGGGTATCAAAATAAAATAAAGAATAATTATTTTAAAATATAATTTAAATATTTAATATATTTTAATTATTGAATTAATAGTGAGTGTTAAGTTTAAACAAAATTCACTATTTATCTAATGTACTTAGTCCTCAAATTAAGTGTAACTAACATTATTGTAAAATTTTTAGAATTTTTTTTAAAAAAATTTAGGACCCTAAAGTTCAGCTTATTTTTTTATCTCACCCGATATTTATATTATATGTATTATCACTTTACAGTCTTATTATTAAAATCAATTGTCTATCATATAATAGGTACGAATAATAATTTTATATTTGTGTAAGTTAAATTTGAGATCAATTTTTAATAACTTTGTTTACAATGCACAAAATGACTATAAAAATAGAGTGAGTAGAAGTAATACAATAGTTATCTTAAATTAATTAACCATTGGTGTCTTACTAAATTTTTTTTTAAAAAAATTGCTTTTTTTTTCTATGATATCAAACAATATCTCATTTATTTTAGAACTACTCAACTTGTATAAATTCTTATTTTTATATACATTTATAAAAAAATTATTTTACTAGTCAACCTAATTTTCAATTATGTTTCTCTTTTATCTTAAATAAATAATATGTATTATTGTATTTAATCTCCGTATGTAACTTCGATTAATACAATTTTTATTTGTAAAATTTGAATTAATATGTTATATCTCAAAAGACAAAACAAATAATTTGTAAATAAACATACTTTAATAAGTCTTTAATATTACTTTTATTACTGAATAAATATTTATAGGGTCTCATATAACATTTTTGCTTAGGACCCCAAAATAGATTGGGTCGCCCCTGTGTGCTGATTACACTATTGAACTTTGAGATCGGTCAGCGTAATTTGAGTTAATTTAAAGACAAGTTCTCTACAGAAATAAAAAGGTAATTAGTTTAAGGATGCGAGAAGTATGTAACTTAAAATTTCTTACTTACAAAAAAATTAAATTTAACCAATGGACCAACCCTAATAAGTATTCTCCTAGCCCAATCAAAAGGTCTTAACTCGTGATCTTCTATAACTGTTTATGGAAGTAAGGTAAATGGCCAATACCCGGAAGCATTTCTCTTTGGATAATAAGTATGTAAGTGATATTCGTGTAATCTGAGTGTTTTTTTTTTTTTTTTTATTATGGTTCGAAATTCAATTTGAGTTTACTCCCCTGGTAATCGGATGAAATCAAAGTATAAAAATTCAATGGTATCATTAATCAGAACATTTTTTTCATCTAAAACGACAAAGTAGTTTTATTAGAGTATTTTAAACAAAGAATTAATCTTAACTTTATACCCTAAAAGATCAATCAAATTTCAATTTTTACCTTCAAAGTTTAAAAATATTAATTTACACCCTAAAATACATAAATTTGTATCAATGTACATCAAAAGTTAACTACAATCCATTTTGTCGTTAAAAGAGTTTGGAATAATTACAAATTATACCCTCAAAGTTTAAATATTTCATATTTATGATTAAAAACGAATTTTATCCATTAATACTCGTTAAATACCTTTCAATTGTGTCGTATCGTGTTATTTTGTATCATGTCGTATAATTTTTGTGTTGTGTTCAAGTAGATAAAAAAATATTTATAACACAAAATATTTTCGTGTCAAGTCAATTGTGTTTTGTTTTATATTTCATATTTATGATAATTTATATAATACTATTTAATATTTTAAAAAAATTATAAAATACCTATTTTTTGCCTACAATACTCATTAAATAATTATTTTCTGTCTACAGATGTGTTATTCATATCTAACTTTAATTCTATTGAACAGTCAAAAGATTCGTGTTTAACTGTAGATTGAAAATAATTATTTAATAAGTTTTGTAACCAAAAATATGTATTTTATAATTTTTTAAAAAATTTAAAAATATTTTTTTATTGACTCAAATATGACACAAAAATATTATGACACGATATAATTGAGAGTTATTTAACGAGTATTGATAGAAAAAAATTATTTTTAGATCATAAATATGAAATATTTAAACTTTAAGGTGCAATTTATAATTAGTTCAAACTTTTTTAATAGCAAAATAAATGATAGTTAATTTCAGGTACACATTGATACAAATTTATGTCTTTTAGAGTGTAAATTAATATTTTTAAACTTTGAGGGTGTAAATTGAGATTAAAGTAATCTTTCAGGATACAAGTTAAAATTAGTCCTTAAACAAAATAGTGTTTTTTATGTGGGAATTTAATCTTATATTAACTAAATTTCTATAAGTACTTAAGTTTCTAGTGTTATCTAGCCTTTGATTTTAATAGCCACAGAGTAATTACGATAATTTATATAATACTATTTAATATTTTTAACAATTATAAAATACTTGTTTTTTGCCTACGATACTCATTAAATAGTTATTTTTTGTCTACAGTTGTGTTATTCATATCTAACTTTAATTTGATTGAACAGTCAAAAGATTATTGTCTAATTGTAAACAAAAAATAGTTATTTAACAAATATTGTAAGTAAAAAATATGTATTTTATATTTTTTTTAAAATATTTTTTTATTGACTCAAATATGAGACGAAAATATTATGACACGATATAATTGAAAGCTATTTAACGAGTATTGATGGAAGAAATTATTTTTAGATCATAAATATGAAATATTTAAATTTTAAGGGTATAATTTATAATTAGTTCAAACTTTTTTAACGGCAAAATAGATGACAGTTAATCTTAGGTGTACATTGATACAAATTTATGTCTTTTAGGGTATAAATTGATATTTTTAAATTTTGATGGTGTGAATTGAGATTTAAGTGATTTTTCAGGATACAAGTTGAGATTAGTCCTTAAACAAAAGAGTGATTTTATATGGAAATTCAATCTTATATCAACAAAATTTCTATAAGTACTTAAGTTCCTAGTGTTATCTAACCATTGATTTTAATGGTTATCTTATTAACAACTAGTTTTTTTAATAACTATTTTTATTTAATTTTAATAGTTATTATCTGATTAAATATAAGAGTAATTACGAAATATTAAACACCTATATTTTTTATATATATATTTACATATTTCAATATTGAGAAATAATATGTACATCTACAATATTCTTCTTTACTGCATAAGTTTTTGATTAATATTAAAAGGTGTCGTGTAAAGTTTATGTTTCATTCGATTATGCACATATGAGTGAAACAACTGTCAATATGCTAACTAAGTAACTGTTTAACTGGCAATATGTCGATTATGCTAAAGTTTATGTTTCATTTACTAAAATAGTTTTTTTATGTTTTTTCACAAAAAAATAACTTAATATGTGTCTCATTCTACCGTCCACCTTACTTTTTAGATTCCATTTTTTTACGAGTTTAATTTTAGGTTTCAAAATAATTCATTCCATTTTTTGTGATGATGGTTTTCAAAAATTAACTTGGTTAATGAAACTCAAAACATTGTTCTTTTAGGTTAACTATCAATACTTCCAAAATTAGAAAAAAATTACTCGGTCTCATGAATTGCAAAACGGTAGCAAACATTTTATTCTCTCAGATTTTAATTAATAATTCCAATAACTTTAACATATTTCTCCAATTTCAAACTTTTTAAAATCTCTATTTTAGTAAATGGTGATAATAATCTAATCATGAATATCATGTGTTTATTTGGCTAAGTAGATTTTCACCTTAAATGTATGTCATAGAAACATATAACGAATTTGGATGTCAAATTGAAAATAAATAAGGAAGAAAATGGATAAAATAAATCCAAAGTAATCCCAATCTATAATACGAGTGGAAAAAAAACTTTTTAAATGAACTGAAAAAAGGGTGGAAGGGCAATCAATGGTTAGCAATCCTCAGACGTGATCACGAGAGTTCTCAGTGTAAAATATTCGATTTGAATCATAATTACTAACTTAAAAATATAATTCGTCACTATAACATTGTTAAAGTTAAACAGTAAATCACGTTATTGTGAATTGAACCTTATTTGATAACCATATAATAATCAATGATGATCCTAAACAAAAACTACTTACCACTAATATAAACCTTAGATGATATTGAAATAAGTAAAATAAAGAAAAATAATATATTGGAGATGGATGTGCGTTTCATAGCCATAAAAATCTGACGAGGAGAAGAAGAGATGACTATTTAATATAACTACAAACTACCCAAGGCAGCACATTCAAAAATAGCCGTTGAATATCATGATAAGTCTCTCACTTCCCTCTCCCGCCAAACTTGTCCCACCTTTGCTACCCACAAGCCCTTCGCACCAAAAACCCTCATCATCCCAATCTCTGAAAAATCCCAGCTTTGAACCTCTCAAAGATCGTCTGATCCGTCAGGCCAATGAGGGGAATATCCGCCAAGCAATCTCAACCCTTGATCGCATAGCCCAACTGGGACTCACCCCAGACCTCACTTCTTACTCCCTTCTCCTCAAATCATGCATCAGAACTCGCAATTTCGATCTGGGTAAGCTAGTTCACATCAAATTGACCGACTCACGACTGGAACTCGACTCGGTCGCTCTCAACTCATTGATCAGCTTGTATTCGAAATGTGGCGATTGGGTCACAGCTAAAAGTATATTTGAAGATATGGGTGAGAAAAAAGACTTGGTTTCATGGAGTGCCATGATTTCATGTTTGACACATAGTGGTATGGAATTAGAAGCTATCTTTACATTCTTTGATATGGTTCAATCTGGAGAGTACCCGAATCAGTTTTGTTTTTCTGCAGCAATACAAGCGTGTTCTAATGTAGACAATGCTTGGATTGGGATCGTAATATTCGGGTTTGTGATAAAAACTGGGTATTTTGAGTCTGATGTGTGTGTTGGGTGTGCATTAATTGATTTATTTTCCAAAGGTTTCAGTGACTTGAACTCAGCAAAGAAATTGTTCGATAAAATGCCTGAAAGGAATTCCGTTTCCTGGACTTTGATGATAACAAGATATAGTCAACTCGGTCAACCTAGAACTGCCATTGAGATGTTTTTAGACATGGTATTCAGTGGGTTTACACCTGATAGGTTTACTTTTAGTAGTATATTATCCTCTTGCTCAGGAATGGGATTTTTATTTCTTGGAAAACAATTGCATTGCCGGGTGATCAAGTCTAGGTTGTCTGAAGATGTTTGTGTTGGGTGTAGTTTGGTGGACATGTATGCAAAGTGTGTTGTGCCTGGATCGTTAAATGATTCGAGGAAGGTTTTTGATCACATGCCTGATCATAATATCATGTCTTGGACTGCAATAATTAATGGGTATGTGCAGAGTGGGGGCAAAGATGGAGAAGCCCTTGAACTCTACTGCAAGATGATAGATGAGGGTCGAGTTTTACCCAACCATTTCACGTTTTCCAGCCTTCTCAAGGCATGCGGAAATCTTTCCAATCCGGAACTGGGTGTGCAGGTTTACGCCCATGCAGTGAAATTGGGTTTTGCATCTGTGAATTTAGTGGGAAATGCTCTAATTAGCATGTATGTTCGTTCTGGTAGGATGGAAGATGCCCGGAAATCGTTTGAGATCCTGTTTGAGGAGAGTTTGATTTCTTATAACACAATTATTGATGGCTATGCTAAGAATTCAGATTGTGATGAAGCCCTTGAGCTTTTTCATCAGATTGAAGATTCTGGATTTGAGGTTGATGCTTTCACATTCGCTAGTCTGTTAAGTGGAGCTGCAAGTATAGGTGCAGGTGGTAAGGGTGAGCAAATCCACAGTCGGTTGCTAAAATCTGGATTTCAGGCTAACCAATGCGTCTGTAATGCTTTGGTCTCAATGTACTCTAGGTGTGGGAATATAGAAGCTGCTTATCAAACTTTTAAGGAATTAGAAGATCGGAATGTGGTTTCGTGGACTTCAATGATCACGGGCTATGCAAAACATGGATTTGCTAAAAGAGCTTTGGAAATGTTTCACCAAATGCTCGAGGCAGGTATGCAGCCAAATGAGGTCACCTATATTGCTGTTTTGTCAGCTTGTAGCCATGTTGGTATGGTTGATGAGGGATGGAAACACTTCAATTCCATGAGCAATGAACACGGGATAAGCCCAAGAATGGAACATTATGGATGCATGGTTGATTTATTAGGCCGATCAGGTTTTCTTGAAAAGGCCGTCCAGTTTATCTACTCCATGCCTTTCAAAGCAGATGCTCTGGTCTGGCGGACATTGCTTGGTGCTTGCCGTGTTCATGCTAATACAGAGTTAGGAAAACATGCAGCAAAAATGATTCTTGAGCAGGACCCAAATGATCCAGCAGCATACATCTTACTATCAAACTTATATGCTTCAATGGGTCAGTGGGAAGATGCTGTACAAATCAGAAAAAGCATGAAAGAGAGAAAGTTGGTTAAGGAAGCAGGTTGTAGCTGGATAGAGACGGAAAATGGGGTACACAAGTTTTATGTAGGGGATAGTAAACATCCCCAGGCGAAGGAGATATATGAAGAATTGGATAGATTGGCTCTCAAAATAAAGGAGATTGGATATGTCCCTGATACAGATTTTGTCCTTCATGACGTGGAGGAGGAACTGAAGGAACGATATTTGTTCCAACACAGTGAAAAAATAGCTGTTGCCTTCGGTCTTATAAGCACATCTAGACCAAAAACCATTAGGATATTTAAAAACCTTCGTGTTTGTGGAGATTGCCATACTGCATTGAAATATATATCGAAGGCAACAGGTAGAGAGATAGTGGTGAGGGATTCAAATCGTTTTCATCATATCAGGGATGGGGCTTGCTCCTGCAGCGATTACTGGTGATGATATCATGTTGTAAAGGGCGTAAAAGGCGTACCTTGTGAACATGGCTCCCGTCATTACAAGATCTGGGGAGGATTATATGTATGCGTCACGTTGTATGAAGTCAAAAAATCCCAAAACAAAAAATGGGACTCTTTCTCCAGTCCATTGCATATGTATGTTTGCTTTTTATCTGTTGATGAAGTTGAATTAGGAGGTGGTCCAACAGAGGTGCAGAGAATACAAGTTGAAAATAACCTGGTGAAATGCGCCTCCCGAGTGAGATCAGGGAAATTTGTTGGAATCATGGTATGGATGGATTCATGAGATGGATTTTAGGACCAATTTAAAAATCCTTCGAAGAGTATTTTTTCTGGGGAACTTATTTGTATGTGTCAATTTGTAACATGGTTATGTCCTTAATTTATTGCAATGACCTATGTTATTGCAATAATTTTTGTTAAGAATTGCAATAAATTGTTACTGTTATTCAAAACTTTTTACTACAAAACTGAGCTTCCTAAGTGCATCTCTAACGACTATTGTGAAATTCAAAAATAGTTAAAATTTAGTTAATTAAGGACAAAAATCATACATATAATTTTAAAATAGTTTTTTTTTGTTACCATAATAGTTATAGTTTATAATTTTTTATCTCTCCTCCCGTCCATTCCCACCTTTTATGTCCACTATCTATCTTTCTCTCTATTCTCTCTTTCCCTCCAACAGTCCAAACAAAGGTATAAAAAACGAGAAATAATATTTAAAATAAGTAGTTAGAATATAGAAAATTTGTTGGAGTGTGTATTGAAAAATTGAGTAGCTAAAATAAAAAATATTATTTATTGGATAACTAAATTAGATTTAGTTATTGGAGATACTCTAATAAATTAATAATTGTATTGTTAGTGGATTGACATATCCACTGGGATGCCTGCTATTAAAATTTGCAGAAAATGCAGCTAGTTCAGCTGCACCTCCCAGCTCAGTTTCCACCAACTCAGCCAACTCAGCTGATTTTTCTTATGTGTAAAGCATTCAGATGAATAAGTTTGGTGTACAATTTCCTGCTCACTTGTAATTAGTATAAATATAGATGTATGTACGGCAGAAAAAACAAGGAATGAGAATGAATCTCTTCTTCATCTCTTTTCTCTTTAAAGTTTTTGCACTTTGTTCTTAAGAATTTCAATAAGGTATCAGAGCAGTAATGACTACCACACCACCTCCAAATCCCAACAATTCCTCCTCCAGCAGTGATAATGATGCAACCAATCTCAACCCAAAAGACCCTGCTAACTCATACCTCCTCAATCCAATGATGGACCAGGTACCCTCCTTACCAATCACTTCCTCACAGCAGAGAACTATCATTCTTGAGCCCCAACTGTTTGAAGATCACTTCGAATCAAAAGAAAATTGGCCTTCATCGATGGTACTCTTTGCAAGCCAACAGACCCCAATGATCCTTTGATGGATGCTTGGCTTGAATGTAATGACATGGTTGTTACTTGGCTTCAAAATGCAATGACCTTGGAAATCAAAAACAGTGTAGTATATGTTGAGACTGCACATGAGTTATGACTGGAACTAGAACAGAGGTTTGCTCAAAACAATGGACCAAGGATTTATGAGCTAAAGCGAGCAATCCATTCTCTCAGCCAAGGAAAAGATTTTGTAAGTTTATACTTCTCAAAACTCAAAGGATTATTGGATAAACTCTTGAATTTTGAATCCCTACCACAGTGTACATGTGGAGCAATGAAAACTGTTTTTGAAAACCAACAGATGGATTAGATTATGAAATTCCTCATAGGCCTGAGTGATTCTTTTGCAAACATTAAAGTACAAATCATTTTAATCAAACCATTGCCTGCATTAAGGGAAGTTTATGCTCTAGTCTGGCAGGAGGAAAAACGAAAACAACTCACTTTCTGGGGTCAATATGACTGACTCTCTTGCATTAGTAGCAAGAACTAATTTCATCACCAAGGAAAACAACAGGTATTCTGGTTCTCAAAAGAAAGAAAGACCTTATTGCACTCACTGCAAGATCCATGATCATTCAATAGAAAAATGTTTTAAAGCAAATCCAGAGTTAGAAATGCCATTCTGCACCTAATGCAATATCATTGGGCATTCTGTTGAGAAATGCTTCAAGCTTCATGGATATCCACCAGGTCACAAGATGCACAACAAGAACAAGAGTTTTACTACATCAGCTAATCAAACCAGCATAGTAAATCAAGAGCATCAGACATAAGGATCACAATCTGCAACCACTCAGGAACAATATCAGCATCTCATGGCCTTGCTTCAAATCAGAGCTGTGCATCGCTCTGTTAATCAAGTTCAGAGTAATCAAATTGATACTCAATCCACTGCTATGACTGGTATTATTTTCTATTTTTCAAATTCTGAAACCACCCTTTTAGATACCACCAAAATTCTTTGGGTAATAGATACAAGTGTAACAGATCATATGATCTGCAGCCCCTCCATTTATTCTTCTGCACCTATCAAACTTTCTTGCAAAGTTAAATTTCCTAATGGTGATTTATTAGAGGTAACACACATAGGGATTGTCAAAATCAATGATGTCATTACCCTAAAAAATGTGTGTGCATTCCATCTTTTAGGTTCAACTTTCTGTTAGCTAGAAAGTTGTCACAGGACCTCAATTGCTGCTTCTTATTTTTGCTAATGACCTCAATACCGGACCTTTCCACTTGGAGCACGATTGGGAAGGGTGAGGTTCACAATAGCTTGTACCAGCTCAAGATGACACCAACCTCCTCTACACTTTTTAATACACCTTTATCTTGTCTCTCTTGTAAACAGATTCCTATTTCAGCTTCAGTTTGTTCTCAGTCTGAGTATAATTTGTGGCATTGTAGACTGCGCCATCTCTCAAATTCAAGACTTGCTTTGTTGAAACATGATTGGTCAAATGTTCAATTCATCAATGACAAAATTCCCTGTTCAGTTTGTCCATTTGCCAAATTTTATAGGCTTCCATTTTTTGATAGAGAACATAAGTCACATAAACCTTTTGACTTGGTTCATTGTGATATATGGGGACCTAGCACACATATAGCCTATGATAGTTCAAGATATTTCCTCACCATTGTTGATGACTTTATAAGGTGCACATTGCTTTACTTAATGAAGGCAAAATCCCAAGCTAGACCATTTCTACAATCTTTTTGTTCCCTTATAGAAACCCAATTTCAATCCAAAGTCAAGACAATCAGGACTGATAAAGGAAATGAGTTTAGGATGGGAGAGTTCTTTATGAAAAAGGGAATTATTCATCAAACAAGTTGTGTAGAAATTCCTCAACAAAATGGTGTTGTTGAAAGGAAGCACCAACATATTCTCAATGTAGCGAGATCCCTCATGTTTCATTCAACAATTCTTGTTGATTTTTGGAATGATTGTGTGTTGACTGTAGCCTATCTGATAAACAGAACTCCTTCACCCAACCTGTAGAATCAATGCCCATATCAACTCCTCTTCAAAACCAAACCACCATATAAACATCTAAGGGTTTTTGGTTCCCTATGTTATGCTTCTACACTGAGACAAAGTAGACATAAGCTTGATCCTAGAGCTAGAAAATGTGTATTTCTATGATATCCTTTTGGAGTCAAAGGTTACAAGTTAATGGATCTAGAAACTCATTCAATTTTTCATTCAAGGGATGTTGTATTCCATGAAAATATTTTTCCTTATAAGACAGATCAGTCATCTTCACAAAGTTACTCTTCATTACCTCACTTCTTTGATGTTTCTTTATCACCCTCATTTGATCAAAATTTCTCAACAGAGGTTGTATCTATGCCTGTTCCAGCCCCCTCTAGTATCCTCGGAGTTCCCAGCAATCATCCACCAATTCACAACCTGAGTAAGAAGAATCTTCTTCTTCATCAGACAACAACAATTCCCCTTGTATTTCTATTCCTACAGAAAGACAGAGCAATCCTCCTTTTCATAGGACAGCTAGAACAAGAAGAAGACCAGAGTATTTGACAGATTATTACTAACATCAAGTTATTGTGCCTCACTCTTCTCAAACAAACTCCAACGACTCAAGTCATCTCTATTCCCTGTCATCATTCTTGTCATATGATAAACTTTCACATGAGTATGTTAGTTTTGCTACAACAATCCTAAATCATCATGAGCCTAATTCATATCAAGAAGCTGTAAAATTTTTGGAATGGCGTAAAGCCATGGATAATGAAATTGCAACTTTGGAGTATAACAATACTTGGGAACTCACAGATTTGCCAAAAGGGAAACATCCTATTGGTTCAAAATGGATGTACCAAGTAAAGTATAATTCAGATGGGACTGTGGAGAGGTATAAGGCTTGATTAGTGGCAAAAGGGTATACTCAACAAGAGGGACTTGACTATTATAAGACATTCTCCCCAGTAGTTAAGCTTGGAACAAATTGAATTCTACTAGCATTGGCTGCAGTCATGGGCTGATTTTTGCATCAATTCGATGTGAACAATGCATTTCTGCATGGGGAACTAGAAGAAGAAGTGTATATGTAGCCACCCCTTGGGTATTCTGTTAAAGGAGAGACCAAAGTTTGCAAGTTAAAGAAGAGTTTGTATGGGCTTAAGCAAGCATCCAGGCAATGGTATGTTAAGTTTTCATCATCTTTACTCAGTTATAGATTTACTCAGTCTCATTTAGATTACAACTTATTTGTCAAGAAAACAGACACTTCTTTCATGGCATTATTAGTCTATGCGGATGATATTATAGTTGTTTCCAATGACAAACATGTCATCTCACAGTTAAAGGAATTTCCGAGTGCTCAATTCAAGATTAAAGATTTGGGATCTCTCAAATACTTTCTTGGCTTAGAGGTAGCCATAAATTCTCATGGAATACAACTTTGTCAAAAGAAATATGCACTGGACTTCCTTGCAGATTCTAGTTTAATTGGGTGCAATCCTGCTAAGGTACCCATGGATCAGAACAACAAACTTTCCCTAGCTGATGGAGAACTTCTGAAAGACCCATCTTTGTATAGAAGAGCCATTGGAAGACTACTCTACTTAACCATCACAAGGCCTGACATTTCTTATTTAGTGAATTTGTTGAGCTAGTTCAAGGCAGCCCCTTGTGTTCCTTATCTTAATGCTGTGAACAAAATACTTAAATACATCAAGAGGGCTCCAGCTCAGGGCCTTTTCTTTCCTTCCACTACATCCCTGCAGGTAACAGCTTACTGTGATCCTGATTGGGCTTCATGTCCAGATACCAGAAGCAGAGTATAGATCAATAGTTGCAACTTGCTGTGAACCCACTTAGATTAAACATCTGCTCAATGATCTTTCTATACCTCATGATACATCAGTCATTCTTTATTGTGACAATCAATCAACACTTCACATTGCAGCAAATCTTGTTTTTCATAACAGAACAAAGCACACTGAATAAGATTGTCATATAATTCGAGAGAAGATACAAGAAAAATTTATTCCTAGTGCCTATATGTCTTCATATTCTCAGATTGCAGGCATCATGACCAAGGCCTTGGCGTATTCAACTTTTCACTCTTTGCTTCTCGAGATGGGAGTATGTAATATATACTCTCCATCTTGTGGGGGGATGTTAAAATTTGCAAAAAATGCAGCTAGTTCAGCTGCACCTCCCAGCTCAGTTTCAACCAACTCAGCCAGCTCAGTTGATGCTTCTACAAATCACCTTCTCCAGCTCAGCATGATCACGTAGAGTACACTAGATGGATGTTGCAGAGCTCACTAGAAGAATCTTGAGGAATATAGAAACTAGTAGTTAGTAAGGAAAATTTCTCTTATGTGTAAAACATTCAGATGAATAAGTTTGGTGTGCAATTTCCTGCTCACTTGTAATTAGTATAAATATGGATATATGTACAGCATAAAAAGTAAGGAATGAGAATGAATCTCTTCTTCATCTCTTCTCTCTTTAAAGTTTATGCACTTTGTTCTTATGAATTTCAATACCTGTTGGCAAGATACTATTACAAAATGGAAAATGTTAAAGAATTCATATCATTTGATTTTTTCTCTCTTTTTATATATATTTTTTATTGCTAAGTCAATTTTTTGATCAGTTTGATATTAAGCTAGAAAAAGAAACAATTGTGTGGAGGAACATGACTAATGTATATTGGGTTTAATTGCATATCCTTTAGATTTATGATCAAACCATAATCACCTTAAAAATTGATTACCCCTTTATCTTGTTTATTGGTGATATCTATTTGTCTAATGTTAAGCTAATAAGTTGTGACGGCCCAGATTTTGTTGGGTTGGGTCCAATTAATTAAGTTCAGATTAGCTACAAGGCAGATCAAGTTGAGTTTGTAAATTTGGTCTAGTCCAAGGTCCAAAAAGTTTAAGAAGATTAGCGCAAATGAGGAACGATTATTGGGGTAGGCACTCTCCGAGATCAAGACTTTCTCTAATTGTACCTATCTTAATTGTAGTTATCCTCCCCCAAAAGTTAGAAATCTATCGTCTACAACAACTGTCTCAACTAAGGATATGTGCCTATAAATTATAAGTTTTCTCCATATGAGAGGGATATCTATCTAAACACTTTACACAATTATCTCTCTCATAGCTATAAAGAACATACATTTACTCTCTCTCTCTCTCTCTCTCTCTCTCTCTCATCTATTACTTCGTCAATAAAGACCACCGGCTATTGTTGTAGTCTTCAAAGTGAAGTAGGTCATCTTCACTGAACCACTATATATCTGTGTGTTACTTGTATTAATCTATTCTATATATTTATTGCATTTATTACCTATATTAACTACTCGACATGTGGTACATAAATCCACTTTTGTGCATCACCAAATTAAATTCTCAATTTATAAAAATACAATATTGATCAAAATTGGTCTAAATTTTATCTATTTTAATTCAATGGTACAAAATTTACCTTAATTTTTTTTTTTTTTGCTTAAAACACGACTTCAGACAACTCAACAAACACATTCTCGAATGCTAAATAACCCATTAATCAACAGTTATCTCTATCTTCTCTCTCCCTTAGTCCCTTGCCTCTCACACTTACATTTGTTCTCTTCATCTCACCCTTTACTTTTCTCTTATTTTATCTCTTTAGATTAAAAAAAAAGATATTAATTTAAATTACATAGTAAAATTATTATTTAAAATATAAATATTTTGTAATCAATATTTAATTTTTAATATTATAAAATATAAATGTGTAGTTATTGTTAATATTTTGATATTTTTTTTTAGTCAAATCATCTAGTAGTCAGAAGTTATAATAGACTCTAATTAATTCAGATTCGAGTCAAATAGAATCACAAGAACGACAAATGTCTCGCTAGCAAATGTAGCTGTATTCTCGAGACTCAAACAAAAAATTTACGTTAAGTTAAAAGTGTCCCTCAACAGCTGGGTGCTAATATTTTGATATGCCACCGCATGCTATTTGCGACGAGGAAAAGAAGAGATCTAAATGATTACGTCAGTTACGATAAAAAAAATTATAAATTAATTCCAAAATCTTCCTTAACATTGAACGTTCGAATTTTATATTTTTTCTTATTTTCGTGCTCATGACTATTAAAATAATAAGATATAACCCACCAATTAAAAAAATTAATAATAAAATTATTCTAGATCTTCTACTCCAAAAATATCACGCAAAAGCAATAATAAAATATCCGCAACACTCGTACTACGAGGAGGGTTTTTAAGACACGTATACAAAACACCGGCTACTCATAATCAGAGGAGTCAATATTCTCGTCCCACCAAACCGCAAAAAAAGATACTTTGGAAAACTCGTCAACACGCGAGTCGCCACGTATTCCTTCACAGAGATCAATAGTGGGCCCATTTTTGCCAAACCCGAGTGTATAATCGACGATCCATATGCCACGTATTAGCCTAATCAAAGTCTCAGCCGAACACGTGTTTAGGTGACAGAATCCCACTATTATGGTTCACGTCCCCGTGCTTTACCCGCCGTTTTATTGCACCAAGTGGCGGCAATCCAACGGTATCGAAAAAACATGTGTCCATCGACGGTTCAAATTTATTTAAGCTATTCATTATGTCCTTTTAGCGAGTTTATTAACCAAGTTCTGTGAACTGTGTGTCTCTCTCTCTCATCAGCTTTTTCACGTGAAACAATTGCTTTTTTACTTGAGACACAAATCGCCGTCGAAAGAGGTAGTCGCCGTCGAGTTGTGTTGTCAGATTCCGGTGGGATGACGCAACTCGGCGTGAAAAGAGGCAAGCATGTTCGTCGGAGGAGATTGGAACTCTGCAGAATGAAATCTTTGTGTCAGGCACAGAATGGCTTCGTCAGAAACGAAACTCTAACCGGAGAAGATCAGTTTTCCTGGAAAACTGGATCCGACATTAGAAGGACTGATATTGATGATACAGAGACCGAAAAGTCTAGGAAATGCCAAGAGTCATCCGTGGTATCATTATCGTTTCCAGCGAATTCATCGGGTCTGTCATCTGAAAATGACGTCATTCTAGCGGGAGCTTGTTGTCGTAGAGGCGAAATGCATAGAGGAGAAGAGAACTCACAGATTGTTACGTGCTGTTCATATGGATCGATATCGGTGATTGGACGAAGAAGAGAAATGGAGGATGCTGTGACAGTACAGCTAGGGTTCTTGACCAGAGATTCTAGAAAATATGATTTTTTTGGTGTGTATGATGGTCATGGGGGATCACGTGTTGCACATGCTTGCCGAGACCGGTTACACAGGTTAGTGTTAGAGGTGGAAGAAGAAGATCAGGAAGAGAAGAGAGAGGTGGATTGGGAGAAGGTGATGAAAGCGAGCTTTGGAAAGATAGATGAAGAAGTGAGTGGGTCAGAGTTATCATCGATAGGTTCGACGGCGGTGGTGGTCGTGGTGGGAGAGGAAGAGGTGGTGGTCGCTAATTGTGGGGACTCTAGAGCTGTGCTGTCAAGATGTGGTGTTGCTATACCCTTGTCTAATGATCACAAGGTAAAAATATACAATTGCTATATAGGTTGTACCTAATGACTTGGCCATGCATTTTTTTTTTTCTAATTAATTTTTGTTGATATAGTTTTTTCAATCGTGTTGTCTAATGTTGATTTGGAGCTATATTGTTTTAATTAGGGTTATACAAATAATATATCCACGTGTTCGAGTAGTTGAAATAAAAATTTTCTAGTAGACTTTATAGTATTTTTAATTACAGATGCAATAAGACTATTGAATCATATCACGACCTTTGAGGAATATGTCAATCTTTGAGGTTCTAGTAACAGTATTCTTTATTATAATAGTTATAGTACAATAACATTGTCAATGTTATGTAATTGTTGAATGATAAGTGAGGAAAGTGGATTTCATTCTTTTACATTACTATCCAAATATAGAGTAATGTTACGTTGGCCAAATTATGAGACCAAATTAAGATTTTAAATGATATGACACCTGATTATTTGGAGTTTTTATTGAGGTCCAACAAATGACATAACACTACACAAAGAAGTCCAAGTCAGCTGTCATGTCATTTAAGCTCTTAATTTGATCCTAAAATTTGATCCGTGTGACATTACTGCCTAATATAATAACTATCTCATGTAGAAAGTGGGATTCACTTTGTCTATTTAATTGTTTATTATTGAACAGAAGTATAATGTGATAGTGGCCTATTTGGACATCTCTAAAATTCTTAGTTTTTTTTGGTTTCAAAGGAGAAAAAGTCTAATCCTTTTGGGCTTGGCCTTATTGACTAGGTTTTCCATCAGTTTTTTAGGACAAAAATAGTTTTTGTCAGTGATAAGGAAAAGTTGAAAAATGAAGTTTATCTAAGAACTTTCAAGGAAAAGTCGATTTTTTCAAAAATACTCTAAACACTTTCAAGAGCTTTTTTAATTCTGACTTTTAATTTTTACTTTTCAAATCTCTATTTTGCATTCAAAAAAATCAGCTCTAAACGGGCCCAATATTATTTGGGAAAGTCAGGGATGCCCTGATACATTTTGGGACTTAAAGTGAAAACGATAAATGAGGTTTTTTTATTTTTAATATTAATAATAAATTCTTTTGTAAATTTTTTTTAAATATAAAAATATTAATTCAAATTTTCAATTCAAATTTTTATTGCCATATTGAAACTTGATAATAAGAGAGAGAAAGAACAATTAAAACTTATGATGAAAAGTTTAAACTCGACTTTTTTATGCGGTAAAGACTAAATTTTTTAGTAACTTTAATTTTACTTAATCTTTTTAATTTGAAATTTTTTGTTCGATCATAGATTTAAATTTTGTGGTTGGAATATAACTACAGGCCAATAAATTATGGATTTTTTCTTAAAATGAGGCTTTAATTTTTTTTTAATTGGACTTGTGTTTTTATAAGGCCTTTTTATAGAATTTAAAGTATTTATGAATTTAGTTTTTTTATATGAACTATTTATGATATTTAAAAATTTGAGGTCTTCTAAAATTCAAGCATTTTCAATTATATTGTTGATCTGCCCTTTGAAAGTATGAATATTGGTCAAAGCCGCCTTTTAAAAGTTTGATAATTGACAAGTGAATATGCGTGCTGTGGCATTGAACTTCTTTCTCAAACTTAGTGGAAGGACTAATCAGTACTTCATCCCTTTAGACATCAGTGATTGAAGCAAGCAAGGCTTATGAAGAATGCAGAACTCTTGGGACATGGCTACTTTGGTTCGAATATCTGGAAGAAAAATGACTTACAAACAGAATATTTACACAGCAAACGGGCGGGTCATGACTGGTGAAGTGGGTCAATGGATACAGATTTATTAGATTAATAAAACATCATAGGTAGCTCTCAAATTATGTCCATCGAAAACAAATTTGCCTTAAACTTTCAATTATCTCACGTTGGATTTTCAATTTTTAAAAACATAACCAATAGTGATAATTGGTGTCTTTCTAAAGTTTAAGGTTGAAATTGCAACAACTGAAAGTTGACGTAGTATGGAGCTTCCAAATTTAAGGTGCATGATAACATGTGTGTGGATGTTAGATTGAACTAAATTTTAGCTTTGCTCATTCTTTTTCTTTCAGATTGATGGTTCTTATTCGTTTGGTTGTGAATAATAGTCTGCATCATCAGCAACTTGAGTAGTTGCCTTGATTGCATGAATAGTGCAACCTCAATCACGTTTAATCCGGATACTAGTATATTGGCTACAAGGGATTCAACTTCTATATTCTTCATCAAATAGGCCAATCTTCTCTTATTTTACTGCTCTAGACTGCTTTGCTGACATTTTTCCCGTGTATAGCCTGACAGACCTGATGAGTTGGAGAGAATTGAAGGCTTTGGAGGGAAAGTCATAAATTGGAATGGGCAGCGGGTTTTAGGAGTTCTTGCTACGTCGAGATCTATAGGTATGTAAGCCCTGCAATAATGAAGCCAATACATATACAGTAGCTAGATTTGCGTTAAGTGAATAGTGTGAGTTTGCTTGCTCTACATTATTCCAAGAAGACACTATTGAAGTCTTTCTTTGAGAGGTTTATCAAAAATATTTTCATGTTATCATTTTCCTATGCCAAATGCTTTTAGCTGTTTCAAATTGGTTTGTTCAATTAGGTTCCTTCATTTGGTTTCCTCCTAGATAGCTGGGCGTTAAGGGTTGATCTAGAATGGAAGATAATCTATTTCTATTGCTTCCCCCATGACGCTGGGTACCAAGTTTTTGTTCATTGTTGTAACATTTAATTATTATCTATTAGGCCTCTATATCAAGCAAATTGTGTGCATGTTAGGTACAATCTATGGTAAATATAGTAGAAATTATATGTTGTAACGAGTCAAATACTCACGTATGAGTTCATGGGTAGGCCTGGCAAACCCAACCTCAATGTCCTCCTATTGGCCACCCACCACAGAATGTGGTGTTAGAACGGAAATCCCAAGAGTCTTTGAGAGTGCGTATGTAATTGTTAGAGTATGTGTGGCTCATATTTTGCTATGTGCATAATGGCAAGAAGGCAGATGTCGGAGCGGGCGGAGCCCGCGATGGCATCTGCCTTACGGGATTTATATATAGGGGACGCTGATAAGTTGGGGGTGCGGGGGCAACGCCCCCGCGGTACGGTACAGGGGTATTTTTGTAAATACGTCCATATTAGGGTTATATAAATACTTAAGATGTAACCCTACTTCTATAAGGAATAGAACAGCCGCTCGCTCTCGTGGATGTAGGCACATTGCCGAACCACGTAAATCTCTGTGTGTTATTTTTCTCCTGTTTTCTTAATTGTTTGATTCCTTATTATTCACCATAATTGCTGCACGATCACAACAATTGGTATCAAAGCAAGACTACGATGTCTGGGATTTCCTCTACAAAATTCGACATCATGAAGTTCGACGGAACTGGGAATTTCGGATTATGGCAGAGGAGGGTGAAGGACCTGTTAGTGCAGCAGGGCATGGTGAAGGCATTATACGGAAAACAACCGGCAGGAATGGACGACATGGATTGGAAAGAATTGGAAGCGAAGGCTGTGGCGACTATTAGGCTTTGTCTGGCTGATGAAGTGATGTATCACGTCATGGATGAGGAATCACCGGCGGAAGTTTGGTTAAAACTGGAAAGTCGGTATATGTCCAAGTCGTTGACGAACAAGCTCTATCTTAAGCAGAAACTATATGGTCTTAAGATGTCAGAGGGCTCGGATTTGACCCAACACATCAACGTGTTCAATCAGATCATCAGCGATCTGAAGCGAGTTGATGTGAAGTTCGAAGACGAAGACAAGGCGCTGATGTTGCTGAATTCCTTACCGGCGTCTCCTACGTACGAGAATTTGGTTACGACTCTGATGTGGGGGAAAGAAACCCTCGAATTGGAGGATGTCACAGGTGCTCTGTTAGGTTTTCATCAGCGGAAGAAAACCAGTGATGAGGCTTCACAAGGTGAAGGGCTTGTGGTGAAAGGTAACCAGGAGCGTGGAAGAAGCAAATCTCGGAATGGATCGGGTAACAATAAAGCCCGGTCCAAGTCGAGGAAGAAGAAGAAGGACGTCTCTGTCTCGTGTTACAAGTGTGGGAAAAAGGGGCACTTTAAACAGGACTGTCCAGAGAAAAAGAAAGGGGATTCAGAGAACAAAGAGGGTGCATCAAAGTCTGCAAACGTAGTGGAAGAAGAAGATTCAGAGAGTGGTGACGGAGATATGCTTTCTGTTTTATCTAGTTCAGATCGTTTAACAGATTCTTGGATTATGGATTCAGCATGTTCCTATCACATGACACCCAACAAAGATTGGTTTGACACCTACAGGTCAGTAAATTTTGGTTCTGTTCTGATGGGTAATGATGCATCTTGCAAAGTTGTTGGAATAGGAAATATTAGAATTAAAATGTTTGATGGTATGGTTAGAACGTTGTGTGATGTTAGACATGTACCGGATCTAAGGAAGAATTTGATTTCATTGGGCACTTTGGATTGTAATGGTTATAGTTACAAATCTATAAGTGGAGTAATGAAAGTAAGTAAAGGCATGCTGACAGTGATGAAGGGACAGAAAGTAGTAGGAAACATTTACAGACTACTGGGTACTACAATTGTAGGTGGAGTTGCTGCTGTAGAGTCTGAATCAGATAATACAGTCTTGTGGCATATGCGGCTGGGTCATATGAGTGAGCGTGGGATGATAGAGCTTCATAAGAAAAATCTATTGAAGGGTGTCAAGACATGCAAGCTCAATTTTTGCAAATATTGTGTTCTTGGAAAACAGAATAGGGTGCAGTTCAAGACAGCCACACACAAGACAGAGGGGGTTCTCGACTATGTCCATACAGATGTTTGGGGACCAGTCAGCGTACTATCACGGGGAGGATACATGTATTTCGTGAGTTTCATTGATGATTACTCACGAAAGGTCTGGGTGTACTTCATGCGGCACAAGTCAGAAGCGTTTGCCAAGTTTAAGCTGTGGAAAGCTGAAGTAGAGAACCAGACAGGGAGGAAGATTAAATGCCTCAGGTCAGATAATGGTACTGAGTACACAGATTCAAAGTTCCAGGAGTTGTGTGAGCAGCATGGGATCAAGAGACACTTCACAGTCCGCAAGACACCACAACAAAATGGTGTAGCGGAAAGGATGAACAGAACGATAGCCGAGAAAGCTCGGTGTCTCAGGTTGAATGCAGGGCTTGCAAAGAATTTCTGGGCAGAGGCAGTGAATATGGCATGTTTCTTGATTAACAGATCACCGAGGGCAGCACTAGATGGGAAAGTATCAGAGGAGGTGTGGACAGGCAGTGAGGTAGACTACTCTGGTTTGAGAGTGTTTGGATGTCCAGCCTATGTACATGTTTCTAGTGAGGAGAGGTCGAAGCTTGATGCGAAGTCTAGACAGTGTATCTTTCTGGGATATCAGAAAGGAGTGAAAGGCTTCAAGCTCTGGGATCCGAAGGCAAACAAGATGGTGATCAGTAGAGATGTGGTTTTTGATGAAAAAGCCATGTTGCAGCGTACTCAGGAAGAAGAGAAACAAGTACCAGAAAACTGTAGCACTAATGACCACGTGGTGCAGGTGGAGCTAGAGAATCATGGTAGAGAAGAGGATGCTCAGCATGTAGAGCGTTCTATCTCAGGTGATCAACAGCATCATAGTATAGCCACAGACAGGCCCAAACGCAATATCAAGCCACCTACAAGGTATGGTTTTGAAGATTTGGTTTCTTATGCGCTTATTACTAGTAGCGGGGATCCTACAACTTTTCAGGAGGCAGTACAAAGCCAAGAGAAAAGTAGATGGATGGGTGCTATGGTGGAGGAGATGGAGTCTCTGCATAAGAACCAGACGTGGGAGTTGGTGGAACTTCCCGAGGGGAAGAGAGCAATAGGGTGCAAATGGGTGTATAAGAAGAAAGAAGCACTATCAGAAAATGAGGGAGAAAAATTCAAGGCTCGTCTAGTAGCAAAGGGTTACTCACAGAGAAAAGGGGTTGACTATGATGAGATCTTCTCCCCCGTGGTCAGACACACTTCCATCAGGACAGTGTTGGCACTAGTAGCACATTCAGATATGCAGTTGGAGCAGATGGATGTAAAGACAGCTTTCCTTCATGGCGACTTGGAGGAACGGATTTACATGGTACAGCCAGAAGGGTTCAGTCTCCCTGGAGAGGAACATTTGGTCTGTAATTTGAAGAAATCACTTTATGGGCTGAAGCAGTCTCCGAGGCAGTGGTACAAACGATTTGACTCTTACATGATCCGAATTGGCTACAAAAGGTGTGAGTATGATTGTTGTGTCTATGTAAAAAGGCTTGATGATGATTCATTTATTTTTCTGTTACTTTATGTGGATGATATGTTGATTGCTGCCAAGAGTATGAGTGAGGTCAACAAGTTGAAGACTTTGTTGAGTAGAGAATTTGACATGAAGGATTTGGGTGCGGCCAAGAAGATTCTTGGGATGGAGATTCGCAGGGACAGAGCTTCCAGGAGATTATGGCTATCTCAGCATAGCTATGTTGAGAAGGTGTTGGACAGGTTCAGCATGAGTTATGCAAAATCAGTAAGTACACCTTTGGCGAATCATTTCAGATTGTCTACCGCTCAGTGCCCGAAGACAGATGATGAAGTTCATGACATGTCAAAGGTCCCATATGCTAGTGCAGTGGGGTGTTTGATGTATGCTATGGTTTGTACAAGACCAGATTTGGCACAAGCTGTCAGCGTGGTTAGCAAGTTTCTTTCAAATCCTGGTCGACAGCATTGGGATGCAGTCAAGTGGATTTTCAGATACTTGAGGGGCACTACAGACTATGGCATCAGGTTTAGCAGACAACAGAGTGACCCTTCAGTTATGGGATATGTGGATGCAGACTATGCAGGAGACATGGATGACAGGAGGTCTACCACAGGTTATGTGTTTACTCTTGTGGGAGGACCTATTTGTTGGAAGTCCATGGTACAGCCTATAATTGCACTATCTACTACTGAGTCAGAGTATATGGCAATAGCTGAGGCTGCCAAAGAGGCTTTGTGGCTTACAGGTTTAGTCAAGGAGCTGGGTGCCCAGCAAGGTGGAGTTCAATTGCATTGTGACAGTCAGAGTGCCATTTATTTGGCAAAGAACCAGGTGTATCATGCGAGGACCAAACATATAGATGTGAGGTTTCATAAGATCAGGGAACTGGTTTCTTCTGGTGAACTATTACTTGAGAAAGTTCACACTTCTGAGAATGCTGCAGACATGTTGACAAAGTCTGTTACTACAGACAAGTTCAAGCACTGCTTGGACTTGATTAATGTCTCTAGTTGCTAGATGGGAGATGCCTCAACTCAGCGTCCCTGGTGGAGTTCCCGAATACATGTCCTCTTTTTTTCTTCTAAGGGGTGAATATTTGCCAAGGTGGAGATTGTTAGAGTATGTGTGGCTCATATTTTGCTATGTGCATAATGGCAAGGAGGCAGATGCCGGAGCGGGCTTAAGATGTAACCCTACTTCTATAAGGAATAGAACAGCCGCTCGCTCTCGTGGATGTAGGCACATTGCCGAACCACGTAAATCTCTGTGTGTTATTTTTCTCCTGTTTTCTTAATTGTTTGATTCCTTATTATTCACCATAATTGCTGCACGATCACAACAGTATTGAATATCAAAATTTTTTCTTTAAAATCTTACAAACGCAAAACAGAACGACGACTACCGCTTGACAAACCTTGCGGCTTTTTGTCATATATTCCCAATGTCAGAATTCGGATGCAGTGTGGGCTATTAAGACCTTTGAATCCTTGTTTCTCTTCTAGCCTCCTTAAAAAACGTGAGTGAAGACAGGATGCTGAATTAGAGAACTTAGACGTCTATATATAGGCTACGACAGAGACCTTAAGAAGAAATAAGGACCGGGCTCTCAATGGGCTTAGGATTCCTATGTTCAACTCAGAACAATCATTCTACAACCCATTAATAATAAATCAATCACTAAAGATTTATTATTAATCTTCTGGGTTTTATCTCAAAATTATATTCGAACTTCTTATTATTATATACTTAATAATCTCTCCGCGTTTAAGATTATAGATATTCATCAATTAAATAAATCACTAATAATATATTTAATTGACTTTTTTTATTCCTTGAGATCTTACCACTCAATTTATTTGTCATGTCGGATAATTAAATTCACCCACAGGTTTGATATGGACAAAACTTATGAGCTTGCTCAAGAGGATATCATCAATTCATTTAAATATTAGGACGTGATTTTCTTTGATATTTAATTTCCAATGTACAAATAACGTGTAACTGCAAATTTAGATCCTCAGCCCTTGGGAGCAACTGGTATCTTGGTCTAGTGATAACTAAAGCATGTCCTAGGGGTCATATCCTCTCAAGCACTTCTTAACAATCAAAACAAATCCTTAAGGAACAGGGTCACCCTTGTGTCCCTTGGTTCCAGTTAAACTCGATATCCTCAGTTTTTAGTTGTGTTGAGCATCCAGAAGATTCCGATTCCGATTCCCTATGGTTACGCATGGATAATTTTTTGAATGGTTTATACAAGTTTTTTGTTGGTACACAAATCATAGATGATCAGGAGTCAGATGTTCCTACTGGTACTCTAGGATTCTAATGACGATAATAAAAAAATAGCTACATAAAAGAGTTGATTATTGTTGATTAAATATACATTGTTGCCATTGCGTTCACCTTACAAGTTTGAACATTTTCAATGCAGGTGATCACTTTCTTAAACCATATGTAATTTCAGAACCAGATGTCGTAGTGAGCAAAAGAACTGATACGGATGAATTCCTGATAATAGCCAGCGATGGTCTCTGGGATGTCGTCTCTAATGAGGTTGCATGTCAGATTGCAAGAAAATGCTTAGCTGGCCGACTGAAGAGTCGGTCCCAAGAAATTGGGAGTGAAGAAAAATTTGATGGTATTGTAAACGAGGGCCGTGCTGTGGAGGCAGCTGCTGTACTAACCGAGTTCGCAATGGCTCTGGGTAGCAAAGACAACATTAGCATCATAGTAGTGGAGTTAAAGAGACCTGCCGCTAGATGAATAGTCTAATGTAGTTTTTCTTTCTGAGGTAACACATTGGAATTGAATTTGGTTATCTTTGCTTGGTTCATGTAACAAAAGATCTTGCCCTTTCTGTTCAATCTGAGGCTTTCTTGTTTGTGAATTTGGCAAATGTACAGCACTACTCTTCACTGACCATGGATTATTTGGTCATGTTTTGGTCAACAAATTCGTATCAAAGGAGAGAGACATTCATTGGTTCTCAAATATTTTTAAGCAATGCTTTTATGAGTGGAATGTGTTCCTTTATAAAGCCTTAAAGTAGTGCAGCATGTTTCCACTTTTTTGTAAAGAAAAAGGCCTAGTCTAACATACTACAATCAGCTTTAGGTCATAAAGGGAACAATATAATTTTGAGTCATTTCTATAGTGGCTGTATTAGGAGCAGTAGGTGTTGGCATTGGCGAGTTGCCGTTCCTTCTTGCGGTAAGGAAAGAATTCATGTCATCTCTCCCTTTGTTATAATTCAAGTGGTAACAAGTTGAATTTTAAATTCAAACGTCTTAAATTTATCAATTCATTGGAATTAGGTCATAAGCAATAATTTATCTTTGACCGAATCGAATAGAGAATTATTCGAGATGCGCACAAATTAACTGGAATATCTTTAACTATTGAACGAGAAAAAAAAAAATTACTTTATTGCCCCTTTGTCAGCATATCTAGTTTTATTCTTGCTATGCGGGGCAATGAATATTACAATAAAAAAAAGAGCAATGCGATACACTAAAATATCCACTAAATTATCTACAATTATCAGATTAATGGATCACATTATATACATAATTTTATTCTTAAAATTATTTCATTTTGGGAATAATTTTGTCAAACCGGTCGGTAAAAAACCCCGATGCTTGCTCTAAACCATTTTGCATGCATTTGTCATATTTGTGTATTGACTCATTCTCTCTCAAAATTAATTTGCTAAATTTTTTCAACAACTTAGAACATCTTCAAGGATACTCTTCAAAATAATTATTCAAAATATATTAAAATATTATATTCTTTATTTTAAAGAATTATTTTTATAAGTTATTCCAACCATTCTCTCTATTTTAATTAACTATTATTAATATTTTAAATCAACATATTTCATAACTTGACACATCATCAAAATATAAAATAACTATCCCTTTGAAGTGTAAAAAGAAAAATTTTGGCTCTCTAAATATACAATAGCTAGTCAAATGTAGAGAATCATTTAGCCCAAAAGTAAAATAGCTAGTCCCATGGATTCCAATTTTATAGTTTGACTTTTTATTTTAGCTAATAAATACCAAATTGTTAGTCTTTTGGAGATGCTCTTAGATATAAAAAATACAAGGGAACTTGTTTTAATAGTAAAATTTTGTATATAGTTTTTTAATAATTGAAAGTAAAAAATTAAAATTTTAGATAACACTACTAATATACTTTTATCAATTTTTAGACAGTTTTAGAAAAATTAAAAAATACGAGATGTAATCTATTATGCACTTAAAGGCATCATTACAAATATATTTTTTTTTCTATCGTTCTTGTCTTTCCAAAGCAAGCCCGGACCTAGTCTTGTTTGAAGCTCCAATGACACAAGTTGATGAAAAGATGTCCGATCGACTAATAAGTTCTTGAATAATGCTTTTTTTATGTGCTTTGTTATTTTTAGTCGATTTAGTTTGTATATTTTCTTGAGGTTGATTTTCTCCTTAAATTTGACCTTGTACAAATTAGAAATCAAGAATCTATGTTGTTGGCTTTGTTTGTCGTTAGGGGCGAATTTTCGGTGGGGGCAGCTGCCTCCACTGCAATTTTTTAAACATGTAGGGCATATTTAGAATTTTAAAAAATTTCAGACATTGCCCCCAGTGAAATATTAGCAAAGTTTATGGGTAAGTTTGTATTTTACAAACAAGTGAGACATTATTTGTCTTTGACAGACTTTTAGCTGTGGGCTCATTTGTCCGCTGATAACGTCATTGGGATTTTTTATAAAAACAATAAAAAATTATGGAGTGATCCTACGTACCAAAAAAATATGAAGTGATCTTGGCCGTTCATATGCTTGACTTTTTAAATTAATAGTTTTGAATGAAACAAAAATTTAATAAATTATAAACAAATTTAAATAGATGGTCAGATTAGGGAATACGCCGACACAAGTCAATTTAAATCACATTCAATTTCTTTTTTCCAAGGATGACAAAATATTTTTTATTTAGATAAATCTGAAAAAGCTATTTTTTAAAATTTCACAGTTGATCTTGAATTAAAATAATTAATTTTAATATTTAGGATTGATTTCAAGTATGTGAAAAATTATAATTTGATCCTAAAAAATTATAACTTAAATCCTAAAAGTTATAACATGACTTATAAAAGTTATAATTTTGTAGAATTTTTTTTTTTTTCTATTTTTTGTAAAAAAATTCAAAAATTTATATAACAACCCATAAGAATTTTAAACGCAACCACAATAGCCCCTTTGATATCAAAGTTGAATTCCAACTCTAAATATTATGCATAAACATGATACAAAATTAACGACTAATTAAGTTGTCTCCACAACCAAAAAAGTCTGGCTCAGCTTCTGTTTGTCGTCCTTCATAGTAAAGTGAACGATGATATCTTTGCTCCATGTTCAATATTTGAAGTTAATTTTTTATTGGTTGAGATCTATGCATAAGCATTCAACACTTGTCCTTTGTCCTTGGTGTATTTTTTAAGTAAATTTTGTAGGTTAATTTCTAAAATCAAGTAAGCAATGTTAGAGTTATTTGAGTAAATATTGTTCGTCCACATAACACACCTCACACTTGCTCTCATTATCGTGCTCTTTTTCAGAGGATATTTACCAAAGAATCAATTTAAATTATTTTGATTATTTTTTAAATCATTGTCCAAACATATTTGATTAATTTATGTCTTTTAAATTTTTTTTCAAAAACATATATACCAAATGAGTTCTATGACAAAAAAAAGAAGAAACAAAACACACTTTTTAAAATTCTTTTCAAAAATATGTTTTTGAATACTGTTTTTTAAAAATATTAGTTCTGTTTTTCTTTACTCTTTTTTAAGTGGGAATTTTGGAGGCTGAGCATTGGTCCCACATTTAATTTTCTGCACGTGATAAAGGTTTGGAAAGTAGCTATTGGTGATCTAAAAAAAAAAAAGAGCAATGCTATAAAAAAAAATCGTAATTTAAGAATTTAATTCGATAACACCGTTGAATCAATTCTAATAGAATTTTTTTCCAGCAGTGTCAAAAGTGTCGGATTAAGTCATTTCGTATCGAGTTAATTTCAAGTTTGTGTTAAAAATCTCAAAATACGAACTTGCCCTGTGTAATAATCGTCGAGAGATGTGTAAATATTAATTTGACTTGCTTATTAAACGGGTTACCTAAATCCAACCAATTTGACATGTTTAATAAATATGTTGTTTTTGGGTTAACACATATAATATGATTTGTTTAATCTGTTTAACACACATAACTTGTTTTCACACATATTCATTATTATTAAATACACCATTCAATCATTCATCCAAAATTTTAAATAATTTTTTCACTAATAACATATCATATCTCATCAATGAAATTAATTAAAATGCATTCAAGTTTCAACCTAAAAATTAAAATAAGAATTATACTATTATAATGTCATAATAATGGTAAAAACTGTACTGTCAATTACCGTAGTAAAAATAATAAGTAATAAGTAATAATGTTTTTTTTAAACAAATTTTTGTTTTGGGAGGGAAAGGGGGAGGGGAGAGACGATTTGAACCCTTAATCTAACGAAGACAAATCTTTTACAAGATAAAGAATATCATAGGACTAAAAACTCATTGGTAATAAGTAATAATGTTAAGATCACATCAGTCATACATAATAGATAAATTATATTGTCATAAAGGGGTTAAATGAGTTTACAATGAGTTAGGTCGGGTTCGTGTCCAAATCATGTCAACCCGTTTAAAATATACGAATTAATCAGATCAAAATCAAATTGACTTGATTTTGATATAAACTTGACAAGATTTCTTGAGTGTTTAAGCGTGTTAACTCGTTTTTATCTATTTATCTGTCTAATTTCGTGTATAATTCATTAATTTCATGTTATGTTCATGTCGTGTTAACGTGTTACGCTAAAAATTGACATCTCTAACTTTTCATTAATAAAAACCCTTGCGCCTACGCTAGTAAATGACCTCACCAGCCAGCATCTTTTCCACTTTTTTTGGCAAAGGTATTGGTATTCTATTTGATCATATCTGTCAATGCCTCTCCAATGCTCGTTGATTGGTCCATCACTATTTATGAAGACAGAAAGGCCTTCGTTGTTGGGTTCTTCACTTCTATACCATGTGATATTAATGGAAGCAGTTACTTAATTTCTTTTTTTCAGAAGGTAGTTGAGGGAACTAAACTCTTCACCCTCTCATGATGGAATTTTTTTTTGTATGAACCTGACACACTATATGACAGTTGATGTACACACTCAATACAAAAACAGCTTGTGAGACCCATAAATTAAATTTTTCAACAAACAACTCTGACAAAATAATAAATGTCAAAACATGCATTAAATATTTATAATTGTTTATCGGTGATGTACACCGCATGACACTGTGATGTGATGTGTTAGATCATGATGTATTCACCTCGTGTTTAATGACATTTCTATTATCTATTATTTGGATTTTTTTAAAGTAGTGTATTGATTCTTAATAATGGGAAAGAAGTGTGGAATCTCGAGATTATGTATAATTTTGCAATACCCATGATCTTTTTTTTTTTTTTTTTACACATGATACACATGATCTTCTATTATTTGAAGATCCTCCATCATATTAATACTTTAATCCCTTCCTCCATTTTTCAAAATCCTCCACTAAGGTCCATTTGACAGGGATTGATTATCTATCATAAAAGTTAGAATTTCGAATTAATTATTCACCGATACTTTCTAAAGTCTTCCAAAACCAAAGTGACGATGGCCCACCAAAAGAGTCTGTATCATAAAACTATTTGGATGTTCTATCAGCAAGAACACCCCCCAACCAACAAAAAAAAACAATTATTTTCATTTTCAAACTATTTTAATCATTTATGGGTGATTGTTCAATCTATCCTATTTTATATAAAAAAAAACTTGATTGCAAATATGTTTTTAATCATTAAAAAACTGCTGTACAGCTACCACATTTTTCCAGCTCCTTTGATCGGTGCATAAAAGACCTTTATAGCAACCAGGCATCAAGCATTATCGTATTATATGTATGATCAATGTAATAAAATAAACAGAAATGCAGAATGTGATTGATGTCCAGTGTATCGGTCTAGTGGATTTCCAAGATAAAATTCTGCACATGTAAAATGTGATGTCCGGTGTGTTGGTCTAGAGGGATTTCCAAGAGAAACAAATCAATAAAATATTAATGGCTGACAATGAATCTTGTGCTATCTATCTATCATCATGGTATTGAGCTTTAAGGACGAGACTGACATAGAAAGAAAGAAAAAGAATCACCCAGTAATTTGGTCCTTTGGAACGTGATGGTAGGAGCATGACACATTACATTATTGGGTACTCATGTGTTGTAGGTATTATAAATGACCACCTCTTTGCCAACAACCAGACCCTTTTTGGGACCATCCACGAGACACTTAATAAGACGGCTTGTAAAGACGATTATTCGTGGAATGATAAAAAAAAAAAAACTAAATAGCAATACAAAATTAGGTGATTATTTGGAAGAAATAAAGGACAATTTTATTATTCCATGGATTGAGGTAGTTACGTAGAGTTAAAAAGCAAGTTATGAATAATTAATTGAAAATAAATAAAGTGTTTTACGGATCTTTAAAAAGTGGAAGTCAAATTCTTTCTTATTTATTTATAAATAAATTAGTAATATTATTGAGATTTTAAAAATTGACTTATTTTGTTCAATTAATGATGGCTGTAATTTTTGTACTTCTTTTTTGGAATCTCATCATTTGATACATCATTATGTCAATAAATAGGATTGATAATTAAATCAAGCTCTTCGGACTCGATTCGGAGAAGACTCGACTCGAGCTATACGAGCCAAGTTCGAACAATTTTTTAGGCTTGTTTAAAAAACAAGTCTAAAAAGTTCGATTCGTTTATATATAAAATAATCAAGTTACTTATGCTCGGCTTAGTTCTGGCTTGGCTCGGACTTGACTCATTTTCTAAACGAGCCGATCTTGGAAAATTTTTTGAGCTCGTTTAGGAAAATGAGTTTGACAGGCTTGTTTATTTTGAATGAACTTATTGAAGTTTACCCACTTTATGTTATAAAAGACTAGTTATTTTTCGTGTCTGAAGGTACAAAGTAATAAAAAATGATTAACAATAAATATATCTATATGTACACCTAAAATCAAATTACAAAGATAGATGAAAAAGAAGAAAATTTAAGTACCCGTTGTAGTTGGGGGCAAGCAATGATAGTGATTGTGGACAATAGTAGTGATGGTGGGAGATGGTGATGGGATGGTGGTGGTGAGGTACTTGTGGGGTGGTGGTGGTGACGACAACGATGATGATTATGATTTTTGTAAAAGAGATGGTGGTGATGTGACAACAACAGTAGGGGAAAGACAACAGTGGTGATGGTAGGTGGCGGCAACGATGATAAGTGATAGGTTAATAGGAATAGTGGTAGTGGTGATGGTGGTGATAAGGCAATGGGTGTTGTAATGGTGATGGCGTTGTGACAGTGATGATAAATGTTGAAGCTAAGGTGGTGGAGATGGTGAAGTGGTGATGGTAGTGGTAGTGGTAATAGTTGTGGTAGTAATAATGGTAATGATAATGATAATAGTTGTGATGGTGGGACAGTGGGGGTGGTGGTAAGATAGTTTCAAATATTATTATTTTTTTTAAAGTACTTACAAAAAATTATAAATCGTAAAAATATTTTTAAAAAGTTATCCTAAACACATTTTTATAAATTTAATTTTTTTATTTAAATTGAGCTGTTAATATTAGACATTAAACTAATTTTAAAGTAAAATCTACAAAAATTTTAATTGTAAAAAATAAAAATTATTTTATTTATTTTTAAAATTTAAATTATATTATATTTTATTATATAGGTTGTATATTTGTGGTAATACCCTCCCGTCATCTCAAAAGTTAATGTGGCAACCGATTAGTCTGGTGTTTGGTGGGCGTAAATTCCTACCCCTACGTCACCGTTTTCGCGACGCTTTCTATCCAATCCCAAGCCTCGATCAAACACAAAAACCATTCAATGCTGACGCTAATCAGGGACTCATCAGTAATTTCGCAAAAAATCTTGTATATTATCACCGTGTATATATACTGATGCGATGCCCATCTAGCAACGCCATTTTCGTACTCAAAAAGCACCAAAAACTTCGAAGGACAAAGAAGACGAAGCGCAGAGAAGAAAGTCCCTGCCCGCTAACTCTGTGTGTGTGTGTGTGATTCCTCTTTGCCGTTCACTGTTTTTCTCGTTTTGTAGTGATCAAATTAGCAACTCTGCCATTAACAACAGGCATGTTCTCTCTCTCATCTCTCTCTCTCTCTATGTCTACTTTCTCCCTCTTCTCTCTTTTTTCTGTCTACTCTACCTCTCTTGTTTTCTACATTTATGTATGTATATTCAAGATTCTTTCTCTGTTTAAAGAAAATTGATATCTTCTATTCGTTGCCGTTAATTTAATTTGTTGAAGCAGTGGGATTTCGCAGTTGTGAGTTTTGGTGTCTTTTCTCCCTTTTTTGTTAAACCCTAACCCTCTGTCTGGTTCCTCAGAAAGCGGAGAATAATACAAGAAAGTTAAAATTTGTGGGTTTTCCTGGTTTCTATGAATGAAAAACTCAACTGGGAAACATATCTACCAAGTTTATTTGAATTTATTGTCATAAATCTTCTGCTCTTGGAAAATGTAAAGTTTCTTTCTTTCCTTTTGATTTTCTTTCTTGTTCTCGTTATTTTCCTTCCGTATCTTGGTAACCAAACAAAAAAAGCAACCTTATTGTTTTAATTTTTAATATATAAGCATTAATTCCGTATCTTTGTAACAAAAAAACAAAAATAGCGTTATTTATTATTTTAGTAAATAAGCGGAATTTTAGGTTGGGCTTCAATGCTACGTAGCTTTTCAAGATATTCTATATAAGTGGTGGCTTGATTAATGCTCTTATTGTGGCTTGATTAATATTCTCATTGTGGAGAAAATATTGGATGTAAGTGTAACCACGGCAATATTGTGACGTGGTGCAACCGTCCAATTAAACAAACAAATAGACAAAATCGATCCCACTATTTAAATAATCACCCCTCGGATAGTAACTGTAATATGTTCAAAAAGTGGGGTTAGCTTGTTAATTTGTTTGTTTATTATCAAGCAGTTGGTGTAAAGTATTTGAAAATCAATAAACTAAACATCCCAAATAAGTTTACGAAATGTTGTATCATGAAATCTTGAATTTTTAGTGGGAGTGAGTGGGATCCATTAATCTAACCACTGATTTGATATGCAAAATTTGGTAAACAATTTAGTAAGCATAACAACTTCGAAAATTTGGAGATTCTAAGGTGATATGATTTGCTTTCCATTTTTACAGGATGGGGTATAAGATACCCCTGGTTCTATTTTTGCTTTTTATTAATTGTTTTTAACTAAAGTCTATGCTGTGTAAACATCCACAATCTCTCCTAATACACTTTCCTCAATTTTTTTAGAGGAATATTAGGGAGGTCAGTAGGGGTCTACCTATATATTTTTATATAATGGTCCCATATGAATAAATGGTGATTGATCTGATCTCAAACGAAGTTGTGAGTGATTGAGTATTGGAGGATTCAACAAACCCTTTTTAATGTTTTCTTTATTTCAGTGAAATGCGTCACTAAACTTGCTTTTGAATATCACTTAAAGCCCCTTCTGGGGGACTGTGAGGTTATAAATTGAGACCCCTTTTTTGAGAATAATAAACATGTGATTCTTCTGGTATTCTTTTTATTTTAGCCCCCACTTTCTTATTCAATTCATATTCTCTTTTGATCAGATTGAATTATTCACTGCATATTTTTTGACTTTTGTTTTTGTTCACACTGTGTTATTCTTTAGCTATTATAATTTGGTATAACGTGTAGAAGTTAAATCATTAATAGAGACAAAATTGTGCATCTCAGGACATATAGAATTTTCCAGAAAGTTTCTCTTTATTCTTTAGGCCAGTCCTCCTTTCCCTTTAACAAAAACAAACAAAAACGTTGGTCCTTGTTTGTGTGTCTCTCTAATATATTTGGGGCTGGTGTTCATTATATTTATGATGAATCATGCATGATAAGTGTATATTTTGGTGGTTAGAGACTGGAGTCGCTGAAGAAAAAGAGGATTTATGGTGGGAGACGCAGGAAGAGGTTTGGAATGCCAGAAGATTATGGATGGGAAGGAGAGTAATGCTAACTATTCAAATAAGATTGTTATCCCTTCTTGCTGCTTGAAGGCTAGGGCTTCTGACCCAGAGCTTGTATCTAAATGCCATTCAACAGTTGTTTCTGGATGGTTCTCTGAGCTTCGGTCATGCTCTGGTTATCCTCTTTAACTTTCCCCTTAGTTACTATCGTTATGCAAATCTCCTAATTTTTCATTTGTTGAGGGAACATTATTATGGTCAAATTAGGATGTGCTATTGACTCCTATTCATCCTCGTACTGTCTAATACAGAAAAATCTGGCAAACGGATGTATTTCAACAACCCTATGTGGCCAGGTGCGTTATTTGGATTACATCTTCCCTCTAGCTTGATATGAAGTTTTTTTTCCACTTCAGAATGTAATATGGCATGCTTGATCAGTTTTTGAACTTCTTGGCTTTATTGTTTAGGACATTTTCATGTCCACGCCACTCTACCTTCTCCTTTGTCACTGAACAAATTTGCTTGCTTATATAGATCTTGATTATCTAAAACTGCTGGTGCTTATAATCCTGGCACTTGGGGGTTCCCTCATTGAACATAGGAAATTGCTCTCATATGTTTGTTTTTACATGAAAAAAAAATGATTTGTCCTTCTCTCGTTAATTTGTCTCTATGCTCTATTATACTTGGTTATGACTGATCCTGTAGGAGAAGCACATTCTCTGGAAGTAGAGAAGATTTTGTACCAGGAAAAGTCAGAGTATCAAGAGGTCCTGGTTTTTGAGGTTCAGTATTTTCATCTAGAGTGTTGGACTCGAAGTGATTGACTTATTTTCTGTCTTCTTCCTCTTCTTGCCATGTATTTTAACTTTTCTGAAGCGGGATCTTTTACATGCAGTCCTCAACATATGGAAAAGTGCTTGTTCTTGATGGCATTGTTCAGCTGACTGAGAAAGATGAATGCGCCTATCAGGAGATGATAGTCCATCTTCCCCTTTGTTCGATCAAATCCCCCAAAACTGTAATATTGCTTACCCTAGTTTATTCGTTTCTGATAAAATCTGCCATTTGAGACTTGTTATCATTGTAGTGCCACATCCTATTTCCATGAACACATCTTTTACATGGGGTTCTTATGCTTAGTTTAAGCAAATTACTTGATGCAGGTTTTGGTTGTAGGTGGTGGTGATGGTGGTGTTCTTAGGGAAATTTCTCGTCACAGCTCTGTGGAGCTGATTGATATTTGTGAGATAGATAAGATGGTTATAGATGTATGTAATGGAATGGCCTATACCTTCACGTGTTAGCTCTTACTTGCCTTTTCTTTGATTGAATTCATTTCAGTTATTTCTCATGTAGGTTAGTAAGAAGTATTTTCCAGAATTAGCTGTTGGCTTTGAGGATCCTCGTGTTCAACTTCATATTGGTGATGGTATGTCAGGCCATAAAATATTATTGATTGTTTTTGGTTGGATGATCTGGATACATCTATTGGCCTAGGTTATTGGTATGGCAGCCCCACAAAGTTGTGCTGAGTGGGTGCTGTTTTGTGTGGTGATACAGAGGTCCCAAATTGACTGCTGCTGTATACTAGCCCTGATACCCTGAAATTGACATGCGGCTGAGAGCCTAAGAAGGTTATCCTCGCCTCCATAAGGGGTGGGAATACTTGTCAGCTTTGTACCTAACTCACATGCGCACACTTAGAGAGAATGAGCGAGCATTAATAATGCTATGTAAAATAAAGTGAGAGCATTGATACTACCATAATTTGCAACTTGTAAGCTAATTTTGAGTACAGGAATATACTTTCTTGCTGATCTTTTTTCATGATATTTCACAGCTGTGGAATTTCTACGGCATGCACCTCGAGGAAAGTATGATGCAATTATTGTTGATTCGTCAGACCCTGTGGGTATGTTTGTACACGTATTGTAAGTCTATTGTTTATTTTTCTTTTGAGTGAAGCATGTGTTTTTGTGTGCACATCAAGCACCCAAGTAAGTGTGTAGCCATATTTGCATGGCCATAGATTAACATGTGATTGGAAAATCTTGGGTAGAAGACGATTTGTTTATATATACCTTGTTAAAGCACAGGAGGCTTTTTGAATTAGTCTCAATCAAGTAATTTAGGTAAATATGCTTTTTGGAACATGTCAATCACTTGTAAGTTCATGAGATGTATTTTGTCCTCTGCTTTTTTTTTTTTTGATCAAATAATTTTTTGAACTGTTGTAATATAGTTTTCTTTTATCATAATTTAAAACTGGCTAAGTTGATTGTGATTTCTCATTGTTGAGAATTCTTTTCATATGTTTCTGGAATTTGGAATGTTGTTCTTTGGGTGGATGACTAGTGAAGATCTGAAGGCACTGACTGACATTTGGGTTTTCTTTACTTCTCAAGATTTTTTTACCCTATTAATTCTACTGAAATCAAACTTCATTCATGCGGCTTTATTTCCCTATTAAGGTCCTGCTCAAGAACTTGTGGAAAGGCCATTCTTTGAGACAATAGCAAAGGCATTAAGGCCAGGTGGTGTTCTTTGTAACATGGCTGAGAGTATGTGGCTCCATACGCATCTTATTGAGGATATGATCTCTATTTGCCAGGAAACATTCAAGAGTTCTGTTCATTATGCTTGGGCGAGTGTTCCTACATATCCAAGGTATCAATGTATTCATTTCTTCAACCTCTATACGACATAAATGTTTGTTTAAAGTTTCATAGTTGCCTATTTCATATTCTTATGGAGCTATTTATTATTTATTTCACTTTCCCTGTTTTTCCCCTTTTTTTTGCCCAATGCAGGATTTCATTGTCTTAGTACTTTTGATTAAACTCACTGTTACAAAGTTTTCTCACCTTTGCTATTTCACCATCTTGCCCAGTAAACCAATAGAATAGATTATTTCAATATTGATCAATGTTGTTACAAGCCATGCCTTTTTCTGAGGATGTTTCCATAATTGGATATGCAGTGGCGTTATTGGATTTATTTTATGTTCAACGGAGGGGCCACCTGTTGATTTTAAGAGCCCTATCAATCCTATTGAGAAGTTAGATGGAGCACTCAACTATCGGAGGGAACTTAAATTTTACAATTCTGAGGTAATCACCTTTCTTTCTTTGGGTTTAGGCCAAATTGATCTGTGTTGTTCTTGTTTCTTTTCTTACATACATAAACAACTGCCTTAATTGTCTCCTCACCTCTTATTGTTCTGATGTGGCCATGCCCCATCTGTAGCTCCCCGTTCAAGCTTGTTAGAAACGTTGTGAATTCTAAACTCTTGCATTGGATTCCATACTATGAAGAAAACTTATAGAAGATACAATATGTACATAGATAGAGATTGGTAGTAAGGATTCATTTCTATTTGTCATTCTGTGAAGTCAGGTTATGATCATGCCTGCTCATTTGCCATGTACTGTTATCAAGTGATATGCATCATATAGCATGAAGCCTTTTTTTAATTTTTTTATGGGGAATATGCAAAGTAATGACACAAAGCCCATATCTAAGAACAGAGTAGATACATAAAATAGACAAATAGACCTTCTAGAAGCCGCGCACATAGTTTACAGCACTGTTACATAATAATTGAATTAGAATTATTATACAGAATAAAAAAATACATAAAGTTCTAATCTTGAACATCCATGACTATTTTCTTTTGAAATGGAATATTTGAAACACGCATAAAGAAAACAATTGAAATTATCTCCTTTTTTTTCCATTTGGAATTTGTGATTTCTAACATCTCTTTCTCTCACTAAACTTCTGCTGTTTGCTTTGCAGATTCACATGGCTGCCTTTGCATTGCCATCATTTGTCAAGAGGGCAGTGAGCTGCCTTTGAGATTGCCCAACCTCTGCAAAACGAGTCAACGTTTCTTAGTTGGATTTTAGCATCACATTTGTTTGCGTTATTTATGGAATTGTATCCCTGCATGTTGAAATAGACTGATCAGAACCACGTATAACTAGTATAGAAACAGCAAGGTTTTCTGCCTTTTAGGCGTATTAGGCGTTCAAATCTAAGCATGTAATACGGGCACCTCGAACATTTATGATATTGCTGTAAGACTTCTCATTATGCAATGCTTGTGGCTTGATATTTGTTAGATTGCAATTGTTTGCCCAACCACTTCTTCCTCTTGATCAAGCGCCATATTTTCAAAATGGATCAAACCATGTGCCCCGTCTATTGCCGGTATCGGAGTGATAAGAAGTTTTTCCTCATTTATGAGGAGATTAATTCATGGGCTTGCATTCCCAACATGTCGTTTGAGTGGACGAGGACTCAATATTGCTGCAAATCCTTAGGGTATATATATATTACTCATAACTCGTGTTTGAAAGCACGAAAAAACATAAAATTTAATTGTCCAAAAAATTGATCTCATTAAATTAAATTTTTTTAACATGTGTATACTATCGTATATGGATAATGTTTGAAATAAAAATTATGTTAAATTATAAATTAATTAAATATTAAATGATTGAACATGTGATAGAAATGAGGGATGTGATATTTTTAAGGGAAAAAATATGTCGGGGATAAAAATTCACATTGTTATGTGATTTATTAAATAGATTTTAGTTCAACGGTCTGAGGGTCCATGACAGTTTATGTGCATTTTAAATAATTTTCACTCCGGTTTGGTCAAAAATATATCATCTATATTGAAATTAAGGTATACGTGAAGATAAATTCCTTATAATTTAGAGAGTTGACAACGTCCTTATCGAAGTTCACTTCTAAAAAGAATCTCCTTGAATTGACTGATAAAAATTGGTTGTTCAAATTGACAGGATCCTGGCCTTCTATAAGCAGTTAGGCCTAAATTTATTCGTGTTTATTACAATATAACAATACTTAGGTTTTTCTTGATGTTCTGTTTTTCTGTTTTTTTTTTTGTTTCTTTCTTGATATTGTACTTTGTCTCTCTGGTTTTTCAATGTAATCATATTTCGTGACCAAAAAAAAATACTTATGCTACGATTGGTATGATAAAAAAATAGAAGGATGAAAAGTTTGAGAAATAAATAAAAAATCAATCTTGGTAAGAAAGGAAAACAAGAATGATGAAAAAGTAGATGAATTAACTTTCCTCCCAACTTACCAAAATCAATCTCTCCAAAAGCGGAAAGAAAGTGGATGAAAAGTTAATTATTTGTGTTGAGATATATCTTATTTGTCTATATATCTTTTGATATCTACATAATAAAGTAGCTTATAATTCAAATCTCAAAAGATAAACAAAATAACTTTTGCTATTCGCGGTTAAAATCGCTTTAAATTTTACTACTTAAAGTTAATTTAACGGCTAATATTAACATCATAACCCTAAATTTAATAGGAAAAATAAGTCTTTAAGGGTGTGTTTAAAGTGATTTTTTAAAAGTATTTTTAGAAATTATTTTTCATAAATATTTTTTTTTTAAAATAGTGTTTGAAACCACCCCACCACTACCTTTACCACCACCACCATCGTCGCCGCCATCACCATCGCTACCGTTGTCGCCACCATCACCACCACCATCGCCACCGCCCCCACCACCATCATCACCATTGCCACCACCTGTCGCCATCGCCACCACTGTCACCATCGTCGCCACGACCACCTTCGTTGTTGCGTTCGTTGTCACCACGATCATTATCAACCATCACTGTCTCCTATCACCACCATTTTCACTCACCACCTCTCACTTTCACTACAAATCGATACTTAATTTCATTTATCTATTCTTTATGTTTGTGATTTGATTTTGGATATAAATATAAGAGGAATGCTATTGAAACCTAATTTATTGATCTAATTTGCTGACATAATTCACTATAACCTTTGAATTAACTGTGAGCTTCATCAAATATTGAAATTTAATGTTTATTCAATGGTTTCAATGAAATCACGTTATTATATCAAATTATGTCAAATTTTTAGGTCTAAATAGCATTTTCCTAAAAATAAATGTGTTTATTGTTTATCATTTTTAATTAGTTTGTGCCTTCAGGCACAAACAATAACTAGTATACATATATTATGTGTACATTAATTTCATATAAAAATACAATGATAAAATATGTATTTGTATACATATATATATATTTTTAAAAATTAAAAATTTAAATTTAATTTTTTTCCCATCTTAATTAAAAACTCAGATTTATTTTTTAATTAAAGTAGATTAACACGAATACAAAAACGAACACGACAAGAAAATAAACAGATCAACTCGCAACTCGACACGACACAATTAATTAAATGAGTTGAATTAATTTTGACTAATGTTTGACACAAATTTGTAATTACTCAACACGAATCTGACAAGACACGACTTGATTGTTACCTCTAATCTTAGCCAGAACAAAAAAAAAATAGTTATTTTTATTTTTTATCTATCTAATCAAATACAAAGAAAAGAAAATGTATCATTTCTATTTTTCATTCTCCCTACTTTCTATATTTTCTACCAAACGAAACATTAGGCTACGTTTGATAAAATAATTAAAAACTAAATAATAAAAATTGAAAATATTGGAAAGACGATAAATATAACCTATCTAATTTTAGGTTGAAAGCTTATTTGTGCAGCCTGCTTTTATCTAGTGGGTGTCTCACCATTCCCCTCTAATGCTGGTATGGTGAGATATCACACTTGGGTGTAATCAAAATCAGGTTTAAGCATTATTCGATTAAAGTAGTACTAACTAGAATGGGTGAGTCCCATGAATATTAAAACGTGTTACATCTTTTTTTATTTATTATTCATACATTATTATAAGAGAAAGAATCAATAAGATTTGAACCTTTGATTACCCGAAGGTCTAATAGCAAGGGTAGTAACCATTGAACCAACCGTGAGCCTATATTACATCCTTTTCCTTCCGGAAAAGAGAGGTATAATTAGGCCTCTCAAATTTTGATACAACACGGTTAATCGACACGAATTAAACAGATTTGAGTGAGACCTTAACGGGTTTGGGTGGTAAACAGATTGACCCGCCAAACACGTTTAATAAACAGATCGTATTCGGATAAGACCTGTTAATTCATTTATCACACGTTTATCCGTTAAAATAAATTTAATATAATAATAAATTAATAATTATTATATATAATAATAATAAGAACAATTATTATTATTATTATTATTATTAATTACCTATAAAAGAGGTAGCGGGCCTCCTCCATTCAATTGACATTTGTGGTGTTGGTTATCTCATGGACCGTTGGCTGCCGGCTAGAACTCCTCAATTTGAGGAAAGTATACTTGGAAGCAAAAAAATATGGTGTAAAAAATAATAATTTTTTTTATATTTTTTTAAATGGGTTAAAATGAGTCGTGTCGTATTATCTATTTATTAAACGGTTCATGTTCGTGTTAAAAATTTTTACCAATTTATTAAATGTGTCGTGTATGCGTTTGTATGTTGTTTACTTTTCACCCGTTTAACTTGACACATAACTATTTAACCTGACACGATTGATACCCCTAAGTATAACATTAAATAGGGTAGAAGCAATGTGGTGCTTTAAAATTTACTGGTGTTGGTTGACACTTTATTGAGGTTATTTATTTATTTTTTATTCAACAGTCAAGAATGTTTGAGTTAGTTTATACATATTTTGATCAATTTTTTTTCTGATCTGGTTATAAATATATTATCCATACTAAAATTAAGATATTGTTAAGAGATAAATTTCAAGAAATTGTCAAGATTTAAAAGCTCATTAATATTATCATTTAAATTACCCTCAAATATTCACCATCCACACTTCTACAATTGGAATGGGCCGCAGCCTTTTTTTGGGTTTTCTAGGCCTTTGACGAGAATGGCCCATCATTTTAGTTTATTACCTAATAAGCCTTTTTGACGTGGACTTAATCGATGAACCTCAATGGTCCAGATTGTAGATTCTTTCAGCCAATCGCTTCAAGTTGATTCCATAGACTGGAATCTGGCACGCGCTGACCACACTCCCCTTCCTCATCTCTCCCTCGCTCCCTCCCTCTCCATCAAAAAGAGCTTTGTGTTTTCGATTCTTCGAATTCCTCCGTAGAGCTGCGTCAACGCTCCGTCTTCGGTTTATCTTCCAAAAAGTATCGTCTTCCTGTATATTCAGTCTTCATTTCATCGTTCTGCGTCTCATTCTCCTCTCTCTTAAATCATTAGATTTTGGAAGCTAGGTTTCGTATTTTGCCAGGTTCAGTAAACAATCCCCTCTTTTTGATATTTGAATGACGAATTGTATTTCCTAGGAATTCATTTGTATGTATGGCTCTTTTCGTGACGTAGATTATGCAATATTTGCTAATGAATTCTACTCTTTAACAATAGTTGCTTTCGTTATGGCTTTTAACAGGTTGGGTATTTTTATTGGTGGCTGAATAGTGAGCTCTAGATGACGGTGGGTGCAGTTTCAGTTTGTTTGGTCACTAATCAGGTGAGGTGACACTTCCAAACTATGTAATTAGCCTTTCAACTTCATTTCTGATCCATGAATAAATTAAGAGTAATGCTGTAGACACCACCTTTGTGTACCCACTCTCTTACACCACCTGATGTAGCACAATCAAAGTTATTAGATATTCGATCTATGTTGGGTGGTGCATAAATGTAGTGTTTATAGCATTGCTTCACAAGTCAGCCTTTTTTTTTTTTGGGGGGGGGGGTTTCAACTAATTTTGGCCTGAAGCAATTATCAAGGGGATGAGGGAAGAGACCCAATGCTGAATTGTTATTTGATGTGAATGCCTCACTTTCTTCTGTTGTCAGCTTTGGTAAAATATGGACATCTCTGACTTCAAGCCTGGATATGGCCTTGGGCATTTTTACTGACTTGTTTTTCCCTGTCTGTTTTGCTTTCCCTAGTTTCATTAGCATTTCTTTTTTGTTTGTTATTGATTTTGGTTATGTTGTTATGAGTCTTAGTTCGTTGTGTTGTCTGTTAAGCTGTTCTGCATGATTACCCAGGTTCTCATTACTTGAAATTTTCTGACTTAATGGAGTTGCTTAGTCTGGGAACACTGCGTCTTCCTTCATTTTGCAGGCCATCCAACCAGCTGGTTTGTCAGATATTACACCCTTTAACTTACATGGGAAGTTTACACATTTTCCATGTATACATCATGTAAAAACTCCCGGTTTTAAGGATCAAATCATTCAACTCTTCACAAGATCAAAAGGAAACCAAGCCTCGAGGACTGTTGTGTATGCAATTTCAAATAAGGATGAACCTGATAAAAGTGGTTCACGTTTTTGCACCAATGATACGATGCCTTCAACTCCGGAGAACATTGTCAGTTCTGAGGATCCTGGGAAAGAAGCCGTGGCTGTCTTATTACACTCTGGAGCAGACCTTCCTCAAGGTGCTCAGACCCTAGAAAACAAAGAAAACCTTCTTGACAAGCTGAAGGCCATGCAATTGCATGTGTTAGCAATAGAACAATGGAATGCTTCCCGACTTCAATTGTGTCAGAGGTATACTTTTCCGTGCACACGCCATTTGTTGTCATTGATGAACATCATTCATCATTTTCTTATCCTCCACTAGAACTTTTAGCTGGGATATGTAAACTACTTGTTCAAACATTAATTCACCACCATTCATTGACGGCCACTCTAGATACACGTTTAAGGAGTTTTTGCTAAAATCATCTACCATCTAGTTAAGTTGCTATGTTTCTCATTGACTCGGTTGTTTGATTGGTGGAACGATCATGTATATGTGGTGTATGGTGACCTTAGAATTTCACCAGTCTGCAGATTCATTTATGTTGTGTTCATTCCATAACTATTAAGCCATTAGTGCAATAGTCTGCACCTCAATCAGACTAGGTTTGCAGATTTGATGTCGGTTTTTGTGTGTTGTCAAAAACAAGTTCCTAGAATCCACTTCAAGTATTTCTGTTCCTCCTTAACTATCAGGAGTTTTGCTAGCTGCTAACTCTTGGTTTCCTGAAATTGGTAGGAGCTATTTGGTGAGTGCAGCAAACCTAATACATTATTTGGCATTGAAAGGCCTTGATGTTGAGCAGCTCAAGGAAGATCTTTCTTCCATTGGCCTTCTGAATTTAGAGACCATCAATCCATATGTCCTTGCAAGCCTTTCTGCAGGCATACAGATGTTAGAGAACATAACTTGTAGTTCCCTGAACAGCAGCAAAAAAGGTATTGGCGAAAGGATTTCCACCTACAAAAGTTTGGTCAATGAAAACAAGGGGGAGTTTACAACAAGTACAATGATGAAAAGGGCATACTCTCATAGGGAGCTACTGTTGGGCCCACTTCAAGATGAGAGAATTACTCATATCATGGTGACAGTTGGACAAGAAGCTACAGAAAGTGAAACACTTATAACTGATCTTCTCAAGACGGGAGCAACCCTTATTCGTGTCAACTGTGCACATGGAGACCCTAGTGTTTGGAGTGAGATAATCAGAAGGGTAAAAATAAGCTCTCAGATGCTGGAAAAGCCATGTCGAATTCTCATGGACTTAGCTGGACCAAAGCTTCGTACAGGTAAACTGAAGGCTGGTCCATGTGTAATGAAAATATCTCCCAAGAAGAATGCTGGTGGAAATATGATATGTCCTGCCCAAGTTTGGCTATCTCCCCAAGGAGCAGGTCCACCACCTCCTCATATATCTCCTGATGCAGTTCTTTATGTGGATGGCCAAGAATTTCTCAATAAGCTTGAGGTAGGTGATGCTGTGAGATTCATCGATGCTCGTGGGAAAAAGAGAATGCTGAAGATTTCAAAGAAGTTTCCTATTTTTTCTGGCGTTGGATTCATGACTGATTGTACCAAGACTGCTTATGTTCAGTCAGGAACTAAATTGCATGTTAAGGAGAAGAAACGGAAATTCTCAGATGGCTTTGTGGTAGATGTACCTCCTGTAGAACAGTTTGTGAGACTCAGAGTTGGAGACTTGCTAATCATATCACGTGATAGCTCAAACGAACAGGATGAGTCAGCTTGTTCCTCAATTGGTTCCAATAAGGTAACTTGTTCTTCCGGATATCTTTTTGATTCAGTTAAACCTGGAGAGTCCATTGCTTTTGATGATGGGAAGATATGGGGAGTAATCAAAGGAACTAGTATATCAGAAATTGTTATTTCAATAACTCATGCCAGTCCAAGAGGTACTAAACTTGGCTCGGAGAAATCCATAAATATTCCAGATAGCAATATTCGGTTTGAAGGCCTCACTTCAAAGGATGTTAAGGATCTTGACTTTGTAGCTTCCCATGCTGACATTGTGGGCGTCTCATTTGTCCGTGATGTTCGGGATATTGTGGTACTTCGCCAAGAGCTTGCAAAGCGGAAGGTTTGGAACTTGGGTATTGTTTTGAAGATTGAGACAAAAGGTGGCTTTGAGAAACTGCCCCTAATGCTACTGGAGGCAATGAAGTCTCCAAATCCTTTGGGAGTTATGATTGCCAGAGGAGATCTTGCAGTAGAGTGTGGGTGGGAAAAGCTGGCAGATATACAGGAAGAAATTATATCTACTTGTAATGCTGCCCATGTACCAGTTATTTGGGCAACACAGGTTTTGGAATCACTTGTTAAATCTGGTGTGCCTACTAGAGCTGAAATTACTGATGTGGCCAATGGAAAGAGGTAGGTAGTCCAAATTGATTCTTGATTTTGTTGATTATTTCATGCTCCATTTGTTTGCTGAGAAAAGTTCAGAACAAAAAACACAAAACAGAAATTTTTGTTTTCTTGTATTTGGCCTAGCAGACAAAGCAAAAACCTCCATTCGATATGGCATAGCATGATGACTTCTTCCATTTTTATAGAACAAAATACACAAAAGCATAATGGCTGTTAGACCAAATTGTTTTAGACTATTATGGCTGAAAATGTTTAGAAAAACAATCTTTTTTCTTGTGAAATTAAATGAATAAAACTAACAAATTCATTGACTATCAGCTCTCAGTCAGTTGAATCCTCAAGACTGAAATAGTCATAGGTTCCACTGATGATGTTTGGTTAAGCATCTTTTTTTTGGCTCGTCTCTTTGGCTAGACTTGTTGAGCATCTTTTGATTTTGTAATCCAATTTCACTTATCTAGGATGGAGTTACTGTCCTTGGTTCCATAACCTGTCAGACCTTGATAGAATCACATTGCAACCTCTGATTAACTAAGAAAGGATGTCCTGTAGAATGATTCTTGGATTGACCAAAATTAAGAATGATATATATTAAGTTGCATGGACTTACATCAGTCAGATATTGACCTTTGTGTACAACATTTAGTCTAGTCAGTTTGTCCATGAGCCAGTAGATACCCTTTCCCAATGCTCCCATTATCCCATAATGTACGTAATATGGATTATTATCACTCACCAAGTTGTTTCAGTGTGGTCTTGAGAGAAACCTGCCACACTAGCTGAGCCAAAGATTCCGCTTTTTTAGATAAACTGACAATTTTTTGGGGGGGTGAGTAGGGGGGAATTTTGTTTTGCCTCAAGTTAACTGAGAATTAAGTAGTTCACTTTGCTTTGGCAGGGCAAGTTGCATCATGTTGAACAAAGGGAAGCATATTCTGGAAGCTGTTTCTACATTAGATTCAATATTGAGTGGGTGCTCTACAAAGGTGAAAGCAGACTTGAAGCCTCTTGTATTATCCAGCCACCTGTTTTAAGTAGTTCATTTGTCTTCAGCGTCAGATTATATGTACAGTAGTGCAATATCAGGTTTTCTCTGTGCAATTCAGGGCAATGTCCCAAATGAACATCTTAGGAGCTGTATATATTCTTTTCTTAGTTTGATCCAGTAATTAGTTTGGAATCATACTCTCTCTCTCTCTCTCTCTTGGGTGGATTAGCACATATAGCATGGCTGATTGTGATGGATGCTCCATATGCTGAGTGGTAATATAGAGTTTCCAATGAATAGGAAGTATTTGTATTTTGTGGGGTTACGATCATCAAGAAATTAGTTCTGCATGGATGTGCTAATGCTGCGTGTAGGCGAGGGAACTGTACAGCTCTTAAAATTGATTTAGGAAGTTGCGAGGGTCCATGTTTCATGGTGATACAGATGTATAAATTCATATGCATGTAGATATTTGGATATGTCTAGAATTGCATTCCAAAGAGAAGGGTGATCAAACAGTATGACAGATCGAATCAGAGATCTGATAAGCCATTTCGGGTGTCTGAGGCCTAAATTCCAGTTTGAGAGAATGGCCTAGGGTTGAAAGTAGTTCCCCTGCTGCTGCAGCAATACAGCATCAGTCCAACACTGTGGAATGTCACCTTGAGTAGTTCCCTCTAAGATCCGGTCAAATATAGGTTATTCACATTGGGACTAAGATATTTATCTCTCAGGGTCTAATTTCAAGGAGTTGTCAAGATTCGAAATTAAGACGTATGAGATTTAACAATTTTATGAGGAATCCAATAGCCTCATCCAAGTTTTTTCAGAAAAAATTACTCTGAACTTCCTCTTCCTGAAGAGACTCTTCCAGCTTCTGCCACTAGAGTGGCGTGGCCGCTGTTTGAATAAAAGACGATGCTTGGTCATCCATTGCCGCGAGAAAAACCTTAAAAGGTGTGGGAGAGCTGGTTGCTATGGAGTATCACCAGAATGGAGAAGCAACGAGCTTCAAATCGTCGGCCATGAAAGCAAATGCTTCAACTTGTGGGTGGGATGGTGATCCTAAATCTATGTAACATGTACTTTCTCCACAAAAAGTCACTGCATTTGAGATAATCTGATGTAAAAAAAAAAAATACATCTGACAAAATAGATCCGGAAACAATCGACTAAAGTTGTCTGATTAATTTAATCTACGATTCAATTATGATCGAACAAGAAGTTTAAGATTGATCCTAAATTTTAAAGATGAATTTCAAATGAAACCATCTCATTAAGCTATGATTCAAAAAGGAAGTGTCAATTTATATTGTGTCATATCATTTGCGTGTTGTTATTTTCGGATCGTCTCGTTATAATTCATGCCGTGTTTGGTTCAATTCCTATGAAAAAATATTAATTAATGTGTTATAAGTGTTAAACATTGATCCCAACTTATTTATTATGCATAATATCAATCATATTAATTTTAAAATTATGTTATGTCGGGTTGATATCGTTTTTGTATTGATGAATTAAGTTGACACCACTAATTCTAAATCATTAAATCTTGATTTGTCTTAAAAAATTTCATAGTTTTTTTTCATGAAACTATTTTCTAAAAATAAGATTATCCTTTTAAGTAATAGCTAAAGTTGTAAGAAGGATGAATTATAAATTCAACCGTTTTAAATTTAATTTTTGAAAAGTTTTTGAAATTAAATTATGAAAAATTTATTTATTATAATGATGGGACTCTTCTGAAAAGCCTAAGATGATGACACGTGTCCTCGGGATATTTTGGAACAGTGTTGCCCGGATGTAAGCACCATCGGCGAAGAGCGCCCTTTACCCCGAGGTACCTCTCATGTAGGATCACACATTCGGTATATTATACAAACAAACACGTGTCCTCGGTCAGACGTGTACCTCGGGGAACACACCACCCCTTGGTCCCGAGGTGAGCCTTTCCTCGGCGCCGAGGGTCACTCCATCCTGGACGCTTCCTCTACTCCCGGATAAAGCTACTGACATACTGGACATCAGCCTATGCCAGTATGGATTATTCATCATGACCTCCTCTTACACAAGTAATGTCAGAACGTGCTGGAATACCGGCGTAACAGCCAATAAGGGATGGACGCGTGGCAAATAATGTCACATCCGAAGCAGACAAACCGCATGCCGCTGCTGACACGCGACTTGGGAAAGCAAACAATTAATTGCACCCTTCTGTTGACGAGACCGCATTCAATGCGGTAAGGTTCGGATATGAAAGGCAATAAATGCTCCTATTACAGAGCATTTATTGCATCCTTCCTGACAGGAGCATATTGTACCGTCGGCGTCCCGACAGACTCAGCATTGATTGTTCGGGACCCCGAGCAATCAATTAGAGAAGACATTCCTCATCAAATGATTACACACGCTACCTGTGCCTGATGATTACCTACTGACCACACTGACAGCAATCATGATCTTCTAAGGTATAAATACCCCTCCCAAAAGACAAAGCGGGTATGCAATAAAAAACTCTCAACTACAAAATATCCTTCTCAGTGTTTTCTCCTTCCTCTCTCTCATTCAAAGACTGACTAGACCGTCGGAGGGGATACGCCGGAAAACACTCCGGCGCCCTTCTAACTTGTTCTCCTTTGTTCCAGGAAATACCTTCCACACGTACAGGATCGTTCCTCCTTTCCCAGGATCACCCTTTGCCGTTTCCGGTTGCCACCGTACCTTGTAGGCTGTTTCAAGCAGCGTGTTTGGCTACTCAACCGGCTCACCCAAGGTTCACCAGGGGAGAGATCTGTTCCCAATATTTTATATATCGTGCAGGATCGAGCCCGCACATATAAGTACATTCATTTCAATGCAAATGATCGAATTAGAGAAGGGATTAAAAAAAAATAAAATAAAATAAAGGGGGACAACGGTGCTGTGATTTGTCAGAAAATGAAGAAGAAGCACTTTGTGCGTTCGATTTGGTAAATGTTGCGCTGGCAGTCCCACTTATCAAAACAGGATTGCAGATTACAATAATATCTTGAAACGTAACTTTCCGATATCGAAACTGCCGCATATAACCGTCCTTTAATTGGTCCTTGTCGTTATAAAGCAAAGGCATAAGAAGCAGAGGAGTATTACCCACTAGGGGGTTGCAGGACAACTGCCACGTTGCACTTTCTCTTCGGTGTCGACATTCAAAAGCCAGGCGTCTCTCTCTCTCTCTTCTCTCTCTCTCTCCTTTTCCTTTTTCACCGAAATATTCATTTAGATACTATCACCTTCTGAGTTTCTCTCTCTAGGGTTTCAGATTATGTTTCGATTTCTAGAGAGAGAAAGCTACTTAATTTATAGGGAGAGAAGCCAAAAGAAAAGTTATTTTCTTTCCCAATCATGAGCAATTCGAGCTGATTCTTACAACAGACTCAGAATCTCAGGTTCGGATCTTGTAGAATCTTACTGTTCATTTTATTGAGTTCCATCGGATCACAACTACAGCTGAACCTGGAAATCTTCACGGAACGATCTGTATTTAACGAAATGATTATATTTAATTTAATTCGCCAAATAACACTGGATTTTACTTATTGCGTTTAAGGATCTGCATTCAAGATGTGTTTTTCTCAGTTTGGCGAGTAAGTACTTGGGAAGTACGATCAGATCCTTTCTTTTGCTATATTCTCACGTTCATTTGATTTCCTTGTTTATATGATTATTATAACAATATGGGCATCAAAGGCCTCGTTTTTGGTTTGTTTTATGTTTAAAATCAGAAAACTTCGAGAAATATAGAAATTGAAGTTTCAAATTTGCAATATTGTCGGTGGTAAAGATAGAATTTTTGCATGTTTTGGTTGATGAGAAGTTTTTGGTTTGATTCATGTTTAAAATCAGAAAACTTCGAGAAATATAGAAATTGAAGTTTCAAATTTGAAAATTTGAAATTTTGTCGGTGTTCAAGAATCAAGATAGAATTTTTGCATGTTTTGGTTGATGAGAAGAGTAGGAGATTTGCAGACCTTTTGGATTGAAGACTTTTCATTTTTTTTGAGATCCAAAAATCAAAAACCTCTAGACTGAACCTTCAAAAAGTGTTAGGTCTAGTTGAGCCAGAATTTGTTAGATGTTAGGGCTTCAAGAGTTTTGTTCTAAATTCTAAACTTAGCTTATGTATGAACTTAGCTACTACAACCCGTTGGTTTGCCTGATTTGATTATGTTAATTTACATAAAGTGACACCGACATAAAAGTTAGTCTGATTGATTATTTAGTTATATATGTATGAATTTGGCTGCAAAGGGTTGTATAACAATATATATGTAGTGTCCAAATATAATGATTTTCGGGATTCTACTGGGAAGTTGTTTGTGTATCAGGGCGATTGTCGGGCAATTGAGCCTGGGTTGTCAATTTAGATGGTATGCAGCAGTTGCTTGAGGTCTACAATTCTTCAAGCTGGCCAGATTGGGAGACTAACTGAGGGAAGGGTGCAGTTTTGCAATATCGAAGGAAGTTTGAATGCAAATCGGAGCCTGAAGAATTTTTGGACTCGTAAATCTATAACAAGGAAAATGATGGTGGATACAAGTGCAACGGCTGATCGGGGACCCAAACTTGATGTATTACTAGAGAAGGATGATGATGGTGGCTATGCTAGTGGAGGATGGAAGAGGTGATTGGGTTTTCAAACATATGCATTTGTCAGTGCTGTAATAATACTAACTTTAGAGTGTAGATTCCTGCAATATGTAAACTTCTCTTATTTTACTTCTTTTAGAATGTGTTGTTCATGATGTCTAGTTTGATGTGAACATGCAACGAACATATTAGGTAAAAATCCAACTGGGTCTATCACAGGGCATAATTGATTGTTGTTTCTTCTGGCTTGACAGACTAAGGGTGTGTATGGATGTCGCGTAACAAGGTGGGATTGCGGACTTTTTGTTGAAACATAATTTTGCATGCAAAAGCATAATCTTGAATGGGGTTGTTGAATCCCATGGATACCATTGTGATAGTCTGTCACATCATGTCATTAGATCCTATGACTGTTTTCTGACCATTAGATGATGAAGGATACTGGATCCTTCTTGTCAAAATTGTACTTTTCTTAAAAAAAAAATTACAGGCCTTTTGGCATGCTGTGTTGTATGTCCATGCAATTCAAATTTAAAGGAAGTAAATATGGTAACTTGAAAGTGTGTTCCTTACCATTATGTTATATAAATTTAAGGGACATTTTTTGTTGCCATGGTAAGAACTAGGGTCTGAAATTTTGTGAAGTCATCTGTGTGATATGAGGTTTGTTCCCTCTCCAAACATCCAAGAGCAACTCTTGGTAATGCCGTTAATTTGATTTTTCAAATGTGTATGCCCTTGGGCCCCTGCCCACCTTGCAGGTTGGGAGGGGTATAATGGGATGGGGGTATTATTATATCATTTGGTTGCATAATTGTTTGTAAGATAACACTCCTTTTGTTTAAAGATACTCTGTCAAAAATGCTGTCATAAATATAATGATGTCTTATCATCTTTCCCTTTTTTACATTGCTGAAAATTCCCTGAAATTTGAAACTAGTGGTGAAGAGGTGCAATTCTTGATTGGGAGATGCTCTGTGCATACTAGTTACACAAAATATCGGTTTTCCGATGTTTGTTGAACGCTGGGATATTGCCACACCCTTCCCAACTTGGATGAGGGTAAGACGTAATCCAGGTCTTTAGTATGACTACGTAGAGATTTGCCAGCTGTGGTAGTTGCCATGTTCAGTATTATGTCTTTTTGAAGGGGCATGAAACATCTATGGTATTGAATGATTCATATTCAGTGAATATAGTTGGTGCTATTCACCATGGTGCTGCTTTCTTTGCTTTTTTCTTTTCCACAAATTTCTGTTTTCGGAGTTGCACTTACTTCCGTCCTTTCTCAATTGCAGTGAAGATGGAACATTGAGTTGCGGGTATTCAAGTTTTAGGGGAAAGAGAGTTAGCATGGAGGATTTCTATGACACTAAAACTTCCAAGATTGATGGGCGGACAGTTTGCTTGTTTGGGATATTTGATGGTTAGACTTTTTTTTTTCATTATTAACTACCTTGATGATTCAGATATGGCATATATTATAATTATGTGCTACAAGGTATGTAATAAGGCAAGACGGTGAGATTTGATTGGGCAGGAGTCAGTTCATGAATTGCTGTTATTTGTTGGATTGAATGAGAAAAGGAATTGATGAAATACGAGTATCCTTGTCGGATAGGTCTTTACTAATATCTGGTAATAGTAAGTCGATGGTAGTAAACTTAAGGTTTTGAGAGATGGTCAGGATTTATAGTCTCTCATCTGTTGGATTAATTTGATAGGAAAAGGACTGGCAAACTCCTAAGGTCTTCACATCTCGCCCAAAGATTATGTTCTTATAACCAGGTTTTCCACAAAATAAATGTTGCCAGATTAATAGTCATAATACTCAGCAAAGATGGTCTTTGATTGTAGAAACTCCGAAGGCCGTTTAATAAATGACTGGACTTCATGCCTCTTATGTCTTTAAAAAGGTCCGCTTGTTAAGTCCTGACAATAATATAATGCTACTTTCCAAACTCTAGTTACATTTTTATGAATGAATATGATTAAAATATTTTTTCCCAAAATTGTGCTTAAATTATGTTAATGACTACAATGTGTTATGACAGGCCATGGTGGCTCTCGTGCAGCTGAGTTTTTGAAGGAAAATCTCTTTCAGAATCTCATCAAACATCCGGAATTTTTGACTGACACCAAATTGGCTATAAGTGAGTTCAGATTTTTGATGTACCACTACTATACATTTCTTTCTTGCTGCATCAGCTTATGTGACACCACCAAATCCCTTAGGATGAGTGTTCTGTGTAATTTCGTGTACGTGGAATGTGGGTCCTGGACATATCTCTTTTTTGCTCATTGGCCAGTATTTTACCAGATCACTTTTGTAAACATGCAGGTAAAACATATAAACAGACTGACATGGATTTCTTGGAGTCTGAAAAGGACACTTTTCGGGATGATGGTTCTACCGCATCAACTGCAGTTCTGGTCGGCACCCATCTGTATGTAGCAAATGTTGGAGATTCACGGACTGTAATATCAAGGGCCGGAAAAGGTACTCTCTGTTAGTACATTGTTGCTAAGTTTGATTATTGATGGTCAAGAGGAAAGAAGTTTCCAGATATTGTCTTATTTAGAATGATGTGTTCAACATTGTTGAATGATATATGAGGGAAAGTTCTAGGGATTACTTGAGTGATAAAACAGGCTAGGGAGTTCGTAATGGAAATTTTGTCTTAAGAAATTTGTTATAATTACCTGCAACATAGGGTGCTGTGTTTTGTGTTACAAATTTGTTTGAATTTTATCACTGTGATACATAAATTAGATATCTAGCCTCTCCTTTTTTGTGTGGGCACAGTAGGGACAGAAAGAATTGAGATTTTAAGTTGAAACATTAAGTCAATGGTGTGGGCCTGTTGAATGCTGTATGGGTTTGTGTTTAAAAGACAGAGAGATGCTGACTTGAACTTCAGGGAAGCATTGCTTCATAGCATCATTCTTTTGGTCTTTAAAGATCCTTCTCAAAATTTTTCTGTAATCCTAGTTTGAGATTGCCTTTACTTTATTACTTCTCTTGAATCAATGTAAATGAACACCATTTTTAAACTTTAGGATAGACATTAGCTGCCATAATAACGCGTGTGCATGCAAGTTCTTCAGTTTGTGTTTCTGAGTCTGTGGAATAACCATAGGAAGTTATTTAATGGTGCGGTCAAAAATAAATCCCATATCTTGAATAATATTCATTAAATAGGAAATCAGTGAAGAAAAATATTTTCATTTACTGCAACAGAAAAGGCATGAAAAGAAGTGTGCTAACTGTTGAACACCCTACATATCATAAACTCTACTGGATATTATCCAAAATTAGTTTTTGCAGAGGATACTTGAGATAACTCATTGCGGTCTCAAATGCTGGTGTTGTTATAGGTGCAGATTTGTGCTTAGTATATACTCTCTGTGCATGGTACCAATGTGATTTTTGTTTATAGTTAAGAGTTTTACAGATGTTTAGGGAAAATGGTTATTTCAGCTGGGTATTTCCAGAAAAATTTTCTTGTATGGTTTCAGGATTGGTCTTGTTAGTGGGACTGATGTTCACTAAAAGCTGTGGACTGAGCGACCGGCATGAATTTATTTAATTTTCTGTTACTTGTACCGAATATGTATGAGCTGTCAAACGACGTAGAGAGTCACAAGAATCACAACTTGTCTTTATGCAGTCCACATTATGATATTGTTTCATTACTTTAATGCTTTTGTTCTATCAATTACATCGACATTCAACTGTGAGCTATACTTTGCTGCTCTTTAGAGTAAACTTTCATTTGAAAGGATTGAATTGGGGACATTGTAGATTATGACATGCCAAAATGTTATGGCATAGGTGCATAAAAGATTAAAATGAAGTGAACTCATTTGTCATTGTACTGGGAGTTTGTTATTAAATACCTTTCAGAAGGGCAGCATTGCCAACCACTGATGCAACATCATGCTCCCTTAATCTTTAAACGTAATGCACCACTGGTTTAATTTAAATTTTAAATGTTTTCTTGGATTGTAGCCCATTGAGGGGAGAGAAGAAAAATAAATATTGAGAATAGTAGAGTAGTGGCTGTAATCCCTAAAACGTCCTTTTCATTCCTGCTTGACAGCAATTCCTCTTTCTGATGATCATAAACCAAATAGAAGTGATGAGCGGAAGAGAATTGAAAGCGCTGGAGGTGTTGTAATGTGGGCAGGTAAGCTTCCCTTTTTTATACCAGCCTTATTGATTGGGTACTCTGCAAATGGTGCAACACACTTTTACTAGGACATTTTTATGGCGTACAGGCTGAGCCAATTGATGGGACTTGGTTTAACTTTTCGTCTAAGGGTTGGGACATTTTTATATGCTTTCTCTTGCACGGTTATGGTTTGAAATTTAAGAACTGAAGCCTTTATTGCTGATGGTTAGATTCATCTACCTGTTGAATTTGGGACGTGGGTGGAGCCCAAACGGCGAACATTTCTCCCATATCCTTGTTCTCATGTGATAGCTTCAATATTTTCCTGCTCTAAGTGGTGATTATATTTTATTGAAAATTTGCTAGAGATCCCTGAAATTTTCAGCGTGAAAACTTTTGGCATCAACCTAGAGAAGGATATATATCTATCTGTGTATGTATGTATGTGTACATTCATATGACCTGTAATAGAAAAATCACAGTCTAACTACTGAATATTCCTTATGTCGGATCTGAAAACTACGATAAAATAATGAGAAAAGAAGGAGAAAGAAAACAATAATAATACATCAGCTAATAGTTTGATTACTATGTTAACCACAAAAATGCAATGTAGAGAACCTTTATAGTAGGGCAAAACAAAAGAAACAAATGACTAAAATAGCCCTAATACTAAAATATTCTAGCAGGATGATTGATTGGCATCCAGGTTAATCTCATTTGGAGCATCCTAAAATTGTCTGCATGTTTGTTATAGATCAATAATCTATTGGTAGATCCTAGAGTCATTGTTTAGGAATAAAATGCTCAGGTCAATGAGTTGGAATGCTGCAGAAGCCACTTTATGAATGCTAATATTAGGTTTGTATCCAGCAACCTGTCCCATTACCTGTTGATTAAAACGGACTAAACTGTGTGGTCACCTTTTGTAGTCTATGGTTAAATTGTATCTCAAACAGCAGCAACATGAACAATAAAAAGAGGGAAGCATGTCCTTGAGTAATTGTATGGGCCTCGGACTAAGTTTCAGTTGGATTGATTATTTTCTTCAGGCACTTGGAGGGTAGGAGGTGTCTTAGCAATGTCTCGTGCCTTCGGTAACCGCATGCTGAAACAGTTTGTTGTGGCAGATCCTGAGATTCAGGTACTCCTTAAATCTTTGACACGGATAATCATTTAGTTTTATTTATTTCAAGCGTATAGATGAAGTCTCATAGTGCCTGTTTAGAAATTATTTGATTATTTCTTTTCTTTGGTGCCTGCTGTTGAGATGTGAATACAATGTTAGGGAAAAAGCCCAAGTTGATGAAGACATCAGAACCATCATTTCACACTTACTGATGAAGTCTCATTGTGTCTGTTTAGATATTATTTCTTTTCTTTGGGTGCCTGCTACTGAGATGAATACAACGTTAGGGAAAAGCCTGAAGTGGATGAAGTCATCAAAACCATCATTTTTAATGGATATAGTGATAAGGGGAGGCCACCCCACACTCGTCCCCTAAAATAAGAGAGAGCAAAAAACTATGGGCCATTTCTTCTTTTCCCCATGTTTGTTCTGCTAGCGTGTACATTCTGGGCACTAGACCGTCTGTGCTGATGTTGATGGATGGAGGAGGGAATGTCCAAGTGAGGAATAAAGTCAAAATAAGTTGAATTTCCCCGCCATCACCTTGCAACCAACCTTATTATGATTAGTTCAATCCTTTCTAACTCCGTCCAATGGCTTCACTTTCACTTCTAGAGATCTTTCTTGTGGGCCTTTATGAAGTTGTGAAAGACAGCCCATCCTAAATTAGGCATATGGAGAGTAGGTTGACTGCCTATCCTGTTTCAATGGTTTGTTGTTAACTGATCTCAGTATTTCTGGGAAGGGCAAAATGGAGGAGTGAACCAGAATAGAATTGAACACTGACTGATGTCACACTAGGATATTATATTTTGCTTGTGAAGCAAATAGTAGAGGCTGAAAATGAAGTTGTTACACAGTGGTAATCCATTAAAAACTGGCAAAAATTGTCAAACTAATAAAGGAAGGAGAAAGAACAAATGGAGTCTTAAAAGTAAACATAATGTCCAACAAAAAGGAAATAAATAAATTAGAAAATAGTGCTGAAACTCTCGACGGGCTTTTTACAAAAAGCAATTATATACATCTAATAGATTGTTGCTGTTTTTCTGTTCTGATCAATTAAAGTCGCAAGGAGTGTGCTGCTTTCCGAGAGGACGAGGACCTATCCTCTTGTTCCTGGTGAGCAGGTCAAGGCATTCTATATTGCTACTTGCGTTTATCTTCCAGTCTGCCAAACAAGGCTGTTTATTCTACGTTAAAGGTGTATCAGTATTTGCCCCAACTCACTACAACACCATGTGTGAGCTAGTGTTGGCCTAGCCCCCTCGTACAGTACTCAGAAAGAAATTCAGGCATACCTTCTGGTATTATCTGTTGAAATTGGCTGCACCTGACCTGAAACTATATATTAATGCTCATTGCTGGTTCCTTTACCATTGCACCATCATGCAATGGTCGGTTGGCTTGTTCACTTGGTAATAAATCTGATAAAAAAATCAATAGTTTTAAATGACTCGTGTACAAGTTTTTAGAAGTATTAAATTAACTTGAAAATTTGTTTGCTTGAAAATGTTACGTCAATTCCAACCTAGGAAAATCCATGTAAAGATTTTAACGACATTTTATTCCTGAATTAATGAAAGTGGCATGGAATAAAGCAGTAGTGTTTTGCTTGTTAGCTTCTTCTTGTTTGCCCAGCCATAGTGAGAGATCAGAATTGGGGACTGCATTAGAGTTACAGCTATCTGTAGACAACAATTCAACAACTATAATTTGCTAAGTAGTGGTAACTGGTGGAGTTTTTTTTCTCACTTGTCAAGTTCTCAAGATGGAATTTAACATTGATTTTTTTCTATTTTCCAGGATCAAGAAATCGACGAAGAACTTGAATTGCTAGTACTTGCAAGCGATGGGCTCTGGGATGTTGTACCTAATGAGGTAAGCCCTTTGAGGAGTATGATCATATGCCCTTAAAATGATCATGCTTGTAGGTTTTTATCGCCATTTAAGTAATGAAAGAGCTGATACATTATGCACGGTATCAAGGATGCTGTGTCACTTGCACAATCAGAAGAAGAACCTGAAGCAGCTGCTCGGAAGCTGACAGAGACGGCTTTTACTCGTGGCAGTGCCGACAATATCACATGCATTGTGGTGAAGTTTCACCACAGTAAGGTGGATCCGGGGGAACCCAAGCATGGTCAAGAAGTAGATGACATGGCATGTGTGTCCAACATCTAGGTAATTAAGCTGGGAACCTGCAGATGCAAAATGGTCGAGTGTGCATGTCCACGAGGAAGTTATTTGTTCATTCATTGGTTTGTTTCTTATTTTGCTCTTTTGTACCGAGGGAACATGATCTTGACTGATCATTCTTGGTACTGCCTATGCATGTGTCTCCCTGCAACTATAGGTTTCATCTTGGTGTACTCCTTTCATAATTTTAAAGTGTCGATCTTTCATAATTTTGTTGCAAAAAAAAGACAGCTTTTACCGGCTTTAGGGTGTTGCTAATCTCTCTCTCTCTCTCTCTCTCTCTCTCTCTCTCTCTCTCTTACACACACACACACACACACGTATACATTATTGGTACCTGCAGTGAATAACAAAGGGAGGTGGCATTCCACAATCCAATGCTTTCCCTCGTACATGCTATAGTTCTCCTCCCCCCCTCCCACGTTAATTTTTTTTTTTTAAACAGTCAAAGGTGTTTAGGTTAGTTTAAATACATTTCGATTAGTCTCCTTTATAGTTGTAGGTTATCCATGTTCGAAACTACGGTATTCATGAGCCATAAATTATTCATAGCCTAACTTTAAGTAATTATTAAGATTTGAACCTAGGATATTTAGTTTTACGGTTTATCTTTATTATTACTTAAGTTATTCTTTAGAGTTTCTCGTGATAAATATAACCTTGCCTATGCAAAGCTTAAAAAAATGTAATATTATAGAAAAATTGAAAGATATGACACCGGGGTAATATTCTTTTTTATTTTTATTTTTATTTTTTCTCTAGTCACTGCGGTAATATTCACCAAAATACAAGCTCTTGTAATGTTTATTGCTTTGGAAGTTAAAAATTCACATCGAACTTATTAGTAGTCCTTTGAATTTTTATCTTTGATTGCGGAGACAATAGCATTGAATCAAATGAAATCATTTTTCATTCTTTTAAATGTATTAAAAGAAAAATAAAGCCTATATGAATGAGATCGTGAGATTAATAAATCTAGACCAATTCATTTTTTTTTAAGTAACAAAAAATCAAATTGAAAAATGAAAATTTTAATATGACGAGACTACTGATGAAGATGTCCACAACGAACTATACATAGTTGAACCAGGAACCCTCATAAATGGAAGTAGCTTGAACAAAATTCAAAACAATTCCATATAAAATTAGTGGGGTTGAATTTAATTTTAATGGATTTAGGTGATGAAAGCGTGAATTTTTCCAATAAATGAGGTATGTTCAGGTAAAATATTTTAACCTGTTTACCATTCCAATCCATTTAATAATGATTATTAAAATCCTAAAAAAGGCCCAAAAAAGTTTTTTTTTAATTTTTTTTTTTGAACTGTGGTATGTTTTGGTTTGTGAAATTTCTTTTTGAGTCTGTGAGTGGAATAGAAATTTGCTGTGTTGTTATTTATTTTGTAATTTATTACTATTGAGTCATGCTATTGATATTAAAAACGAGTGAAACGGTAGTGTATTGATGGATTTAAAAGACCCAAAAATAATTTATTTGTTTAATGATTTAAATGGATTGTGCTGTAATTCTATTTAGGCTCGTCTAAATACTCGAATTATATATGAATAAATCATTATTTGATAGGCTTTAAAAAAGAAAAGAGCATTTTTTCACAAGAAGATGCTAAATTCGACTGCTAAACTCGACATTCCACACGATTGCCTACAGGGAAATATGAAACGCGATTTCTTTTGGTTCAAGTCAAAGGACACAGAATTCGTAGAACAGGAAGCCATTGGTCATTGGTGGTTACATGCACGGTACTTTCTTCTCTTTCTTTTTTTAAATTTGGTCAATTCAGGCTATTCACAAAATTTTTTTGGGTAGCAATCGATACATTATATCAATATTATTATATAGTGTAATCATTCATTAATACTAATTTTTTATTGAATGATTACACTTACTTTTTTATTATTTTTTATATGATAAATTGGTGACTTCGTAAATTCCACGCTTTTGCTTTTCCACAGGACGTCAGTCTCAAGAATGGTTTTTTATAGTAATTCTGCCAGGTTGAGTAAATTTCTATGTAATTACTCTACAAGCTATTCTGAAATTTCTTCACCGTCCTTCTCTAAAAAATGATTATTTCACCTTTGGAAGGTTTTGTTTCTATAAATATTCATAGTTACCAATTTATCAAATAATTACCAGGCAAATAAACAAAGAATTTCATGGAGCCAAAAACATTAGAACTTCTTAGAGATATTCAATTTTTACGACTTCCATTATTAATAATAAAGAAAACGATGCATGTTTTAATTTTTCGTATTTCTTTCTATTGTTTTAATTTAAACTTGTGAATTGATGCAAAATCATAATATCATCGATCAAGATGACTAATTTAAGCAAACTTGATCTAAACAACTAGTAACAACGGATCAATTCTCATCTCCAACAGCTAATATAATTGATCACAGATTAATGAATGATGGATTGATTTAAAAAAGGTAGAATAATAAAATAGTGAAAAAAAAAAAAGATTGGAAGGAATTTTTTTTTTTTTTTGCAACGATGTTGATTGATAATCAACTGCCATTCTGAATATACGGAAAGGCTATTTTGGTCATCGCAATGTAGCTATATTTGGTATGTGCTTTAATTTCAGATTTTAGTAACTTGAGAAATTAGTGACCTATACGCAATTTCCATAAATTTCCCAAACCCCTAAACCCTTCCACTATCTATATATACGCATCCTCTCTCTCTCTCTCTCTCTCTCTCTTTCTCTCTCTCTGTAGAAAAGTTTTACGAGCTAGGAGTTCCCTTTTTTCAAGCTCCCCGGCCAGCGATTACTAGCTAGGAGGCTGACATTTTTCACACAGTAGCAGACGACCAGTAAGTTTCCATTAATTTCGGATAATATCTTTATCTGTGACTCTGTGTTTATGTTTCTCTCTCTGAAACTTTCTCCAGAAGCTACGAACTCTGTTACTGTAATGCTGGAGAAATTAATCAATTACGCTTGCCTCATTTTATTTTGATTTAAATGTGAATCTACATTTATGAAAATCTTAACTAAACCGATCTCAAAATCTAATGGAGTGTGTGCCTAATTTTCTTCACATTCATTCAATCCTATTTAATTGCTGTCGATTTTTAAGCCTCATTATGCACCGATCTTCATCGCCGGCGGAGATCGGTGAGAGTTTGAGCCGGTGAACTATTCCTTCGTACTTAGATCTAATATTCACTTCCTCACCGGAAAATCGGTCGACTGGTCACTCCGGTCAAGTTCGCCGTTTAACCGCTATTGCTATTAGTTTAGTTGTGTTCTTGTAGCATGTTGGCCTCAAACGCTGCGTTTTATGAGGGGGCAGGATCAAACGAAAAAGCAGTTGGCGTTCGTTGTTTCTTTAAACGGAGGAGCATTTCTCTATGGCACGCTATTTTTGGCAAGTAAACTTTCTCATTCCATCGACTTCCGTAGTTTACATCTCACGCGCTATAGTGTTTTATCTGTACTCGCACTTTCGGTGCTTTATCAGTTACATTCTCGTGAATGGTAGACACGTGTGGCATGTAAACCCTACCACGTGATATAGGATCAAGGCCCACGTATTGACTGGTCCAGGAGCCTCTTTGACCCGATTGGTCCACCAAAAGTGGTTTGTCTAGCCCAGGAATAACCGGTTCATATGTAATCGTTGGGTGGTCACACGTGTTTATAGTGTCCACCGACTAGACTTGTCTTACCGTTAAAGTGCTCTATCCTTCACAAGTCATCGTCAATGAGGCCCGCGGCCCTTTCATGTCTCTTTTATAACAAAAAAATGTAACATTTTTAAGGCGAGTTGTACGGTTGCATGAGCTTAACAGATTCTAGAGTCCTAGACCACATCAAAACTTTTATGCAATCTTTTTTTTAAGGTTTTCCTAAGCAATAATAAAAGTTATTGCTTTTTTCTTTTTGTCTTAAATAATAATATTTCGAATTGTACACAACAAGCATTCTTTTATTATTCCATATAGTTTTTCAACTTTTTATAAGAAAGTTTTACTATTTTTTACTCTAATCTTATGTTTATATTGCGTTCCAAACGATTATATTGAGTGCATTTATAAGCTGGCCATTTTCCATTACTTTTTATGAGTATTGCAAATACCTAGCTTTTTTAGATTTGCATGGCGTTTCTACCAAATTTCCTCATTATTTTCATTCAATTTTTCATTTTTATAATTGCGAGAGTTTGTCTTGCGTTATAATACATTTACTCAACTCAATAAAATTTTAATTTAATACATTCAAACCCAAAATAAGAGCCTTGTGTTTCTATCCACTCGTTGCCAACTAATTTTGAGTTTAATATTTTAAGATGATAGACGATCAACTTAATTTTGTAGTGATCAATTCTATGTTTAGTGTAACTTGTTATATCTGTCTGTTATCATACACACCAACATAATAACAACTCCTATACATTATTCTGAATTAGTATAGGAAATAGATTTTGAGTTGCATCCTATAATCTAAATTAGATAATTGCTTGAGATTGAGCAATGGGTTAAGTTACAATTAATATTTTTTTTAACAATTAAGGGTATTTGGACTAGTTTACATGCACTTCAATTAAATATCTCCTTGATCCGATTAAAGATAGATCATCTACATCAATTCAGGAAGTTACAATTTCACCATAGTGGATCACGTCTTTCATAATTTAGTCCACCTGAAATGGAAGGGAAACTATCACGTATTAACTTCAATTTCCGCGTTTTTGGGACATTAGCTTCCACGCTTTTTTAATACCCTTCCACTATGTTCAAAGCTTATATTACTTGTACCGAAACCCTTTTTATATATATAAAAAAAACCAATAAAACAACTTCAATCCATTCTCACCTTTGCTGTCCTTCCGCTTATTGGAAAACAAACGTTGTGATTTCTTGGCAAACAAGCCACTCATTCTTTGAAAATCACGATGTATCGGTACTTTTCTATGTTGACAAATTCAATAACTTGTACTATTGTATAACTATATAGTAATCTATTGCATTGATTAATTAATTGTTTATGCGTTTAGATATATAAATCATGCATTGCATCTTCGTATAATATTCCACTTGCAGTTCCAAGTAGTTTCCTTGGACCCAGAAGCTTAGTCCTCTGTTGTTTTCTGTTCGTCAAGAACGTTAAAAGTCTCTTTCCCACCCGTCTAAAGCGTTAGTTACGCCTCGAGATTCCAACAACCAAATGTCCAACCTTCTCGATGATCATCTCCCGAATCAGGCACGT